TGTGGTGTTTCTGACCTTCTGTGAGTGTGTGTGTGTGTGTGTGTGTGTGTGTGTGTTTCTGACCTTCTGTGTGTGTGTGTGTGTGTGTGTGTTTCTGACCTTCTGTGTGTGTGTGTGTGTGTGTGTGTGTTTCTGACCTTCTGTGAGTGGTGTGTGTGTGTGTGTGTGTGTGTGTGTGTGTTTCTGACCTTCTGTGAGTGTGTGTGTGTGTGTGTGCTGTGTGTGTGTGTGTGTTTCTGACCTTCTGTGAGTGTGTGTGTGTGTGTGTGTGTGTGTTTCTGACCTTCTGTGAGTGTGTGTGTGTGTGTGTGTGTGTGTGTGTGTGTTTTCTGACCTTCTGTGTGTGTGTGTGTGTGTGTGTGTGTTTCTGACCTTCTGTGAGTGTGTGTGTGTGTGTGTGTGTGTGTGTGTGTGTTTCTGACCTTCTGTGAGTGTGAGTGTGTGTGTGTGTGTGTGTGTGTGTGTGTTTCTGACCTTCTGTGTGTGTGTGTGTGTGTTTCTGACCTTCTGTGTGTGTGTGTGTGTGTGTGTGTGTGTTTCTGACCTTCTGTGTGTGTGTGTGTGTGGTTTTCTGACCTTCTGTGTGTGTGTGTGTGTGTGTGTGTTTCTGACCTTCTGTGTGTGTGTGTGTGTTTCTGACCTTCTGTGTGTGTGTGTGTGTTTCTGACCTTCTGTGTGTGTGTGTGTGTGGTGTGTTTCTGACCTTCTGTGTGTGTGTGTGTGTGTGTTTTCTGACCTTCTGTGTGTGTGTGTGTGTGTTTCTGACCTTCTGTGTGTGTGTGTGTGTGTGTGTGTGTGTTTCTGACCTTCTGTGTGTGTGTGTGTGTTTCTGACCTTCTGTGTGTGTGTGTGTGTGTGTGTGTTTCTGACCTTCTGTGTGTGTGTGTGTGTGTGTGTTTCTGACCTTCTGTGTGTGTGTGTGTGTGTTTCTGACCTTCTGTGTGTGTGTGTGTGTGTGTGTGTGTTTCTGACCTTCTGTGTGTGTGTGTGTGTGTGTGTGTGTGTGTGTTTCTGACCTTCTGTGTGTGTGTGTTTCTGACCTTCTGTGTGTGTGTGTTTCTGACCTTCTGTGTGTGTGTGTGTGTTTCTGACCTTCTGTGTGTGTGTGTGTGTGTGTGTGTTTCTGACCTTCTGTGTGTGTGTGTGTGTGTGTTTCTGACCTTCTGTGTGTGTGTGTGTGTGTGTTTCTGACCTTCTGTGTGTGTGTGTGTGTGTGTGTTTCTGACCTTCTGTGTGTGTGTGTGTTTCTGACCTTCTGTGCATGTGTGTGTGTGTGTGTGTGTTTCTGACCTTCTGTGAGTGTGTGTGTGTGTGTGTGTGTGTGTGTTTCTGACCTTCTGTGAGTGTGTGTGTGTGTGTGTGTGTTTCTGACCTTCTGTGAGTGTGTGTGTGTGTGTGTTTCTGACCTTCTGTGTGTGTGTGTGTGTGTGTGTGTGTTTCTGACCTTCTGTGTGTGTGTGTGTGTGTGTGTGTGTGTTTCTGACCTTCTGTGAGTGTGTGTGTGTGTGTGTGTGTGTGTTTCTGACCTTCTGTGAGTGTGTGTGTGTGTTTCTGACCTTCTGTGTGTGTGTGTGTGTGTGTTTCTGACCTTCTGTGTGTGTGTGTGTGTGTGTGTGTTTCTGACCTTCTGTGTGTGTGTGTGTGTGTGTGTGTGTGTGTTTCTGACCTTCTGTGTGTGTGTGTGTGTGTGTTTCTGACCTTCTGTGTGTGTGTGTTTCTGACCTTCTGTGCATGTGTGTGTGTGTTTCTGACCTTCTGTGTGTGTGTGTGTGTTTCTGACCTTCTGTGTGTGTGTGTGTGTTTCTGACCTTCTGTGTGTGTGTGTGTGTGTGTGTGTGTGTGTGTGTGTGTGTGTTTCTGACCTTCTGTGTGTGTGTGTGTGTGTTTCTGACCTTCTGTGTGTGTGTGTTTCTGACCTTCTGTGTGTGTGTGTGTGTGTGTTTCTGACCTTCTGTGTGTGTGTGTGTGTGTGTGTGTGTGTTTCTGACCTTCTGTGTGTGTGTGTGTGTGTGTGTTTCTGACCTTCTGTGTGTGTGTGTGTGTGTGTGTGTATGTTTCTGACCTTCTGTGTGTGTGTGTGTGTGTGTGTGTGTGTGTTTCTGACCTTCTCTCTGTGTGTGTGTGTGTGTTTCTGACTTTCTGTGTGTGTGTGTGTGTGTGTGTGTGTGTGTGTGTGTGTTTCTGACCTTCTGTGTGTGTGTTTTGCGGATGTTGTGGAGCTGAGAGTCGAGCTGCAGTCTGAGCTGTTCCAGCTGAGTCGTATGAGAGGACAGCAGCCTCTCTCTCTCCTCCTGAAGAGCGCTCAGCAGACGCTCCCTCTGCATGCTCTCCTACAAACACACACACACACACACAGACATGTTTGTCTTGCTATACTTATGAGGACGTCCATAGGTTTCTATTGATTTTTGTGTTACTGTAGCTAAATAATACTACGCCTAAACCTAAACCTAACCCTAACCTCAGTATCCAAAAGGCAATTTTTCTGCTCTTTTAGTTTTCAAATAAAAAAAAAGTAATTGTGGTGAAAACAACACATGAAAACAAAAATTTTATATAGTCTATATAGTCTTCTATATAGACATGGGGTCCTCACAAGTATAGCAATACAAGAACACACACACAGGTTTGCATTTATGCGATATTTAACCCTCATCTTAACCTCATGAACCTGAAAGAAATAGCTTTTCTCTTTCAGTTTGTAAAGTTTTTCAATAGAGTCTGCATGTCTGGCTGCAGACATGCATCATCAGCCCCAGTGACGTCACGTGCACATGCACTCCCTGCCGCAACGGCAGATGCAGCCCAATGGCACGGTAACTTTTGGCTGCTGCTGCTTAGCGACATCATCACTTCATCCATTTTTCGTCCGTAACTCGGCTAGAGAGTTACATTTAATGCACCCCCTACTGGAAAAAGTCATAGAACCCATTAAAAGTGTCTGTTGGTCCTGGTGGTTTTCAGTAGTCGCTAATGGTGTTCTGTGTTTTCCTGATGGGTTGATATCACAGTGTGAACAATTCTGATCATCTAATCAGGTGTTTTGGGACGGATTCCACATACATTTGACCGTTTCCTAATGGCCTCTAACGGCAACCATCAAGCCAACTCCCTTGTGACTACGTAGTAACGGTTTCAGTGCCTACAGCGTCGTCTGCTTGGTGCTTTTCTACACTGTCACAATGTTGAGATGTAATTCCCGAGAAAGTTATGAACGTTGTCTGACAACTTTCTCGTTGGTTGTGACGACGTTGACGAGACAGCGAAAGTAACTGGTACCACGTTGACTGTATGTTGTCACAACCTCCTAGCATCCTTAATAAGTTCTATTTTAATCAATATTACAGTTTTTGATAACCGGTTCTGATCATCTTCAGCTTGAGTTTCAGCAGCCTGTTTGTTTTTTCTGCGAATAAACCCGACATTCATGTCTGATCGTCAGTTTTATTTTGAAAGTTTCCATATTTTATTACCTTATTATCGGTATGGCAACGTTAATATTTATTCAGTGTAGCTCTTGTTGCCCAGCAGTTTGTGTTTCTCTGTTTTTCCTCATAAAACTGACAGAGCTGCACTGACGTCATCAATAGCCTGGCGGTGCAGGTCAGGCTGAGAGTGCATGTCTGCAGCCGGACCTCCTCAAGTTTTTGTAAAACTTTTGTTAGTTCTGAAGGTTAAAACAGTTAAAACACACTCATAGTGTAGGTGTACCTCCTCCATGTGTGTGACTCTGATGGTGTGCAGTTGATGCCGGTGCTCCTCTTTGATTTGCTCCAGTTTCCTGTTGTGCTCCCTCTGCACTTCCTCCCTCACTTCCTGTAACACCTCAGAGAGCTGAAAGCATAAATAATGATTCAAATGAATAATGGTGGAGAGTTAGTTTAATGAACTATTTTTATTTACAATTAAAAGTATAAATTTAAAGGAGTGATGTGTATGAGAGGTATAATCGTGTGCACATGTTTGGACACCCCCCAACCCAACAACATGTAAAAATTAGTTTCTTTTCTACAGGGAACAAACTTAAATATTCTTTGCTGAGTTTAACATATTGGTTTAATAAAACAATAAAAACTGTGCTGTAACTTTTTGCACAGGCAGCATTTTATGTTATCTTTTTCCAAATGTGTTTAAATCAGTAAATAAACAGCATTTCTGTATTAAAGTGTGCAGAAGTGTGTTCTCTGTAGAGGATGTATTCACTTATTAAATCAAGAAAATATGCAATTTTACCAGGGGTGCACAAACTTTTGACTGTATATAGCGAAGCCATGTGCAACAAATTAAATGAATGAATACAGGAAGTATTACTGTTCCATGTATAAACATATTAGAAACATATAACTGAATTTAACTGAACTGAATCAGACCTGAATTAAACAGTATCAGTGCTGATGTGAATCATATCAGATCAAATGTTTAGTTACATTGTTTTAGTTTTAAAACATAAAATATGTATTAAGGTGTGTATCGTATAATTTGAAAGAGTGAGATTCACCCCATAAATCTGTGTTTTTGCTGGTTGGGATGGACTGGTGCCCAGTTAAAAGGTCCCCATCGTGTAGTGAACCTTTTCCAGAAGACATTGTGACGGTGGTCAGAGAGAACTGTCCGTGGTGCTGGAAAGTGGACGGTTATTGGAAGTTGTGCTGTGTTATCAGTTACTTTACCTCTCTCTGGTACTCAGACAGCTGCTGTTCAGGTCGAGGACTCCTCAGTTCTCTCTGTCGGTCGCTCGCTCTGCCCTGATAAACAAGATACACACAGATAGATATGATGAGGACCAGGAGCTTTCGGACCATGAGGACCAGGAGCACTCGGACCAGAGCACTCGGACCATGAGGACCAGGAGCACTCGGACCATGAGGACCAAGTGCATTGGGACGATGAGGACCAGGAGCACTCAGACCATGAGGACCAGGAGCATTGGGACCATTAGGACCAGGAGCACTCGGACCATGAGGACCAGGAGCACTCGGACTATGAGGACCAGGAGGATTGGGACCATGAGGACCAGGAGGCAGGATCTGAGCAGGACATCATGAGGACCAGGAGGATTGGGACCATGAGGACCAGGAGGATTGGGACAATGAGGACCAGGAGTACTCAGATCATGAGGACCAGGAGCATTGGGACGATGAGGACCAAGAGGATTGGGACCATGAGGACCAGGAGCACTCGGACCATGAGGACCAGGAGCATTGGGACCAGGAGGACCAGGAGCTTTGGGAATTAAGCCTCTGTTTAGAACGGTGGACTAAACTATATGTAGGAGCACTTTCTTATGACAGTACTCAGCTACTGTAAGGCGCACCCACTGCTGACAGAGGCATTCGGTTCTCCATAGAAAAGCACTGAGCAGAAGGATGTGAAGCTCTGGAGAAGACCCACACAAACCTTAGGTCACTCAGAAACCTACGTGAATGGTCAGAACCACAGACAGCAACGGTCAGAGAAGCCCAAACACTGAAACTGAACATACCCTTCTAGCCTTTGACCCAGCAGAAAGGCCTTTTTGGAAAGAAGTTTGTTCTGAAGTGGGATTGGGTCACCAGTGAGGTAGGCCGCAGTGCTGTGGACACTGTGTGACCCTTGACCCACAAGCACTGTATGTCCAAGACACCCCTTATAACGAGTGAAATGAATGGGCCGCTCTGGAGACTAAAGGCCAATTTATAGTCTAGGCAACAAAAAGAAACTGTGGTCGACAGATGTGGTTAAAGCTTGTATGACGATGCAGCTACTGAAACAGTGAAACTGCTCAGAACAGAAAACAGCTGCCGCAGTCAAACTGCATTAACAGTAGGATTTTAAGCTGCAGGGTCGCTACGGCAACCAGGAATGGCCTACTACTTCTTTTCTACACACTGCCAGATTTGCGGTTTTCCCAAAAATTCCAGGTAGTGAAAGCACAGTGCGGTGGGAAATTACACAGTCGCAGGTGCGTTTTCTGCTCTGACTACTTTTTAAAGTAATCGCAGTCGCAGAAAAAGGTTGGAAAATAAAAACAAATCGTCTTATGAATGTATAATGGCAGCGGAGAAGCAAGAAAGTAAACAAAGCTGCACACCGTGACCACAGCAACAACCCAGAACATGGAACATTGAGTTTAAAACAGTCCAAACAGAGTCTGCGCCCTTTCACATTTTTACATTTCCGCAATCTGCTACAAATTTTGTCTCTTTCCCGTCATTTTTTGTCAAGCAACGTTTGTCCCCTGGACTATAAACTGACCTTAAGGTCACCATGCCCAATGCCAAGCGTGGGCTAGTGGGCTATAAAGCCCCCCAAGATTGGGCTGTGGAGCACAACTAAGTTCTCTGCACCTCAACCTTTGGGATGAGTTGGAGTGATCCAGAACTGACCTTCCAACATCAGTACCTGACCTCACTAATGCTCAATCGAATCCTCACAGCAATGTTCCAACATCTAGTATAAAGCCTTCGAAGAAGAGTAGAGGCTTTTATCTCAACAAAAGAGGACAAACTACCTATTAGTACCCTTCATTTCAGAAGAAACGCTGGATGAGTTGGTGTCTACAAACTTCTGGACAGCTTGTTAAGCAACGGTTTGGCCAGGAATTAAACTTACACAGTGTAGTTGATCAGCTAAGACATGTTGGGCGGAAGTAAAAAAGTTTTTTCTTCAGTTTTGCACAGGCGCTACAAGGACAGTGTAGTTACCAAGTAACTGAAGCTTATACTCCACTAAGTAACACTGTGCAAACTGCACTCTTAAACCATCACAGCCTTGCTTGAGTGATACGCAAACGTCTTGGCTGATCGACATCTGGAGTACATTTGATTTTGGACCGAACCGAAAACTTTAGTCTCTAACCTCCAGTTTGAGCGAGTTTAACTGCTCCTCCTTCCTCTCCTGAAGCCGCTTCCTCTCAGCTTGAAGCTCCTCCTCTGACTCCGCCTTCAGCTTGTCCAGGTCCCGCCTCCTCTGCTCCTCCAGCCTCTCTCGCTCCGCCTGCAGTTCTGACCGCACCTCTCTCAAGCGCGCCTCGTTCTCCTCTCTACATGAACGTACATACAGAGAAACGAAGAATGCAGTAATATCTGAGGGACTTTAGAGCCTGCAGGGTTGTGTGAGTACATGAAGTAGGGTTAAGCTTCCAATGTTTTCCAATCTAATCTCCATCTTGAGATTCTGTAGCATACAGTACTTTACCACAGACAGGTTTGCTTGTAAGTGCGTTTCCCTTTAAACACTCGTGGGCCGAAGATGGACGAGGAAGGACAAATGGATTCCTTGAGCAGTAGCAATGAAGAAGTTATCAAGTTCTCTTTTAATCACTGCAACTAAAAGGCATTTTACAAAAGAAACAACATGAATACACTAGGATACACTTAGACTGCTCACTTAGACTGCTGGGAACCAGGATGTGCTGCGTTTTTATTTTTGGATGTTTGGTTGTTGTGGAGCTAGATATGCATATATATTATATATATATATTATATATATATTATATATATATATATATATATATATATTAGGGGTGGGAATCTTTAGGCACCTCACAATTCGTTTCGATTACGATTCAGAGGCTGCGATGCAATTATAAAACGATTATCGATGCATCTCGATGCATCTTTTTTCTCTATACATGATTTCTATCTTCCTGCTGTCTGAGGACTTCGTAGTTTTAAAGCAAAGTATTTGTAATGATCCATAATGTAAATGCATTACGGATCATTACAAATACTTTGCTTTATATATCTAAAATATCTTTTATTAATAAATCAAATGGAAGTGATGTGGCAAGTGAACTAGAAGGCTCTCATTCAGAGACGCTGCTGCCACTCATCTGCGATCAAATGCGCTGTTGCCCTGAAATAAGATCCAGTGGTGATGGGTGTCCACGCAGTACGTTACAGCCACCCTTTTGGTCTCGTTGTAGAGAGTGGGGGGGTGTTTTCAAGACTGGACGCTGAATCTCAGCTCCAAAGTGTGCGGCATAGCGCAAAAGCCCTGGTTCTCAACGACTGAGAACAGACAGCAGACAGCAGGTCACATAGCCCCGAGGTCTGGCCTCGCCAGTAGCGAACGAAAAAACAGATTAAGACGAACATTTGGAGACTTATTCGCATTTATAAGCAGCGCGGTTGGTTAAATCTGCTGAGAGACTGTCTTTCTCTAAAAAGTTGCGAAAAGGTCTGTTTTCTGTACATTCTGTGCGGCTAACGTAACTGGGTTTAACGGTAGCTAAGCTAACGCTAGCTAGGATAAAGGCACGAATCGCTTCTTTCCCCCAAAATCTCAACGGTTTGTTCCCGCGTTCATTTTTATTTCTTATTTATCTGTTCGCCTCTCATTAAAACGGCGTTTATATTTGCTGTGGCTTTTCAGTTTAGTCAGCCGCAGGCCGTTAGCGCTGAAGCTAAGCAGACAGACTGACAGCTCACGACTTCTTCGAATTTTCCCGTTCCACCTTAAATGGTGCAGCAGTTACATTCGGCGCCTAAGGCAGAATTTAAGGTGGAACAGGAAAATTTCTCGCTCCTCCACTTGTGTTTTTGTTGTGTATATATATATATATATATATATATATATAATGTATTTTTTTTGTACTATTTTGTTACTAAAACTATTTCAGATTTACTTTTATTGTTATAAATTCCACCATTAACCTACTAAAATAGGTTTACTGAAGTAGTGAAAATGGTTTTCTTTAAAACATATATATATAAATACCCTGATATGTAAGGTAACTGTTAAGAACTGTAGTTATATTGTGATATAAACTTTTGCCCGTACTGCCCACTGCTACTGTAAACAGTCGCTATGCTGTACTAAGGCGCTGACTGTCATCCCCCAGCCTTTCAGCTACAGTCTGACATGTATTTTCTATAACCTTTGCACTTTTACAGTCAGCTTGTTGCTGGACATATAAGCAAGATGAGCTGTTCTGCTACTATCACTTGTTTGGACTGAAACCATCCTAACACCTGTATTGTAAGAGTGTAACCGCTGTAGTTTCAAATTAATTTTATACAGTCGTATATTTCAAAACGTGGCTTCTATTATAAGTGAGTTTTGGGTCGTTGGGTTTTCTTTGTCACATTAAGAACAAGGAAAGGAAATTATTGTCAGTGGTAACTGATGGTTCACTACAGATGTGGCTCACCGATATTAGGTTGAAAGTATTGCTTTAAGCCCAATATATAATGTCCAATACATACATCACTTTCCTATCATCCTATTGGACAGGCTTGACTTGTGGCCCCACGGCCTTCAGCTGCTGGAGTTTGGTGAGCTGTGTGTATCCTGAGAGTGTGTCTCTCTCTCTCTCTCTCTCTCTCTCTCTCTCTCTCAGCGTCTGCTCTCTGAGCTGCTGGAGTTCGGTGAGCTGTGTGTACCTGAGAGTGTGTCTCTCTCTCTCTCTCTCTCTCTCAGCGTCTGCTCTCTGAGCTGCTGGAGTTCGGTGAGCTGTATGTACCTGAGAGTGTGTATCTGTGTCTCTCTCTCTCTCAGCGTCTGCTCTCTGAGCTGCTGGAGCTTGGTTTGCGTCTCCTGGTCCAGACGATCCTCCTCCTCCCTCCGCTCTCTCTGCAGCCTCTGCTTAAGAGCCCTGAAAAACAGTTTGCAACATACTCATATAATTTTACATGTCTCATACTCACATGCTTCATACACGGTGCTGTGCATACGTCCAGGAACACTCAGCATTAATTTAATTTCCAGTCAAAACAGTAATTACATATACGTTGCTGATTTCAGGAGATGTTTCTAAAGAGATATAAGATTAAATATAAGATTATCCATTTGCACAAAGCGGGAGAAAGTCAAAGGAAAGTAAGTGAATGTTAGCCCTAATCTAAGTAACCGAATTCCTTGGTCGACCAATTTTAACCCTTAGAAGTTGCAGGTATCGCTGATGGTATATGCTGTGGATACGCTCATCATCCAAAAAATAGTTGCACCCAGAAGGAATCAACCGACAGGACTGAAACTTGGTGGGTAGGTTTGACATCGTGAGACATGCAAATGATTCAAGTTTCATGCATGTGACGTAAACAAGGACGGCCTTATCGCTGCACCTGACTGACTTCCATTCGGACTCTGCTGTTGTGTCGGTAGCATAACTGGCCTTGGAGAAGAGTTCGAAAGCAGTTCGAGCAGTTCGGAGAGTTCGAGAGGGGTCGCACTGTAGGGCTCCGGAAGGCGGGATGGTCTTATCGACGTATTGTGTCCCATCCCGGTCGTGCAGATATTACCACAGCACGCTGTTGGCAGCAGTGGATAGAAGAAGGCACACACCAGCGACATGAAGGATCTGGGAGACCTAGACAAACCGACGGATTGTCAGATATGCGTGGAGCGACCGAACAGCCACGACTGTGGACATTCAACGAGCAGTGATGCCCTCTATTAATCATCCTGTTAGTGCCAGCACCTTTGGCAGACGGCCGCACGATGCAGGACTACATGCACGCAGACCTTTACGACGACTGCCCTTAACACCACGTCAGTGTCGCCAAAAACTGCAAGGGTGTCGTGCCAGACTGTCTTGGAGTGACTCAGAATGGTAGCGGAACACAAACACAAACTCACCTGAGCCTCTCCTCGTTCTCCTCCTTCATCCTTCGCTCCTCCTCCTCCTCCTCTCTCCTCAGCTCCTCTCGGAGGAGGCGCAGTCTCCTCTCTCGTTCCTCCACCGCTCTCCGTCTCTCCTCCTCTATCTGTCTCTCCGTCTCCTTCTCTTCCTCCCTCCTTCTCTCCTCCTGCTCTCTCTTCCGTTGCCGTCGTCTCTCCTGCTCCCTCTCCTTCTCCTCTTCTTCGCTGGCTTGCTCTCTGAGCAGACGCAAGGTAGATTTTTCTCTTTCTCCTCCAGTCCTCTTTCCCTCCTCCCCTCCTTTCTCCACCTCTGTACGCTTTCTCTCCTCCCTCTCCCTTTTCCTCTCCCTCTCCTCCTCGTCCTCCTCCTCCCTCTCTTTCTGTTGCCTTTTTCTTTTCTCCTCTGCTTCTTGCTTCCTTTTCTCCTCCTCTATCTTTTCCTCGTCCTCATCTTTAGCAGGAGCGCTTCTGGTTAACCTCCCGCGGGCCGTCTCCGGTCTGGGCCAGAAGGGGGCGCCGTTGCGGCTGCTGGTTTTGAGCCACTCCTGCTGCGGGCTGGAGGGTTTGGAGAGAGAGGAGGAGGACAGAGGGGAGGAAGGCTCGTCCAAGCGTGTGGTCCACAGGCGCCTGCTGCTGAGAGGAGAAATAAAAGGAGAAATCATTGCATTTTGCACCTGTTACAGTCGGAGCCCAGCTGAACTATCATGTTAATACCTTTACATTTAAACCTTTACATACTGGTAATACAGAGGCTGCACAACACATATTATATATATATATATTGTGAATTATGCGTTATATTTGTTTGTATACCTGCCCAATATTTTTTGTTTGTTTACTGTTATCGTGATTATTTTCGTTACTGATACTTATTTTCAGTACTTATACTGAAAAGGCCGTAATATTCAAATGAGCCCATTAACCAATCACTGTTTTTTTTGTGTGGCCAATCACAGTTCCAGTTTAGTGTTGCTGTTGGTCTTTTGAGTTCACTTAAATCACTTGAGTCAAAAAAAAACCAGGCAAATCTGATTCACCATTATGTTTTCAATATACTGCGAGGCATGTGTGAAAGTATAACTGCATGTACATCGATCAGGCATAACATTATGACCACCTCCTTGTTTCTGTGCTCATTGTCCATTTTATCAGCTCCACTTACTATATAGGTGCACTTTGTAGTTCTACAGTTACAGACTGTAGTCCATCTGTTTCTCTGATACTTCGTTAGCCCCCTTTTACCCTGTTCTTCTTTTTATTTTGAGGGTCTCATTTCATAGGGCAAGATTTCCACCACTACCCCTTGTAACTCAGTTCCAAGGGGTTAGGGTGACACTCGAAAACAAGGCGTAGGGGTAAAAAGAAGAAATGAGATTGGGCCTTGTTCTGTGTTGTGTGTAGCTGTTAGCCTGTTCGCTGTCACTGAGCCACTGTCTTGCGTAGTTTTTCTTCGATATTTCCTAGTCCTGATTTAGCAGCACAAACTGTAACAGGTCTCACGAGTCACAGCGCCCAATACAGCTGTGAGAACCATTTGGCTCTACAATTGGGAAAGACGCCACTGTGTAGCCAAATATTGGTGGGAAAGGAAATGAGTCAAACCTGACTGCTCTCAGATCCCCCTCCACATCACTGTCTTCCACTCTCTCGTCCTTCTTCTTTTCATCCTGAAGGAACAGTATGAAAAAGTTGAACACTTCCAGAGATTCAACACCTACAAGGCCTAACTGGGGTCTAACAGAAGTGGCTTTCTGAACTCATATGAGGCATAACAAAGGCAGCTGAACATGCATACAGCAGGTCATAAAGTACCTGAGAAAACATGTCTCTTAACAGACATGGTAAAACCAGCTGATGTGGCCTAGTATGTAGTCCAAGTAGGATGCAAATGGCTAATTTCAATATATGGATTAAGTCTTGATTTTCCTTTGTAGTCCAGGTTTAGGCCTAAACATGCATGTTGATGTGCAAAAACTGCCTATAGGTGCAGCCAGTTGGGGGCAGCATCTACAGCTGGAAAGGGATTCAGAGTATTAGAGAGTGAGCTGATGGTAAACTCACCAGTGTTGCTGAGGGCTCAGCTGGAGAAAGGTCTGTCAGGTCTAGAATGTTCTCCGAAAACTTGGAGCGGAAACCCATCTGATGTAACATGAGAAGATCCACCATTAATTACAACGAATAAAACAATAACATGGCAAGAACTGAAGCTGCGGGTCAGGAACACAGATAGCATGGTCAACAAACACATTTTAGCGTTGCTGATTTAGGCTTTGTTCACTCAGCAGGTAAAAGTGGCCCAAATCTGATCTTTTTCTTCATATGTGACTCAGATGTGTGTCAGTGTGAACAGATAAACAGACTGAGTCTGACATTTTCAATTCCGATTTGAGACGCTTTCATATGTGGTACTGAAATCCGATACGTATCCGACTCAGTCTGAAGAGCCAGATCGGAATTCATGCGACTTTTATGTCAATCCGACTCGACATTCGTCATAATTTCTCACTGCTGAGACTCATAAACATCTGGGCTGATGTTTGTGTACCAAAAAAAATTAGAAGGCACTTATCGCAACCGTTCCGTGTTCGAAGAGATTTCAAACGAAACAACCAAACGCGGCTTAAAGAAGTTTAAAGAATCCGAGGACACGAACCAAAGAAGTGACCGCGCCCTTTTTACGACGAGCTGAACACATTCTGGGTGATGAGCCCAGCTGTCAGTCAGTGAAGCTTCATGATGGCTCCAGTGACGCTGGCGAAGATGAAGCTGATCCCCCGGGAGCGACTGGCGTTCGTTGGCAGTCGTGATTGTTTACCTCTGGATGAGCCGCATGAAGCTCTGTTCTTTTGCGCGTGGGGTCCGTTTAGGAGCTGATCTGTTCAAACTAAAGTTGCATACAGATCACATTTAAAAGACACTGTGAACAGCCAAACAAAACAATCAGATTGGGTGAGAAAATCAGATTTGGGCCACTTTTACCTGCTGTGTGAACGCAGCCTTAGTGTTTTATTCTTATTTAACAAGCCTTAGATGTTATAATAGTAACCACTGTCCAGCAAGCTACAGCAATTGGTGCGCTTGGTGTAGCACAGATTAAAGTTTTTCCTTTATGATTTAATATTTTAGCTTATAATTACAGAACCGAACAGAAGCCAACAGGAAAATGACAGACAAGATTACCTTTAGGTCATCAGAACGGCAGGACACGTCTTCAATCTGCTCACTGGCCTCTGACTTCTGTAGAAGAAACGACACCGAATTACTTCTCAAACAGAAGCAGAAACTCTTCCTGTCCCTCAAACTCTGATCTTCTGGAATGCAGTCTAACGAAGCAGAGCAGCGCTTCTCTAACATGCAGCACAGCCACCAACTGTTTAAGAAGCGCCCTGACAGACACATGAAGCACAAACCACAAGCAAGCAGGACAAAGAAGACAGACAACAGACAGACAGACACACAGAACAACTAGAACCATACAGAGAGCAAACAGTAGAAACAGGAAAGCAGCAGATGACTTTCTAATATTTGAAGAACAGTCCAGTCCAGTTGTGTCGGTCCACTTAAGTAAGGCCTAGTCTGGTCCGTTTTGGCCTGGATCTCTCCAATAACGTCCAGTTTGGTCCAGTTCACTAAAGTCTGGTCAACTATCGGTCATTTACATCTTCTGAACCAAAGGGTCTCTATGGTACCCACTTGTTTGACCCATTGTTTCTGCAGTATTAAAGTTGTGATAAAGAATTTACACCGACGGAGAGGAACGGATGGAAGGATGAATGGAAAACCGGGATGGCTCGTGGGAGGGTTTGGCCAAACTTACACAATCTTCCCCTTAGCATAAACAGACAATCAGCCAAGACATGTTTGCCTCTTTAGTTTTAGACTGAAGCTACGAGGCAGATGTAGCTAAGAAGCAATGGAAGCTTATGTAGATCAATCAGGAGGAGCAAACCTCCAAACCAAGTAGCACTGCTCAAACTGACGTTATTATCCTTAAAAATGGACAAAAACATGTTGCATAGCTAAAAATGGTAGCCTGAGTCTTGTTTGTATGTTTGTCCACGTTTTAGATAACAGTAAGTCATACAGTGTCAGAACCACATAAGCAAGTCAGTCTGAGATTACCTGATAACTCAACACATGCATGCAGTTAGCAGCATGCTAACTCGTGTCGTATGCGCAGACCTGTCCTGATCATGAAATTTTACTCTGAATTGGCGTAGAAATAATCAATAACTTGTGTTTTCTTGTTTATTTCATGCTATTAAAGTACAAACTTAAACTGGCTGATATCTTGTTTTCCTAGTGGTCGATACTTTGGCTATGTTCACATTATAAGCCTCGTTGCTCAAATCCGATCTCTCAGACATGATGGTCCACACTCATTTAGGTAAGCGATTCAAATCTGTCATTAATGTGATGAACCGGCGTCCTGAAATGACCCTCATGAGCTCATCCTACTCAGTAACGTCATGTGAATGAATCACGTTCATCATCAGCACAAACTAACGAGCAGAACGAGCTTCGCTGAGAAGATAATTAACTCTGATCAGCTCTCAGCTTCATTATTAGAGCGAGACGAAGGAGAAAAAGGTGAGATGTGCTGCTTTTCCACCATTTACAGGCTTTAACGTCTGCTCGGCGCTGCTGCCATGGTAACGCTGAATGATGGTCACGCGCAGTGGGAAAAAAAAGCACATGAATTCCGATCTGAGCATCACATTAAGGTCACATGGCCACGAATCGGATACGTATCCGTTCTAGGACCACATATGAAAGTGGCTCAGGTCGGATTTGAAAAGATCAGATTTGTGTCCACACAGCCCTGAAAACATCAGATCTGAGTCACGTTAGGGCAAATAATCAGATTCATGCCACTTCAACCTGCTAACGTGAACGTAGCCTTAGTAGCTCCTGACAGTTCGAGCTCAAATAAACAAACATTACTCACTGTTACCCTCTAAAGGGTAACTTAGAGCTAAGTCAGAAATTAGAGCGTTTTTACCGTGTTCTTAACACCCACAATGCATCTCAATATGTGCATTTTCTGTTTCATTTACATGTATTTGCCTCAACTGAATGGATTAAAAACCACCTCTAATCTGATTATTACAGTGTGAACATATAATCATGAAAGCCAATCAGGTGGCTGTGTAATATTGTGTAAATATAAAACTGTGACAGTTTAATATAAGCTTCCATTACTTGTTAGCTATGTTAGTCCTAATAGAGTAGTACTGTTAGCAGTGAGTGGTATGGCCAAATATTTTATGTCAAGACATAATTAATATTCTGGCAATTCCGGTATAAATCACGGTATATCATTTCTTTCAAATAAAACCATTTCAGACGCTTAAGTAAACCTATTTTTGTAGGTTAAGTGCGGCTTTGGATTCTGGAACGTCCTTTTACTTTTTCATAAGAAACATTTTTGATAACCCAAGTAAATCTGAAATATTTTCATTGTGCAAAACAGAAAAGCAAAACTGAACCATGTGTAGATCAGCGGTATCCAATCTTAACCGCAAAGGGCTGGTGTGGCTGCAGGTTTTCACTCCAAACAAGCTGAAGCACACCTGATTCTACTTGATTAATCAGCTGGTCTCAGTCTTCAAACATTTCACCAGGTGACCTCCTGCTTTGTTGGAGTGAAAACCAGCAGCCACACTGGCCACCTGTGGATAAGACTGGACACGCCTGATACAGATACACCTACCAATACTGCTTTCATTAGGCCGAAAAACGGTGCCACATGCTGTTTCACGTCTGAACTTCAGGCTTTAGTTGGATTCTTATTCGGCTGCTTTTCGTTCAAATTTTTCGTTCTACCTTAACTGCAGCAACAGGTTGGGCACCTGTACAGGCACCTGAATGGAACTGCTCCATCATTTAAGGTGGAACGGGAAAGAGCCTTCAGCTCAAGTCATTTGTCTCATATGTGCATCAAACACTGTAAGGATCTGGAAAATATTGCAGTTATTTGTGCTTCTGGACCGGCTGATCCATGGCTTGTTCATGCACAAGGAGATAAAATAGAAGAGCAGCAATTGCTCTGGTGGCTCTGTTCCAGGCTAAGGCCAACCCCAAAAGACCAGCCGTTCCTTTACGTCCGCTGCCTCGTACAACGTAGACTACTTCAGGTGAGATGGATTGGACAGCAGGAGGTGGTCGAGGGTCTGCTGTGTTCTCGATTTTATAGGAAACGTGATTAGAACCTCCCAGACTCAGACACTCAGCTAAAGGGGATAACATTAGCGTGGTTTGCACTGTTCGTACCTGAGGAAGACTTTTCGACCAGCATACTGCCCACCGCTACCTCATAGCTCCGATGCAAAAACTAATGAAGCAAACTTCGGACCCCAAACATGTCTTGGCTGATCAACTACATCTACGTTCGTCTCATTAACAGGGAAATGGAAGAATGGATGAAGGGATGAGTGGGATAGCATAAGCATGGTTCTCACAGTGGGCTAGAGCAGCAGGTCAGCATTTTCTCCATCTAAAGAGCATGGAGGACAAGAGGAGGCATGTACACTATATGTCCAAAAGTTTGTAGACAGCGCTTCTTCTGAAATGAAGGGTATTAATATGGGAGTTTGCTGCAGTAACAGCCTCTACTCTTCTGGGAAGGCTTTACACTAGACGTTGGAACTCACTGACCATTAGTGAGGTCAGGTACTGATGTTGGAAGATCGGTTCTGGATCACAATTCATCCCAAAGGTATTGGATGGATCTCCATCACTCCAGAGAACGCAGTTCTGCTCCACAGCCCAATGCTGTTCCCCATGTAGCCCAGGCTTTCCACTGGGCACGGTGACCTTAGTCTCCAGACCGGCCCATTAATTTCACTCTTTTTAAGGGGTGTCTGGATACTTTTGGACATATAGTACATGTGGGTCAAGGGTCACACAGCGTCCACAGCACTGCGGCCTACCTCACTGGCGACCCGATCCCACTTCGGAACGACCTTCTTTCCGAGAAGGCCTTTCTGCAGGGATGAAGGCTGGAATTTCAACAGTTTTGGGCCTTTCAAAACGTTCAATCTCTTCATCCTCGCTCTCGGACGTTTTCTGACCGCTGCTGTCTGCATTTCTGACCATCTGTGTAGGTTTCTGAGTGGCTTTGAGGCGTCCTTTCCCTTCATCATTGCTCAAGTCTTCCTCTGCATCTCTCTTTTTCTCTTTTTCATCACCATCTGCTCCAGCCTTCTTCTCACCTCGATCACACTCTTCGTCTGAGCTTCTCACACATCTCTCCACCTCCTCTTCGCTCTTTTCTTCCTCTCTTTCCAGCCACTCCTCTATCTCGTCGCTCTCTTCCTTTTCTTTCTCACTTCCTTCCTTCCTTTCTTCCCGTTTATCCACAGGTACATCTTCACGCTCCTTGTGGATCTTTGTGAACCTCTCCACGACCTCCTCATCGCTCTCCTTCACCGTTTCCTCAGTTTGTCTCTCCACAGCTTCATCACTCCCTCTCTCTTCCTCCTGTTTGCTTTTTCCTCCAAACTGTGGAGGTATCTCTCTACCTCCTCCTCGGAGTCTTCACCTACTTTCGGTTCCTCATGGCTTCCCTTCTTTCTTTCCTTCCCTCCCTTCTCTTGAGAATCTTCAGCCCCAGACTCTTTTTGCTTTTGCTCAAATCTCTCGAGGATCTCATCACTGCCGTCTTTTTCCTGGTTTTCCGGTATTTTCTCATTTTCTGTCCTTCTTCCCTCCTTTATCTGCTCTTGCTCTCGTTTGCTCTTATCCTCCTCGTTGGAATCTTCAGCTCCAGAATCATTGTCTTCCCCGAATCTCTCAAGGATCTCCTCGCTCTCATCTTTTTCTGAGTTTTCCAGCGTTTTCCCATTTTCTGTCTTTCTTCCTTCCTTTATCTCCCCTTGTTCTCCCTTGCCTTTGCCATCTTCTTTGGAATCTTCAGCTCCAGACTCATCCTGACTTTCTCCAAATCTTTCGAGAATCTCATCACTCTCATCTTTTTCCGAGTTTTCCAGCATTTTCCCATTTTCTGTCTTTCTTCCTTCCTTTATCTCCTCTTGTTCTTCTTTGCTCTTATCCTTTTCTTTGGAATTTTCAGCTCCAGACTCATCCTGACTTTCTCCAAATCTCTCGAGGATCTCATCACTCTCATCTTTTTCCGAGTTTTCCGGCATTTCCCTATCTTTCTGCTTTTTTCCCCTGCTTTTTCTCCTCCTCTTCTTTGCTCTCATCCTCCTCCTTGGAATCTTCAACTCCAGACTCTTCCTGCTTTTCACAAAATCTCTCGAGGATCTCATCACTCTCGTCTTTTTCCGAGTTTTCCGGTATTTTCCCATCTTCTGTCTTTCTTTCTTCCTTTATCTCCTCTTGTTCTCCTTTGCTCTTATCCTCCTCTTTGGAATCTTCAGCTCCAGACTCATCCTTGTCTTCTCCAAATCTCTCAAGGATCTCATCACTCTCATCTTTTTCCGAGTTTTCTGGCATTTTCCCTTCTTCTGTCTTTCTTCCCTCCATTCTCTCCTCCTCTCGTGAATTTTCCCCTCTGTGCTCCTCTTTTTCTGCAAATCTTTCAACAATCTCGTCCTCATCACTGTCATTTCTCTCTGTGTATTTCCCTCCGTCTACTTCATCCCCCTCTCCTTCCTCAGAGTCCACGGTATTTCTCTCTTCCCCGATCTCCTCCAGTATCTCTTCATCACTGTCTTTCTTTTCTTCATCTACCTGTTCCTCCCCCTCCTCTGCTCCGGACTCCCTCTCGCCACTCGTTCGCTCGCTGTCTTCGCCTCCCTCCATTGCCTTATTGTCGCTTTTCTCTGTTTTCTCTTCCTTCTGTGATTTCCCATCTTCCGTCTCCTTCACGTCCTCTTCTTCCTCCCTCTCTCCGCTCTCCTCCTCCTCCAGCTCAGCACTATCTTTTCTCTCATCCCTTGTTTTTTCTTCATCGTCCTTCTCTTGATCGGGTAATTCGTCCTCTCTGCTGCTGGGAGGGAAAACATCAGCACTGCTGCAGTCTCTGCTGCCCCCTGGTGGCTTGGAGGAAATCTGGCGCCCACGCAGGGAATCCTTACACAGGAAAACATTGGGCGAGAAGGAGGAAAGTGCAGAAAGAGAAAAAGAGGGAGAAAAAGAGATATCCAGAACAAAAGGAGGTTGGAGGTTGGATTTAGAGTGGGATAAAAAGAGAGAAGAAAGGAGGTGAGGGAGATGGGAGGATGGGGGTGAGGAGTGTTGGAAGACAATCTGAGACGCAGACACAACAGGAGCAAATACACTCACGCATTTCAGAGACGGTGGAACCCATCGAGAAAAAGAACTGCAACATCATTAACAAACAAACACAGAGAAACAAGACACTGTCAGACCAAGAGATAGAAAGAGAAAAAAGGGGATGATAGTGGGTTGAAAAGAACAGACAGACAGACCAAATAACATAAAAAAACATGAACTAACAGAGAAGAAAGAGAAGAAAAAAAAATAGAGAAATAAAGCAGCGAGAGAGAGAAAGAGAGAGAAGTGGGGGGGGGTAGGGAAGAAAAAGAGAGTGAATAAGAAAGAAAACAAGAGGAGACAGACAGAGGAAGAAAGAGAGAAAGGAAAGTAGACAAGAAAGAAAGAGAAGAGGAAAGGAAAAAGAGTAGAAGGGATAGAGTGAAGGTGGCATGTGAGTGGGAGGGGAAAGAAAAGAAGGGAAGAGAGGATGAAAGATGAGGTGATAGAAGAGAAGGGGTGATACAAGAGAAGAGAAGAGAATCGAAGAGAAGAGAAGAGAAGAGGAGAGGAGAGGAGAGGACAGGAGAGATGAGGAGAGAAGAGAAGAGAAGAGGACAGACGAGAAGAGAAGAGAAGAGAAGAGAAGAGAAGAGAAGAGAAGAGATGAAAAGAGAAGAGAGAGAAGAGAAGAGATGAGAAGAGAAGAGCAGTGATGAGAAGTGGAGAGAAGAGAAGAGAAGAGAAGAGATGAGCAGAGAAGAGAAGAGGAGAGGAGAGGAGAGGAGAGGAGAGGACAGGAGAGATGAGGAGAGAAGAGAAGAGAAGAGAAGAGAAGAGAAGAGAAGAGATGAGAAGAGAAGAGAAGAGAAGAGATGAGAAGAGATGAGAAGAGAAGAGCAGTGATGAGAAATGGAGAGAAGAGAAGAGAAGAGAAGAGAAGAGATGAGCAGAGAAGAGAAGAGGAGAGAAGAGAAGAGAAGAGAAGAGAAGAGAAGAGAAGAGAAGAGAAGAGGAGAGGAGAGGAGAGAAGAGAAGAGAAGAGAAGAGAAGAGAAGAGGAGAGGAGAGGAGAGGAGAGAAGAGAAGAGAAGAGGAGAGGAGAGGAGAGAAGAGAAGAGAAGAGATGAGAAGAGAAGAGAAGAGATGAGAAGAGATGAGAAGAGAAGAGCAGTGATGAGAAATGGAGAGAAGAGAAGAGAAGAGAAGAGAAGAGATGAGCAGAGAAGAGAAGAGGAGAGAAGAGAAGAGAAGAGAAGAGAAGAGAAGAGAAGAGAAGAGAAGAGGAGAGGAGAGAAGAGAAGAGGAGAGGAGAGAAGAGAAGAGAAGAGAAGAGGAGAGTTCAGACAGCAAAGCAGTAGCAGTGACAGTAGGAGGAGAGGAAGATGAGGAGGAGAACACAGTGACAGCCTGAACTGAACGACAGGTTCCAACAACACAACACCTACAACAACCAGTCAGAGCCGTAAACAGGCAGAGGGTCAGTTACGGGGTGAGGAGCACACAGACACAGGAGTGAGACTCACTTCAGCACTTTAACCATCTTACACAGCGCGTCAGTCACAGGCTCTGCAGTACGACACGGGTTCTAACGCTCACTTAACTTTTCCTCATATCAGGATTAAAACTACAATCATTTAACTCTACTCTGCATTTTCTAATCTGTTTCTAATAAAGTGGCCAGTGAGTGGAAGAACAAGGTGGGTGTTTCTAATAAAGTGGCCAGTGAGTGGAAATACAAGGTGGGTGTTTCTAATAAAGTGGCCAGTGAGTGGAAGTACAAGGTGGGTGTTTCTAATAAAGTGGCCAGTGAGTGGAAGTACAAGGTGGGTGTTTCTAATAAAGTGGCCAGTGAGTGGAAGTACAAGGTGGGTGTTTCTAATAAAGTGGCCAGTGAGTGGAAATATAAGGTAAGTGTTTCTAATAAAGTGGCCAGTTAGTGGAAATACAAGGTGGGTGTTTCTAATAAAGTGGCCAGTGAGTGGAAATACAAGGTGGGTGTTTCTAATAAAGTGGCCAGTGAGTGGAAATACAAGGTGGGTGTTTCTAAGAAAGTGGCCAATTAGTGGAAATACGAGGTAGGTGTTTCTAATAAAGTGGCCAGTGAGTGGAAATACGAGGTAGGTGTTTCTAATAAAGCGGCCAGTGAGTGGAAATACAAGGTGGGTGTTTCTAATAAAGTGGCCAATTAGTGGAAATACGAGGTAGGTGTTTCTAATAAAGTGGCCAGTTAGCGGAAACACAAGGTGGGTGTTTCTAATAAAGTGGCCAGTCATTGGAGGCACAAGGTAGATGTTTCTAATAAAGTGGCCAGTGAGTGGAAGTACAAGGTGGGTGTTTCTAATAAAGTGGCCAGCTTGATATGACGATTGTGACAGTAACAGTAGTGACCATGAAGGTACCTGAGAAGGTGGTTCTGGACTGTGGTCTCCAGACAGAGCCAGATCCTGGAGCTCTGGTTCAGTTTTCTCCTCAGCAGGTCCAGTGCCACTCACCTCACTGTCCTGGACACACGGATGCAGCCCACAGACATACATGTACGTGCGCACACACACACACACACAGATGCATAGACATATACATATTCATGTGATGTGTTCCTACATGCTGCCCAGTGTGTCGGTACACTGCCCGTCGCAAGACTGAGGACACTGAATTGTTTTAATACAAATCGGCACATTTCGTCAACTCTAAGCTTAGGTGTCCAAGCAATGCTGTATTTCCTGTCTCACGAAGGTGGATCACTTTTCACCAGGATACGTCACCATGGCAACTTACACTGCACCCCTAACCTGCTCCAGGGCTGGTAAAGGTCTGACATGAACAGCTCTTGGACCAATCAGGGCAGAGCTTCTGACCAATCGGGGACTGACAAAGCTGGACGTCTCCAGTCTATTTTTTGTTTATTTGTTTGTTTATGACATTTGTGGCATGAACGACTTTTCAAACTTGCTTTTCTATGTTTACAGATCTCAACCTAGCAAAAACAACGTCATTTATACTCTAATTACTCTGTTTATGGCACCTCGATATCAGAGTAAACAGAGCGCCAAAAAGAAGCAGAGGATCAGGCTTATTTACGTCGATAGCTGATCCATTAAAATATGCAGGACAGTAACAACAAATAAGACATTTTCAGACATGTTACAAGCTAAAATGTACACTATATGGCCAAAAGTATGTGGACACCTGACCATCCCACCTATATGAGCTTGTTGGACGTCCCATTCCATCACGAGATAATTAAGTCGTGGCCATGATTTAGCAAGGCGCGGGAATGAGATCCTAATGTATGCCTATGACTTAGTAAGGCATGGGAACAAGATAATTAAGTCGTGGCCATGATTTAGCAAGGCGTGTAAACGAGATCCTAATGTATGCCTATAACTTAATAAGGTGTGGGAACAAGATCATGCCTTATTAAGCTGTGATTAAAGCTTAATTATCTCATTGTTACGCCTTACTAAGTCACAGCCATGCATTAGGATCTTGTTCCCATGCCTTGCTAAGTGGTGGCCACGACTTAATTATCTCATTCCCACACCTTACTAAGTCATAGCCACTTTATTTTTATTAACACGGGATGTCACCAGCAGAGCTCCGCACATTCCCTCTTTTTCACCCATTAAAAATATTCACTGCGTCCTCTCGTGGGCTCTGTAGCTTTATGATAACCAAACTTCTTATTAGTATTTTATTGAGTGAGCTAACAATTTCAAAAGAAGTCAGGGTGTCTCCAGACTTTTGACGGGTGGTCTCCGTGTTCAAGAGATGAACAAACCCGTTACCTCGTACTGCAGCCCTCCTCCTCCCAGAGCGTTCAGATCCAAATGCAGGTTCTGCAGCAGACGAGAAGAACCTCGTAGACTCTATTCAAACACATGAAGAGTGAACAAACATGATAATATTACTACTGTTCTGAATTATATCACCACATGCTTTTATGATGGTTATGGTCAGTTCTAGAACACTAAACAAACCACAGGGGCCAGAAAAAAGACAGATTTTGGTGATGCATAACTGCTGTGTCTGATCCACTCAGACCAGCACAACACACACTAACACACCACCACCACGTCAGTGTTACTGCAGTGCTGAGAATGATCCACCACCCAAATAGTACCTGCTCTGTGAGGGTCCATGGGGGTCCTGACCACTGAAGAACAGGGTAAAAGGGGGCTAACAAAGTATCAGAGAAACAGATGGACTACAGTCTGTAACTGTAGAACTACAAAGTGCACCTATATAGTAAGTGGAGCTGATAAAATGGACAGTGAGTGTAGAAACGAGGAGGTGGTCAGAATGTTATGCCTGATTGGTGTATAAACCCTGTAGTGAAAGTCTAACTCAGTAGATTATCACAGCTCACTGCAGTGCATCTGAACCTAAAGCTGTTTATGTTATTTAGACATACCTCATGAACAGAATCCCTTTCCTGCTCTTCCTCCTCCACTTCATCGTCCTCCTGGTCTGAGTGAAATATGGGCGGAGACAGAGACAGCCTCTCGTCTGGTCGGCCTCTCAGTAAGCTGGAGCTCACACCGGACACGCCCTGATGCGCGCACACACACACACACACACACACACACACACACACACACACACACAGACACACAGACACACAGACACACACACACACACAGACACACACACACACACACAGACACAAACTCCTTTACACCTCAGTCAAAACCGCTCACTACTGCTCACACAGACATCCAGCAAAGTGTGTCAACAAAGCAGAAGTAGCAGCTTCCTAAAAAGTGTTCTTTTACCCCTAGTGGAGGCTTTAGAGCGCGTTCTTTTACCCCTAGTGGAGTCTTTAGAGCACGTTCTTTTACCTCTAGTGGAGTCTTTAGAGCGCGTTCTTTTACCTCTAGTGGAGTCTTTAGAGCGCGTTCTTTTACCTCTAGTGGAGTCTTTAGAGCGCGTTCTTTTACCTCTAGTGGAGTCTTTAGAGCGCGTTCTTTTACCTCTAGTGGAGTCTTTAGAGCGCGTTCTTTTACCTCTAGTGTAGTCTTTAGAGCGCGTTCTTTTACCTCTAGTGGAGTCTTTAGAGCGCGTTCTTTTACCTCTAGTGGAGTCTTTAGAGCGCGTTCTTTTACCTCTAGTGGAGTCTTTAGAGCGCGTTCTTTTACCTCTAGTGGAGTCTTTAGAGCGCGTTCTTTTACCCCTAGTGGAGTCTTTAGAGCGCGTTCTTTTACCCCTAGTGGAGTCTTTAGAGCGCGTTCTTTTACCTCTAGTGGAGTCTTTAGAGCGCGTTCTTTTACCCCTAGTGGAGTCTTTAGAGCGCGTTCTTTTACCCCTAGTGGAGTCTTTAGAGCGCGTTCTTTTACCCCTAGTGGAGTCTTTAGAGCGCGTTCTTTTACCTCTAGTGGAGTCTTTAGAGCGCGTTCTTTTACCCCTAGTGGAGTCTTTAGAGCGCGTTCTTTTACCCCTAGTGGAGTCTTTAGAGCACGTTCTTTTACCCCTAGTGGAGTCTTTAGAGCGCGTTATTTTACCCCTAGTGGAGTCTTTAGAGCGCGTTCTTTTACCCCTAGTGGAGTCTTTAGAGCGCGTTTTTTTACCCCTAGTGGGGTCTTTAGAGCGCGTTCTTTTACCCCTAGTGGAGTCTTTAGAGCGCGTTCTTTTACCCCTAGTGGAGTCTTTAGAGCGCGTTCTTTTACCCCTAGTGGAGTCTTTAGAGCGCGTTCTTTTACCTCTAGTGGAGTCTTTAGAGCACGTTCTTTTACCCCTAGTGGAGTCTTTACAGCGTGTTCTTTTACCCCTAGTGGAGTCTTTACAGTGTGTTCTTTTACCCCTAGTGGAGTCTTTACAGCGTGTTCTTTTACCCCTAGTGGGGTCTTTACAGCATGTTCTTTTACCCCTAGTGGAGTCTTTACAGCATGTTCTTTTACCCCTAGTGGGGTCTTTACAGCGTGTTCTTTTACCCCTAGTGGAGTCTTTACAGCGTGTTCTTTTACCCCTAGTGGGGTCTTTACAGCGTGTTCTTTTACCCCTAGTGGAGTCTTTAGAGCACGTTCTTTTACCCCTAGTAGAGTCTTTACAGCGTGTTCTTTCACCGCTAGTGGAGTCTTTACAGCGTGTTCTTTTACCCCAGTGGGGTCTTTACAGCATGTTCTTTTACCCCTAGTGGAGTCTTTACAGCGTGTTCTTTTACCCCTAGTGGAGTCTTTAGAGCACGTTCTTTTACCCCTAGTGGAGTCTTTAGAGCACGTTCTTTTACCCCTAGTGGAGTCTTTAGAGCGCGTTCTTTTACCCCTAGTGGAGTCTTTAGAGCACGTTCTTTTACCCCCAGTGGAGTCTTTAGAGCACGTTCTTTTACTCCTAGTGGAGTCTTTAGAGCGCGTTCTTTTACCCCTAGTGGAGTCTTTAGAGCGCGTTCTTTTACCCCTAGTAGAGTCTTTACAGCATGTTCTTTTACCCCTAGTGGAGTCTTTACAGCATGTTCTTTTACCCCTAGTGGAGTCTTTACAGCATGTTCTTTTACCCCTAGTGGAGGCTTTACAGCGTGTTCTTTTACCCCTAGTGGAGTCTTTAGAGCACGTTCTTTTACCCCTAGTGGAGTCTTTAGAGCACGTTCTTTTACCCCTAGTAGAGTCTTTACAGCATGTTCTTTTACCCCTAGTGTAGTCTTTAGGGCGTGTTCTTTTACCCCTAGTGGAGTCTTTAAAGGCTGGAGTCCTACAGAGTTGCCCAGGGAACCACGCAGTGCTGGAACCGGAGCATCACTCACACCTCTCAGAGGAGCCAGAGAGCCTAACGGGGCCAGAGGACCCAATGCCTGAGAGAGAGAGATAAACAATAAACAGAGAGAGAGAGAGAGAGAGAGAGAGAGAGAGAGAGAGAGAGAGAGAGAGAGAGAGCTGTTTATATCACCACTTCTTCAGCGTATTGAAATGCTAATACAAATATTACACAACTGACCACGCGATCTGATTGGCTGACCACACACTGCTACTGTCGGTACCAAACCCGTTTTGTTATTGTTGTGTTTTTTTAAACAGATTTCGAATACTTAAGCTGCTCTTTACAGTGCGTTATAATTTTCTGATGAATGGACCAATAGAAAGGCTTCAAAATTACTTGGGAAATAAAAACCTTTTGGAAGGTTGAAGGTTTTTTCGCTTCTCTATTGAAGCTGTAGAGTGTAGAAACGATGTTTTGACGGTGAACGCGTCTGCACGCACTTAATGAACCGAATCAACGCGTTTACATGCACTTGGGCAATCAGATAATGGGGAAACTCCAGGTCTATATGAGTCAGGCAGTAATCAGATTTCTGCTTTGCAACCAGCCAATAAACTCACAGAAGACGTGACATAAATGTCACATAAAACTCTCATGTCTTTTTTTTCGCAACTTTACCTGAAAACACGAACATACATCATCTAGAAGATGAAGAATATTTAAATCCTTCATTCCGTCAAGCATGTATTTGGTTTCAGCGTCGCCCCAAAAGTGTTTTGCTGCGTCTCGCGGTGACGCTGCTCGCTTATTTTCGGTACCGCGGCCTGTTTTTGCACATGCTCAGACTTAAAGAAAGGAAAGAAATCAGAGTAAGAGTTCACATGCACTGAGAAATCTGATTACTGAGATAAAATCCAGCCTCTTTATCAGATTTCTTGATCGGATTTCTAGAGCTTACTCTGATTTAAGAGTTCCTAGTGTGCTGTTTACATGACTATTTGAATAATCAGATAACTGCAGAAATCTGATTATGATCGGATTACTGAGGGCATGCAAACGCATTCAGTGACGATATATAACAAGTCTTGGAGCTTCTTTGCTTTAAGCTGTAAAACTCTCATGCAAAAGCAACACACACTTGAGGTGGTTTGTCATTTAAGCAGTAGAACCTGAGAGGCAGTGTGTTATCGCGAAATAACCTCACGGCTGTGATATTGGCGATAACACACTCCTCTCGTGTTCTATTGCGTTAATACAACAGTTACATAAATAAAGTAATAAATTAATAAACTGGGCTGTGAACGCGGCGTTTAATATGTTTTAATGTTCGCAGTTCCTTCACCAAATTATAGTTCCTTAACGAGCAGCTTGTTGCTACGTCAGAGTAACGAGCTCCGCTCACTGCCGCAATATCAAGTTCAGCTCAGTTTTGTCATTTTTTGCCAGATCAGTATTAATGTTGTTTTGTTCCAGCCAGTCTGTAAAGCATCTTACAGCCCATTTAGTTTGGCGAATGGTATTGGGTTCATTTCTGGCTGATTCCAGGTTGTTTAGCTGTTCTTCTGTCACAGCTGCAACGGCGTCTTTGTGAAAAAAAGTGCTGTTATTTCGCCGTTAGAACGCTCCTCAACCAATCAGCTTGCGTGGCCGGAACTAACTGTTGTATAAGAATAAATAAGTCATGGCTGTGATGATCTACTGCAACCAAAACTACTGCTGTGACAGTTTTCACAATAACACACTGCCTAGAGTATTAAAATAAGTTTCCATGAGCGCTACATCCTCAGCTCTGTGCTATCCCTGTCTTCCTACCTCTACTCGGCTTAGCCTCAGCGTCTCCATCCCCTCCGCTCCCCCTCTCTCCTTCTGCTGTGAAAGAGGGACCACTGCGGAAGAGGGTGTGAGGGTATGTATGAGCTGAAAATGCTCTAAACAGCGACACACTGGTGAAACTGTCCCGACGGCGCCCTCTAGAGACTGCCAGTAGTGTTGCACGATTAAAGGATCAAAGCTCAAAGCATCACCGCTGTCACTACTGCTGCTGTCTGCCGGCCTTTTCGCTCCTCTCCCTACCACGATCTCTCCATCACTGTATCTCTCCAGGCTTGTGAGAGAACCTTTTTCCGACAGAGCCTTACAGAACCCAGGCTTCAAGTTTGTTTCCTCCCTCTGAGTGTATTCATGAAGGACAGACGGCTCGGCTAGCAAGTCCCTGCTCAGGACTTCAACAGCATCCGCCAGCACCTTTGATGAGTCTATGGAAGCACCAAAAGGAGGTGTGGGCTGGACTGAGGGGAGAGAAAGGGCTGTGGTAGGTGGAGCTGTGGGGATAGAGGCTGACGAACATGGCATATAGCGGGCCGGGCGGGTTTGGAGCGGACCGAGGGCCAGCCGGGCAGCATTAGACGAGTCCTGACCTTCATCTGATCTCTTCTTCTCTCCCTTTCTACTCTTTCTCTTTCTCCCCTGCGCTGTACCTGCATCTGCAGTCTGATTATATGTGAACAAAACACACAACGGCGTCTGATTACAGTGTTATGATGTCCGATTACATACATTCTCAGTCTCAGAAGCTCCGCCCAGGACTGTTCGATATCTATCGTGTGCTAAAATGGCCACAACTATTGGAATATGGTCAGTAGGGTTGGGCAGTATCTCTCAAAAATGATCAAAACATTTAGTTCGGTTACATCAGGGGTCGGCAACATGGGACTCTGGAGCCCCATGTGGCTCTTTTACTGCCCCGCTGTGGCTCCACAGCCCCATTAGATTTGTAGGTAAAAATAAAATAATCCTCCTTTACAGTAAAATAAAGCTCTGCTGATCGTTCAACACAGTTTAACAATAAATGGTCTTAAACTCTGGAGTTAATGTAGAACTGCTGATTCACCCTTTAACCCTGAAGATCAGTGCAGACTGCTGGTCATAGCAACACAGACAACAGTCTCGTCTAGCTAGTAGCTAACGAAACGGCAAAGAGAGAGATTTAAGACGAACATCGATAATTTGGAGGTGAATGGACTTATTTGTGTTTATAATCAGTCCAGCTGGTTTCCTGATACATTAGCGAGAAACTGACAAACACTAAAAAGTCGCGAAGCTGAAGTCAGATTCTCGTTCGCCGGATTCTTGTTCAAATTTTCCGGTTCCACCTTAAATAGTGCAGCATTTAAGGTACAGCCTCAGGCAGCACTTAAAATTCAAACAAGAAGCTGGAGAATGAGAAGCGACTTCAGCCTTGTAAAAGTCGAACGTTGAGAGACATTTTACAAGAAACTCTTGTGGAAAGGTTTCCTGCTAGAGATGCGAGAAAAGCGGCTATAACTGAGCTAAAGCTTAAAGCAGAGCAGAGTCTGCGTTTTTGTTTATTTTATATTTTTTTGCCTGCATTAGTACATCAGCACGTACTGAGACATATTTACAGCCAAGATGGCAGAACATTACTTCAATAAAATGGACATGAAATGCTGTGGCTGCCAAGGTGGTTTGATTTTTGTTGAAATGGGACAAAAAGGCTCTTCCTAACACTTGTGCTTCCCTGGCTTACAAGGTCACCAAATAGGTGAGCGCAATGCAGGATTTCTAAGCCATCATCCAACAAATGTCAAACCATCCATTTAAACAACTGCTGAACGTTAAACAGTGCTGCTAACTGAGAGGAGCTGACGAGCATTAGCTGAGCTAGCATCATAACAGCTCTTCTAACAAAAGAACATGTTGGATGCTGGGTAACTAAAGCACTGACACAGGTTTAGATGATAATGATTCCAATCTGAGGGAGTGAAGTTGAACACCTGGCGCTAAAGGAACTGAAAGAAGGAACTAAACCTGTTCTGTGGTGTTTGGATCTGTAGCGTGATCAGTTAATTAATGTTAGCTTAGCAAGCAGGCTACAAACCCAAACAGTGCCAATCCTTGATTTTCTGACAGTAAGTTAATATTGTCTACAGTTATGCACATTTTTATGTTTATTGGCTAAATTTAACATTAAAAAATTAGTTTTTATTTTTCTCGTCGCTGTCTAAAAAAAAAACATGCATCTCCAAAATAGTAACTTTACTTACCTTTTAATTCAAGTTAATGTCAAGATTTTAATTTTAGTTTTATTCCAAGTGAATCTGCAGCATTTCTATCGGTCCAATCATCATGAAAATTTCAGACAATGTGAAGGACGGCTGCTGTGTTCAAATGATGTAATCAACTAAAAATCGCTAAAAATGGAGATACATGTTTTTCTTTGGACAGCGACGATATTAAACGCAGCAAATAAACAGAGACTGTGCACTAAAATGTGAAGAAAAATGCCATATGCAAGTTTGTTCCCTGCATATGGTGTGTTTAGAGCTCATTTCCACTTAGAAAAATCAACATTTTTTCTTTTATTTTTTACCAGGGGTGTAGAAATCTGCACACGACTCTAAGCTTCACTTATTAGCTACATCAGCCTCAAAGCTCCAGTGTGAAACAAAAGAGGAAACTTCAGATGCTGAACATCTCTTGGCTGATTGACTACATTTTGGGTTAAGAGAAAACTGCATTAGATTTTCCCCCAAAGTATCACTTTAAATCCACACACAGATCCAAACTCACTCCTGGAGCTTTCAGCCCCTCCTGCTCGTTCTTCTTCTTCTCCTTTTTCTTGTCCTTCTTGTCTTTCTTCTTCTTCTTCTCCTTGTCCTTCTTGGCGGCGGCGGCGGAGGTGGGGGCGGAGCCTGAGGCGGCGGGAGCGGTCCTGTTGAGTCGCGGCTGGGTGCGCTCCCGCTCCTGAGCCACCAGGTGGCGGTACTGCTCGTCACAGGGGTGGTCCCAGGTGGACTGGCCGGTGGAGAAGTTGAAGTAGTACACGTCCCCCGTCACGTCCTGGCTGGAGAGGGGGGGAGAGGAGGGGGTCACACACACACCTCCATGTGCTTGACACAAACGTGCGCTCGCTTACACACACGGAAAAAAAAACACAGAAATGTACATGTAACAAAACGTAAACAAAAACAATGTAATGACTGGATCTCCTTTGCGTTTTGTCTCTAGTCTGCATCACTGTGAATACTGTCTCAAGGCCAACTGACACTAGAGGTCTGCTACCCCACCTGATGTGGACCCGCACAGTATTTTTGTCTTTCGGGCTGATTTATTTATTTTTTTTTAAATCTGGTTTGGGTTTTTTTTCTAATACGTCATGTTTGCTCTATTGCAGATGTACTTCAATGTGAAGGAATACGCCTAAAAGTACATGCAACAAAGCCTGACTGTGGTAAGCTGTTCACCACTGGACATCGACTACTGCCTGGTCCTGCAGGGTCAGAGCATTTCAGATACTGGCCAATGAAAACACAGAGCCTGTGGCCCGACTACTGTAAACCATACTGCGTGTGTTGTAATTAACTGTGAGCTTCAAATAAGTACTGATTTATTATTTTTCTAATAAATATCATCTTTTACAAAGTAAGATCCTAAGATTACGTTTCTTCAGAACAAAGCACTTCACATCAAACTGAGAGGTGTGTAGTCACTTATTACATTTACTCAAGCACATGTACTTAAGTAAAATACAGAGGGCTTTGCACTCTTCTGGGTATTTTCAAATCATAATACTTTCACTTCCACTCAAATATGTTAGCAAGTAAAGGAGTCTACTTTTTACTCAGATACATTTTACACACGCACACATTTTCCAAAACGCTTATCCTTCTGGGTCGCAGGAGGAGCTGGAGCCTATCCCAGCAGTCATTGAGCGGAAGGCAGGATACACCCTGGACCTGCCAGTCCATTGCAGGGCAGACAGACAGACATACACATTCACACACACACTCAAACCTAGGGGCAGTTTAGTTTTAGTGTCAAATCCGCCTGACTGCATGTCTTTGGACTGTGGGAGGAAACCCACGCAGACACAGGGAGAACATCCAAACTCCACATGGAAAGGACCCCGGTCGCCCGGCCAGGAATCGAACCCAGGCCCTTCTTGCTGTGAGGCGACAGTGGGTAGTTTTGGGATTCGTCAAACCTGTCTTTGGGCTTTAGAACTTTGTTTTAGACCAGTAAGATCCCAAAAAGAGTAGAAGTCTTCAGTTTCCTATGCTGAAAGATACAGGATTCACTACAAAGTGCCACTCCAGTTATATATATTCTGGGAAAGTATTTTTAACTATTACCTTCATCATTATTTTACCCAAGTATTTACACTTTTACTTGAGTTTGGGTTTAGACTCTACTCATCTCTGGTCAAACCACACTGAATGACTTCACATCTCAGCAACTGAATTACACAGAAGTGTAGGAAAATGGGTGGACTTGCCCTTTAATTTTACACCTGTCTACCTCTGTGTAGGGGTATAGTTGAATAATATATCAGCTGCCACCCCTACGCTGACTGAAGGACTCACTCTGCTGGGGTTTGTTGATGTGAGTGTTAGGAGTGAAAACTCGGCCTACCAAGGTTTCCATTCGGGAGGCAGTGGGGCAACGATACCCTCCCTGGCCAACCAGAGGAGCTCCGACTCCCGATCCGGATCAATGCCGATCTCTCTGGCGTACTCGTGGATCTCTGTGGGCAAAGAAGGACAAGGGTGAAAAAAAGGACACACACACACACACACACACACACACACACACACACACCTGGCAATACAGAACGTAATTATATTTTAAGATCCTGTACTTAGTATGTAATTACACTCAAACAGTAAAGTAACACAGCAAGAACTCCAATTCTAAGGTTTAATCATTTCAAAAATGATTATTTCGGATTCATCATAATTCTTCGATTGTAGTTTTCTGTGCACTTCTATAGATTCCTGAACAAAATACGCTGCAAAATCAAAATCTGGCCACTAGACGAGGGAGGCAGGATGAGTTACCTTGTTCAGAGGGGATATAGTTCTCATCATAATCCTCTTCTAGGATCAGCTGGTCTCCTATTCGGAGGGCAGCAGCATTCATGCTGACTGAAGGCGCACAAAAGAAACAAGGCAGAGTTGAAATCAATAACAAACATGAACGAGACTCGGGTAGGTCCACGTGGTGGTTCTGGATGGTAAATAAAATGTCTATATTTGTGTTGTAGTCATGGCGACCCCTGGTTCCTATCACCACCACTGTAAAGAAATCTGAACCATTTCAGACCAGACCACCCTGTTTACACAGCTCGAACACTGAACCACTCAGAAATTTTGAAAAACCGGTGGAATTGCCCTTTAATCCTGTCAGTAAGCGGTAGCTACCTGGCTGCATTTCCACGGCAACGTTAGTGAGGAACATTCAACAAAACGTTTCTAATTTGAACATTTTAAGGAAAGCTGGAAGCTTTTTCCCCACTTAGTGTGATCAAACAGCAATTATAAGCACCAATTTTATTCAAAATGTTCTGGTTTAGATGCTGAACTGAGACAGTTCACCTCCCGTGAACGTGTTGAGGTGATATTACTGCCAACACATTTTCACATCCCTGCTTTATGTATAAAATTAGCTTTTTGTATTGTAATTTAGCGCTAATAATTCAAAATTAGGTCGTTATGATCTCGTCTTATTAATAATGAGACGTAATAATTTCAGAGAACCTCTAAAAAAAAATAAAGGCTGAAGTTGGCTTTCTATTCGCCAGCTTCTTGTTCGAATTTTTCCGTTCCACCTTAAATGGCGCAGTAGTTCCATTCTCAGGTCCGTTTAGAAAGGAACTGCTGCACCATTTAAGGTGGAACGGGGAAATTCGCTGGCGAACAGTAAGCTGACTTAAGCTACGTCCGAAAAAAAACAATAAAATTAAAATTAATTTAGCAAAAACAAGCACAAATAAGCACAAAGACACCCGACTGGCTGCATTTGGGTCGAGTTTTACTCGCATTGTCACAGATGAAGCGCCAGCTACGACGGAGAAAAGTTGGCGTTAACGTTACCGCGCAGTTTACTTTACGAACCGTTTTCACCTTTTCCGTCCACAACACGCCGCCGTTAGCCCTCCGGTTTAGACAGAACCGGTCAGAAACGAACCGTGTTCATTATGAGGAAAACACGGCTAGCTTACAGCCGCGGGCAGCATCTGCTCGCAGGCGGCTAATTAGCTAAGCTAAAGCTAAGCTAAGCTAAAGCTAACTTAGCTGTCAACAACAGAGCAAGCGCAGCAGGACGGAAACCATGGCAACCACGGGTTAACCCTCACACGCCCCACAGCGCTGATTTTCATTTGTTTACTGTCTCATTTTCCTCTTTTAAACTGTTTTTAGGAAGCCCACCGACCCTATTCTGCTTTGGGAAAGGGTTATAAAATTATAAAGTCTAATTTTGTTTTAATATTAGTGAGTTTATTGCATAAAAGCGTTAGTATTTTGATAGAAGGCCCCAATTTCATTTTAAAGGTGAACTCCACTGACTTGTCCAAACCTCTGTATAATTAAATGGTTTAAGATGTAAACAGAGTCGTTCAGAGTGGTTTGGTGTGAAACGCTCTGTTCTAGAGAAACTTACTGAGTCAGAACTGTTCACAGTGGTGGTGATAGGAACCAGACGTCCACCTCTAAAAGCTCCCTCACAGAAAGTTACTACATGGTTATGAATTCACTGCCTGGTGTCTTTATGAGAGTTTTGTGATAAATTTATGGTACAAAATCTATTTTAATTCCATTCATGGCATTCTTGTTCATATATATATATATATATATATATATATATATATATATATATATATATATAGTTGCACATACTCCTAAAGGTTCTTCAAGGGTTCTTTAGTAAAGACAATGGTACATACAGAACCATGTACACTCAAAGAACCGTTTGTATGCTTAAATGGTTCTTTGCATGGTGAGATTGTTCTTCAGATTGGTGGAGAATGTGTTGTGTATGGTTCAATATAGAACCTTTTTGAAAAGAGTTCTATATAGGACCAAAAGGGTTCTTCTGTTACAATCTCAGTTTGGTTCTTTATAGAACCATATACAACATTCTCCATCATCTGAAGAACCATTTCACCATGCAAAATACCATTTAGGTATGCAAATGGTTCTTTGAGTGTTCATGGGTCTATACAGAACAGATACCACTGTCTTTACTAAAGAACCCTTGAAGAACCATCTTTTTTAAGAACGTAGACTAAACACACACATGTAGAAATACAAAAGCGAGAAACTAACGCCTACCTGACGTTTCCCACTTTAACACAGAGTCAGAAACAGAGCTTCACAAAAGCAGTGAGACACACGGCGTCGTTTACTATGTGCTTTTATTATCGTACAGTATCCAACCAAAAAAAAACGATCATTTTCATCTTCCTAAATCAGAAATAACCTCGATAAACAGCCAAAAGCAAAGAACATAAGCGTTAAATTAAAAACAGAAATAAATACCAGTGTAAAATTAGACATAAAAAAACTAAGAAATAGAAAACAGGAGTGAGAATCGCTCAACAGGAGTTCAAACGCTTGGTCAGCAGGGATTCGCTGTGGTCCCACGGCACCGCGGAGGAAAGATCGCTAAACAGGAAATCGCCGTCAATTCGGTAGTTTTCGTTGACAGCAGTCGTTAATCCGCCTCTTGTATCCATTCCAGCTGTGAAGAGAGGTGGAGATGCCTACTGGCCGGACATCTTGACCAGATTAGAGGAGTTTTTCGGCCAACTAAGCTAACATTGCTAACATTGACACAGAATAAACAGCCGTCAATGAGCATCGTGCTAATGGAGTCATGCTAACTGGTGACTACTGGTGTCTGTTCAATGTCGGCCATGTTGGCTTTGCCTTTAAACCAGTTACACTGTAAATGAAGAGCCTCCACTGTAAACCCACTGTGGTCAGGGACTAAGGACGTCCGTCACTGGCCAGTAGGGTTCACGCTAGTCTGTGAAGACGAATGGACTAGAGTTCAGCCAGTTTAGTGAACCCATTCGCTCCAAACTGCTACACTCAAAGATGGTTCTTCAAGGGTTCTTTAGTAAAGACATATAGAAGCTCCATATAGAACCATGAACACTCTAAGAACCATTCGCCTGCTTAAATGGTTCTCTGCATGGCGAAATGGCCCTTCAGATTGATGAAGAATGTGTATGGTTCTATTAAGCACCAAAAGGGTTCTGCTGTCAAGCTTTTAACAAGAGAAGAACCCTTTTGGTGCTACATAGAACCATAAACACATTCTCCATCAATCTGAAGAACCATTTCACCATTAAGCATGCAAATGGTTCTTTGGGTGTTCATCGGTCTGTATAGATGGAGAATGTGTTGTATATGGTCCTATATAGCACCAAAAGGGTTCTTCTGTTGTTACTAGCTTGATAGCAGAACCCTTTTGGAGCTATATAGAGCCATATGCAACAGTATATTAGTGCTACATAGAACCATGAACACATTATCCATCGATCTGAAGAACCATTTCACCATGCAGAGAACCCTTCGAGCATGCAAATGGTTCCTTGAGTGTTCATCGTTCCGTATACATGGAAAACGTGTTGTATATGGTCCTATATAGCACCAAAAGGGTTCTGCTATCAAGCTTGTAACAACCGAAGAACCTTTTTGGTGCTATATAGGAGCATTTCCAGAAAGGTTCTACATATGACACCAAACACAACACATTCTCCATCAATCTGAAGAACCATTTCACCATGCAAAGAAGCATTTAAGCATGTAAATGGCTCTTTAGAGAACCATTGTCTTTAATAAAGAACCCATGAAGAACCATCTTTTCAGGAGCGTAGTTGATCAGCCGAGGCATGTTTGCTTCTGTAGCTTTGCACTGGAGCTACAAGGCTAACATAGCTAACAAGTAAGGTGGGGTTTTCTGCGTTGCAGGTTAGTTTTGTGCCCTCTAGTGGTTTGTGGAGGCACTGCAGGGGGTTTGTGATGGAAATGTCAATTATTTTTTTAAATAAAATCACTTTCTTGTGACCTCATAAGTACAAAATGTGTACAGAAGTTCATTTCCATTCAACCTAAATCCACTCAGAAGTTCCTGAGTTAATCATTTCTTGATAAATGTTGTTATAACAGAAAGCTAGCAGGCTAAACCATGTTTTAATGGCTAAAACTGTTTAAGCAAATTAACTTTGTGTCACTGTATGTTTGGTACAGGTTCCTTATCAATGTATCAAGCAAGCTACACACACAAGCCTGGCTGCAGCATCATTTCGTTCAAAAATACTGCTTAAATTAAAACGGTGGCCTACGTAAAAGCTCAAGAGGTCATTTCGGTTGGGAACCCCTTAAATCCACCATTTAGCACGGTGCTAACTGCATGTGGAGTTCAGTCTCTCTAATAGACTTGATTATGTGGTTTCTGACACTGTATGATACACTATTATCTGTAAATATGGATAAAGTACAGTGCAAATTGGTGGGAGTGGCTTCCATTACTTGTTAGCTACATTAGCCTCATAGCCCCAGTGCTAAAGCTAAAGAAAGAATTTTGGCATTTTGAGGAAGGTGGAAATGCTAAAATGTGATTTTTAAAGTTTAAATAGTAGTTTTAATAGTAATAATAACTGGCCTGAACTCTTGCCCATTCAGCTAGAATTACAAGATTTACAGTCATATGCAAAAGTTTGAACAGCCCTAGTCAAATTCCACATTTTCTGACTGAAAATCCTCTATAGAGAACACATTTATGCTCATTTTACTGCACAGTGTCTATTTTTTTTGATGAATTTAAAATGTGCTATACTTTTGCACAGGCCACATTTCATGTTTTATTTTTTTCCCCTAATATGTTAAATTCAGCAGTAATCGTGCACTAAAACATGCACAACTGTGTTCTCCGTAGAGGATGTGTTAACTTATTTATACATCAAAAAACAGAAAATCAACAAAAAAAGTGCCATTTGATGGAGTCAGTGAAGGAAACTGTGCTTACAAACATGAAACTATTGCATACAGCAACAAATCAAATGAGAGATAGGTAGTTGATTAACTTACTCCCTCACCCCGAACACATGTTCCATATTTTCCAGATTTGATATGTTGAAAAGAATTAAAAAAAAAAAAAAACACAAAAAACAAACAAAAAACAAAACAAAAAAAAAGAAATAACTCATAAATCAATAACAGCTCGAGCACTTCAAGCAAATGACTACTCACTGGTCTCCAAATGTATCAAAATGCATCACTTGGCTCGCGGCAAACTGATGAATTTCACCTTTAAGGCTTTCCATTCACTTATATATACACACTATATGGACAAAAGTATTGGGACACACCTCTTAATCATTGAATTCAGGTGTTTCATTCAGTCTCACTGAACAATGAGTGCACAAAGCAGCTCCATAAAGGTCTGGCTGGGTGAGTTTGGTGTGGAGGAACTTGACTAACCCTCACAGAGTCCTGACCTCAACCCCATCAAACACCTTTGGGATGAACTAGAATGGAGATTGAGAGCCAGGCCCTCTCGTCCAACATCAGTGTCTGACCTCACAAATGCTCTTCTAGATGAATGGGCAGAAATTCCCACAGACACTCTCCAACATCTTGTAGAAGCTTCCCAGAAGAGTGGAAGCTGTTAGAGCTGCAAAGGGCGACCAACTCCATATTAATGCCTATGGATTTAGAATGGGAGTCATAAAAGCTCCTGTGGGTGTGATGTGTAGGTGTCCCAATACTTTTGTCCACATAGTGTGTATGTATATATTTTCTTCAGGAGAGCAACCCTCCACATTCAAGAATACTAAGAGCAAACCATACGCTTTCATTTAAGAAAATGCTTTTTTTTTGGACGATATTAATTAATAATATATTTATCTTAATGAAATTCATGTCATCATATGCAGTTCAAGTAGGCTCTGCCAACTCTGAATACAACAGCAATGATATATGTATTTTTTTATGAGCTCAAGCTGTTTTCAGGGTATAGAAGTAATGGTTTTTTTGTATGAACTTAATAAATAAAGGAAATAAATTAGTAAATACCTTTATGCCTGGACAAAAATCTGAAAACCTGACTGGTTAGTTAACAAAGTCGAGTTGCTTTTACAAAAAATAAAAGTGTGCTGGTTCTGTAGTTCATTTATACTGCATTATCGTCATTAAACAGACCCAGTCGTTCTACATCGGTAATCATGATTTGAATTATATATGAATTAACCCAGCCCTGCCTTAAGGTAACAGGCCAATCAGCAAAGCCCTTTTTTGTGCCTTAAAGGGAATTTTACTGATGTTTCCACATTTCTGCATACAGTGTGTGAGCTGTAATCAGAGTGATTAAGAGTGGTTTGGTGTGAAATGGTTCAGACTTCTTTACAGTGGTGGTGATGGGAACCAGGGGTCGCCATGACTACAACACAAATATAGACATTTTATTTACTATCCAGAACCACCAGTGAACCTACACGAGTCTTCTGAGTTTATATGGAATGTTGATGATGGAAAATAGTGGAAAATCTGAAATAATAAGTTTTCTTTGGGGACTATTTTGCCTCACAGCACCCTGCATGTTATGTATCCCTCCACCAAAATACATTTCTGGCCAAAACGTTACTGTAAAACTACTGTAACACAACCTCTCAGACATCAGGCAGCGTATCCTTAACCAGGGAAGGTACTTAAAGTTGAAGGTGCTGAAATTTTAAGCAGCATATGTGACGTGAATGATGATGTCATGCAAAAGGATTTTCCTTTTTATATCAGATCATCAGGAGAATGTGTCAAAACGTGCTATAATGAAGTTAAAGACAACAACACATACATATAACTGAGACATCAGACTGCTGATGCAGGCCTACATCCTCTCTCTGCTATTTGGAATGGACGAACTTTATGCAAATGAACCAGCGACCAATCAGATTGATGATGTGTGGCGCGATAACTGATTGTGTCACTCCCATAGTAACACAGTGGGACTCAACACTGGAATATACACTGAGCAAGAAATATAACAGTTGATAAAAACATTGTTGGGCTAGATTATCATTTCTGAGTTTAAAAACATTATTATCAATATATTAATAGGTTGCTATGGGGTCAGAACAGGCCTATAACTCTGAATGTGTTTTAGTGATGGGCCCCCAAAGCACCCAACAGTTGTCAAGGAAGCAATTCGGCTCGCTGTAATGAAAATACAGCACTACTGGAGGTTTTAATAATACATAAACAGAATATAAACATACAAACTCCACTTTAAAACAAGCACACACAGGTCTTTGCTTTGCTAAAGTCATTATAAAGTTCAGAACTTATTATTATTATTATTATTATTATTGGCAGTCTGGAGGTGCTACAGCACCGTTAGCACCCCCATTTACCACGTCCCTGATCATAACCATTTAATGTAATAACTTTCAGTGACGGAGCTTTTAAGGACTGACGTCTGGTTCCTATCACCACCACTGTGAACGATTCCGACTGTAAGTTTCTCTTGATTTCACACCAAACCACTCTGACTGACTGTTCACATCGTTACCATTTAACTGTGCAAAAATTTTGAAAAAATTGGTGGAATTCCCCTTCAAATCCAGTACTCATCAGTGTTATACAGAGGAGCCAGTTCAATATAAAAAGAGACATTAATCCAAGTTAAAATCAGAGAGGACACTTTGCAATAAACATTGTGTGCATTCAGTCCACGGAAAATAAGAATTGCAAGGATGAAGCAACAGTTCTTAGTTAGTACGATCTGTTTGGGCTGTGTTGTGCAGTAGATAAATGTGAGTACAGTGAAATCAGAGCCTCAGAGAGTATTATCTGTGAATATGTGAGGTTATTTGCTATAAGGCAGGTTAATTCGGGACTTTTTCACCAAGCGAAAGCTTCGTTAAAGGGGCATTCCGGCCTAAAGGCTAGACTCCGGCCTAAAACCGTGCAGATTTTAGCACAGCGCTGAATACAATAAGATAGCAGTTAACGTTAGCTATCTCTACTTCACTAGCTAAAAAAATCAATACAAATCAATACAAATTAATTAATTAATTAATTCAAATACAGAAAGCCCCTCCTACCTTCAAGATACATCATCAGGAGGGGCTTTTATTAGCATTTAAAAGGGAAAATCTCACTCTAGATCAGGGGTCTTTAATTAAAAAGTCAATAAGGTCCAGTTAGAGAAAATTTCCTCAAGCGAAGGTCCAGAACATTATAATGTCTAAGTTGCATCATGATTCAGTGCCATATACTGTTTACTGAAGTAGCCTAGTAGGTATATCAGCATCTTATACAGTCAACAACTGAATATCAAATCAAATAAAGTCCAATTCAGTCATATTTCAACAACATTTGTCAGTTTTCTCTTTTTACAGCACGCCATGTGAAATAACTTCCCTCTGACTCACTTTCTCCTCCAACTGCCTGTCTCGCCTCGTCCCTGCGTCACTCACTCGAGTCTCAGTGCTCATCGTAATGCACAGATCTGATTGGCTGAGTAGCGTCAGGTGTGATTTTTACAACGCATGCGGTTGGTCTGTGAGTCTCCCGGGCCGCTAAACCGGCACCGTAATGAATAGAAAAGTTACGCTTAAAATAGGACCACCCCGTCAAAATTAAATAATTCTCCATAGTTTATCGGTTACAGGTCCAGGTCCGCATAGGACAGCGTCTGGGTCCGGACTTGGACCGCAGTCCGCCTATTAGTGACCTCTCTAGAGTGCTCTAGAGTATACAGTGGCACCACTGTAGCATGTTAGTTCACTTCTCATTTTGGCCGGAGTGCCCCTTTAAGAATCTCGAACAGACGTGGTTTGTATCAAAGAAAACAAATTCAGGCCACAAGACGGCTGTAAATACAGGTTCTTAGCTACTTTTTGATGCTAAACATGTCTTGGTTGACTGATTACATGTGGTGTAAGGGGGTGACTGCGTGAAATTGTTCATCTTTTCACCATCTTAAAACCCTCAAGCGGCAAAAACAGACCCAGACTGAGAAAAACCAAGTATCTCATAAGGCGCTGAGACGGTAATACTGATAACAGTAGTGGACTTGGTGACTCATGTACACGGTTACCGTTAATACCCGAAAGCTGGAGCTCTTACTCTGCGACATTTCAACATGCAGTTCCCTGAATTAACTCTCAAGTACGCAATTACGAGCAGGTGAAGGCATTACCAACCACTGAAGTTTGTTGGTGTACTTTCTTCTTCTGTCTTACTGAGCAAAATAAAAATATTAAACTGCTACATTCAGTTAGATAGGAAATTTCCCAAGGCGCTCTCCAGCGTGGTTTAGTCATTCAAAGCAGCACCGCCGATCTAGCCTGTCTTATCGATAAGATAAGATCGAAGTGGCCTTTAATCTGTATTCCTTCTCTGAAACGCCTAAAACTGATGACAGACAGGTGTTAAAGGACAAGTTGATCAAACTTTCAAACTTTCACTTGACCCTGCCTCAAAAGGTACAATAAGTAATACGTTTCGTGACAGCGCAACAAAGATCAACAGTAGTCAGCAGGTTCGGAAAGTTACCCAGTGAACTGACGTGATGCAAAAGATGTGCACCATGCCGCTCTTTTCTACAGTAGTTTGAAGGACTATGCACGTGACTTCATATTCTGATGACCTGACAAGCCAAGCAAAACATACAAATATTACTTACTGCACCTTTTTAGGGTAGGTACTCAAGAAAAACAGCGAAACATCAGTGACTGTGTGCTAAAACAACCTGAACTAAACTAAAAGTGAGATAAAATGGCTTAAGAATCAGGCTACGCAGCCCGTTGAACAACTCGGTCTCCCTCCAAAGGCAAGACGGCAATTGTGAAACTTTGCGTTTTCCCACCGTGAAGTCCGGTCCAACGCAGTGCGGTTACAAATCTGAACCGGGGTCATCTGACTCTGATGACGCTTGACCAGCCACCCTTACATATTATGGCTGGGCCCACTTGTATCCTCCAGCGAGAAAGGTAACCAAATTCAGCACGGATGCTCAAGTAAGGTGTTGCTCACTTGGCAGTGGGAATGACAGTAGTGTGTAACCGTACCGTACCACACTGCACGGTGGAAAAACGCCATTTGAAAAACTGGGTAAACGGTTTCTTTAACAAAAGTGGCACTTTGGTATTCATTCCCGCCACAAGACAATACTGCAATAGCACAAAGGCACTCGTAGAGCCTTTGCCTGCAATAGATCATAAATAAGCCCATGGCACACTAACTGACATGCACCCATTAACCCAGAGCTTGCTGGGTTTGTTGCAAGCTCTCAAGGATATTCTAGCCCTTTCACGCTCATCAGTTTATTTTTCCCTGAACATTCAAAATCGCAAGCATCAGGACATCCGGGTTTGCTGTAGCAAGCTGGGTCAGTGTGCAGTGGTTCCTTGAAGTGGTCAGTAATGCACTTGTTGATACTGGCCGTGGAAGCAGTTACCACACTGTGCAGGCTTCATTCCCTCCAGGTGTCAAGCCTGCGTACACGGACCCTCTGCTTGTAGTGGTACTCCTTCAGGTGTTCCTTGAGTGCGTTGGGGATGGGCAAGGCGGTGATGCCGTCGTAAGTGGTGCAGCTGCTGATCACAGCCCGGCAGATGTGCTGGAGGCTGAACGGCTGCGTGCGGTAGATGGGGTTGGATAGCAGTGGCTCGAAGAACATGCAGGAGTTGGGATCCTTGTAGTGCTCCAGGAGCCCTGTGACCGTGGGTGCATGGAACACGCTGGGGTCATGCACGTCGAAGCTGAAGTTGTGGTTCCACTGCTCGATGCGGGCATGTAGTGAGCGGCCGTAGCGCCGGAAGCTGACGGAGAACAGGTAGTCTTCCTGGGCAGAGTCCCGCAGAAGGAAAGTACCCTCGGGTTTACCTTCCAGGAGCGTCTCGGCCTCGTAGCGGTCCATCACACCCCAGTAGCACGACAGGTTTGTAATCTCCAACAGGTCTGGCACCAGGCAGTGGATGTAATCAATCTGGGTGTGGATGCGATGCTGGGCATCCTGGGATTGGGGGTGATCCACTTGAACCGAGGAACCTCTTGTCAAGGAATGGGGAGACGAGGAGGAAGAAGAGTCCGAATCTGGATGGGATTCGGTGGGGAATGAGGGCACAGAGGAAGCAGAAGCAGCGGCAACCTCGTCAAGAGTGTCCAAGCAGCTTTGCAGAAGAAGCTGATGCTGTTGCTGCTGCCTCTGCAGCATCTGCTGCTGTTGCTGAAGAGTGGCACGGTCATCCCCCGCCAACTCGTTCATCCCATGTGCTAACTTGGGACCCAACTTGTACAGTGGGTTGATCTGAGCAGTCACCTCAAATGTGTGGATCTGGGCATTGGGTGGTGGGTCGACTCCTTGCTCGATGCTTATTCTCCTTCTTTCCCGCAAACGGTCGTCCTCGTCCTCGACCACAGGAGCAGCTGAAGCACCAGCAGCAGCAGCAATGCTGGTGGATGAGGATGATCTAGTTGTGGCTCCAGCAAGGGATTCCAGGACAGGCGGCTGGGAGATGGGAGCCGTGTGCTGCTTGATGAGGTACCACTTCTGGGCAAGGTCCGAACCAGCTGGGAATGGGCAACTGTCCAGCATCAGCTCACTCAAATGGATCTTCCTCCGGGATGAGGATGTGGAAGGAGATGCCGACAGACCCTGTGCAGAAGCACAAGCACCACTGTGGGACTTGATGGGAAAGCACTGGCCTACAGCATCTTGGATCTTCTGCCTGAGGGTGCGACTGCCGCTGGAAGACTTGCTGCTGGTCTCAGAAACTGGCTGGTCTGCACTGAGGGAATTCGAAACTGGCCTGGCGGAGGCTCTCTCAGGCAGCAAAGAACTTGATGAGCCAAGAACCTGCCTCCAACGGCGTTCACGTACAGGAGACGAAGAGTTTCCGTTTCCAGAGTCCAGCCTATTTAAGAAGTCTCCATATTCAAACCCATCACTAACCGGTCGCTCGGATGCCGGTTCATGGGCCAGGTGGCCTTTCCTCTTCCCTCTGCCTCCTTTCCGCCTTCCTCCATCCTGTCGTTCTTCGGAGCGGCTCTGGCGGGCCTTGGGACGGGCGCCCCGCTCTCTTTCTTTCCCACGATCCCCTCCGTCTGTCGACATTACTGGCTGGAAATTTGGGACAAATGTATCTGAGATACGAGACTCTTCACAGGAGGTTAGGATCAATTTCGGCGAGGTGCAACTGGTTGTCAGCTGTAGGTCCAGCAGTCAACACTAACATTCCAACAAAAGGAAGGAAGACCAATCAAATCAGAACATGGACAAGCACCATCAACTGCTGGAGACATCCCGACATAACCAAAAAGAGTCGCAGAACATTTTCATAAAAGTTCCACAACTGATGAAGCAATCTTAGTCTTCGGAGTCCAAAGGTCGCAGACTACCAAGTCCTGTTGGTAATGCAGCACTCCAGGTGAGTTTGTCCTTCACAAAAGTTGATGTTTTCTATCTGTAGGGTGGAAAAAACAAAAATAATTAGGTTAACAATTACACAAATGTGTCAAATTAAAGTTCTGCTTTGTAGGTTGGGGTCCCACTCACTTTAAAACTAGGGCTTCTCTTCCAAACATACAAGAAAAGTATCATACAAGTGGTTCAAACTAATTCAAATCAGTTTTATCATTGATGAGGGACTTACTCAATAAAACACTGACACCTTCTTAGACTTAAAAAGTGAATACCTCACTCAGATTTAAAATAGAAACCTCCATAATTACATGGTTAAGATGTAAACAAAATCATTCAGAGTGGTTTGGTTCGAAATGCTCCATACTAGAAAAAATTACCTAGTCAGAATTGTTCACAATGGTTGTGATGGGAACCAGACATCCTCCTCGAAAAGAAACATAAAGTTATTACGTGAAAAGATTATAAATATGCTGCCTAACGTGTGAGACATTGTTTTACTATAGTTCTGAATCACGATTTTGGCCTAAAACATATTTTTTAACTATATATTCATGGTGGAGAGGTACATGCAGAGGCTCTACAATGAAGAATTTCACATTTAACCGCTCTGAATGACACTGGTAACACTTCAGTGATGTATCATGATCAATAAACATGGAGATCTGATATGTTTAAATCAGTAAAATGTCCCTTTAAGGTGTTCAGCCTGTTATTCAGTAGTAATATGAGCGCACACTTCACATTTACGTTCACTATTTGTTAAAAATCTCACTTTTCCGCTTCCAAAGTGAACATATTTGAATAAAATAGGTCTATAACGTCTGCCTTCAGCTGTTACATCTGCCTGCTGGAGTCTACGAAGCTAAAATCAGCTTCTTGTTCGAATTTCCCCGTTCCACCTTAAATGGCGCAGCGTTACATTCTGGCGCCTCGGGCGTTTTTATTATAACTGCTGAACCATTTAAGGTGGAACGGAAAGTTCGAACAAGAAGCCGGCGAATAGGAAGCCAACTTCAGCCTCATACGATCAATGACTACTTTTAATACATTCTCACGGAATTTTGTCAAGTTATAAAGTCTCCTGGTCTTAAAACGATTAAAAGAAAAGACACCCAGTCGAGCTTTTCTCAGTGTAACGTTAAGCGCGGTGGCGCCGTCAGTGAGGGTTAGCCGAACGGCTAACGTTAGCACAGTCCTGCGTTACACCCTTCAAAATAAAGTTTGATTTAATCAGTATTGACCCCGCTCACCGGGTCAGGTCCTATAACCCGCTCCCGAGGTGGAGGAGGACGGTGTCGCGGGTAACAGGCGCCGTTTAAACCACTTCACTTACTTTCTTTGCTGTTGTGTTTGGTAGCAACCTTGCTAACTACCGGGACGCCGCAGAGGAGGGGGAACTGGAACGCGCCCTCTAGGGTTTGGAAGACTGGGGCGCGTTCCAAATAGTTCACTCGTTCACTCGCTCCCTACGCCCTCAACAAGAAGAACACAGGGAACTGGCAAACAAAACGGGAATATGACCGGGAATGAGTTGATTAAGTCATGGCCACGACTTAGTAAGGCGTGGGAACGAGATCCTAATGCGTGGCCACGACTTGGTAAGCCGTGATCTCATTCCCACGCCTCACAAAGTCGTGGCCACGACTTAATCATCTCATTCCCACGCCTTACTAAGTCGTGGCCACGCATTAATTTTATTTATACAGGATGTCACCAGCAGGGCTCCGTACACTCAACAGGTCAGAACCCTCCCTCGGTCAGGGCCGGCTCTAGCCTTTTAGGGACTCTAAGTGGGATTTTTTGGGCCCCATCTTGGTTGACGTACTATAAAATTAGATGCTAACTAATAACAATGATTCTGCAAGCAGGGTAGGTTACACACATACTCTTTAGCGGCTTCTCCTCACGTGTCTTGCGATTGGCTGTTCGTCATAAACGTCTCGGTTCCGCCCCCGAGCGTCTATGCATGGATTAACACAGAAAGCCTAAGCTGAACCTGCTCTGTTAGACAGGCCCCAGATCCACTACTGCTTGTTGTCCGGCCAACGCCACAGTAACAACTCACAAGTTGTTAGGGGGCCCCCTGGTGGCCGTGGGGCAATAAGCAACCTCTTATGTCGCTTATAGGTAGAGCCAAGAGCCTTTTCAATCACCAGTGTTACTGAACTAATCAAGTTACGTCACAAAAGGAGACAATAAACCATTCAGCGAAGTCTGCCAGTCGATGTGTAGCTGACTGTCCAGTGATCCAGTGAATCTAGAGCCCTTTATGACTCGATCACTCGCTTTCATTGATTAGGGCTGCGTCCTAAACCACATACTACCACACTAGGCAAACTATTCTGCTGAATGTGCCACTAATTGTTTCTCGATTTACCAAATGTGACGACCTTTCACCTTTTCCACTGATGAATAAACAGCGAATGGAGGGTGTGTGAAAATGTAGGCCTGGGTGATCTTCTAGGCGTCTTCTTTCTGTTTCTGTTTTGTGTAGGGTGTGTATCTTCCAACGAGCACTCAAGTGGAGTGAATTTGTATTTCCAGTCAATCATCTGGGAACCACAACTGCAGACCAGATTTGCCAAAATGAAAAATGAATAAAATGAAAAAATAAATGGTTCAGTAAATCAATCAATAAATAAAAATAACTAAAGTATATGTTGCTTATTTTGATTGTAATTATACACATATTTCCTTTTTCTGCAGTTATATGCAGTTATATATCTCTCAATTTATTAATTTCTGTATAATTTATTTTTTTATTAATGCTATTTTTATGTTTTTTTCCCGTGTCTATTTTTTAAACAACTGTTCACTTCAGATATTTATTAATTTATTTATTCTTTCATTAATTCATGTATTTATTTCTGTATTTCTTTGTTCATATGATAATGAGGGGGCGTGTCCTTCACATTCAGGCTAAGCAATCAGGCCCAGGAGAAGAAGAGCTGATTAAACTGTTCTTTCACTCCATAAAGAGCTGCAGTGTCTCAGACAGACTGACCTGCTGATGAATAACTCTTGGTGTCTCCACAGGCCGTGTGTGAGACGGGCGTCCGAAGGAACCGCCTCCTCCACAGTTCTGAACACTACTGGTCAACCTCTGAATCAGCAGGTCAGCTAAATGGACCCATCTGTCCCCACAGCCTCCAACGAAGAGTCAATAATCCGGACCTGCATTTTCAGTCAGATCAGCCGAGACTCTCAGATCTCTGACTGTCTGCTGCTGTAAGCAGCCACTACTGTACTGTCTGGTCCTTAGTTACCGCTGAGAGAGCAGGACACGAACAATCGATCTCCACAATCTGACATCGATCAACCAATAGGAATGTTAAGACCATGTGACATCATTGACTGACAGCCCCTTTATTAGCATAAGGACAAGGAAATACAGAAATAAATAAATAGGGAAATAAATACATTTAGGAATTGACAGTTATGGAAATAAATTAATAAAAAAAAATCTTAATAAAAAACCATAAATAAAAAATAAATACAAAAATGCAGACATTAATTTATGTAAGGTTTTATTTATTAATATATGAATTTTTGTGTATATTTATTTATTTTTAGATTTATCATCATTATTCTTTGTGATTCTAACTCATATATTAATTTACTGAGTCGTTTAATTTATTTTTTATTTAGATTTTATTTATTTTTCGTTTTGGCAGATCTGGCCCGTCAAACAACACTACAAAATGGCCGACACCTTTTTAGTGCACTATTTCTGCACCAGGCACCGATTTGGAACACGTCCTACTTTTTCTATGATGTTATTGGCAGGTTACACACAGTCAGGTATGCTGCCCCCTATCAGCAAGGAGAGGATTACAGGCACTGGATAGGAACAAAACACAGTGGACACCAGTCCGATTTACACTGGACAGAATATTATTATACAATATTATACGCAATAAAGGCACACCAGTCCGATTTATACCGGACAGGATATTATTATACAACATAATGCGCAATAAAGCCACACCAGTCCGATTTACACTGGACAGAATATCATTATACAATATTATACACAATAAAGCCACACCGGCCCGATTTACACTGAACAGAATATTATTATACACAATAAGGCCACACCGGTCCGATTTACACTGGACAGAATATTATCATACACAATAAAGCCACACCGGTCCGATTTACACTGGACAGAATATTATCATACACAATAAAGCCACACCGGCCCGATTTACACTGGACAGAATATTATCATACACAATAAAGCCACACCGGCCCGATTTACACTGGACAGAATATTATCATACACAATAAAGCCACACCGGTCCGATTTACACTGGACAGAATATTATCATACACAATAAAGCCACACCAGTCCGATTTACACTGGACAGAATATCATTATACAATATTATACACAATAAAGCCACACCGGCCCGATTTACACTGGACAGAATATCATTATACAATATTATACACAATAAAGCCACACCAGTCCGATTTACACTGAACAGAATATTATTATACACAATAAGGCCACACCGGTCCGATTTACACTGGACAGAATATTATCATACACAATAAAGCCACACCGGTCCGATTTACACTGGACAGAATATTATCATACACAATAAAGCCACACCAGTCCGATTTACACTGGACAGAATATCATTATACAATATTATACACAATAAAGCCACACCGGCCCGATTTACACTGGACAGAATATCATTATACAATATTATACACAATAAAGCCACACCAGTCCGATTTACACTGGACAGAATATCATTATACAATATTATACACAATAAAGCCACACCGGCCCGATTTACACTGGACAGAATATTATCATACACAATAAAGCCACACCGGTCCGATTTACACTGGACAGAATATTATCATACACAATAAAGCCACACCGGCCCGATTTACACTGGACAGAATATTATCATACACAATAAAGCCACACCGGCCCGATTTACACTGGACAGAATATTATCATACACAATAAAGCCACACCGGTCCGATTTACACTGGACAGAATATTATCATACACAATAAAGCCACACCGGCCCGATTTACACTGGACAGAATATTATCATACACAATAAAGCCACACCGGCCCGATTTACACTCAGAAATGTGGTAATCTACACCTAGTTATATATAATGGCTTAGAAATCCAATTCCTTTCAGGTAAAGGAGAAAAAACCCATATTTCTTTAACCTTCTCTGTTTCTGACAGCAGTGTGTAAAAATCTTGACTCAGTATCTCGAAATAATGACTTACTATGTTGAAATAATGACTTATTATCTCCAAATATCGACTTACTGTGTAAAAACAATGGTTAGAATAATCGTTTGTTTCCTCCACATTTTGACTTTGTGTGTCAAAACAATGACTTGTTTTCTCAAAACGTTAATTCAAGTCAAAACAATTGTTTCTTCTTCTTTCTTCGGTTTGTTTTTTCGTAATAATGATTTATTATCTCGAAATAACAAGACATGCTTTCTCAAATATTGACTTAACTATGTCAAAATGTACTTATCCCCATAATAACCTAAGACTTTGACAAATCTTGACGTAATTTTGTATTAATAATTCAAAATCTCGGAATCATACATCATTATTTTGAGATACTGAGTCAATAGTTTGAGAAATAAGTCATTATTTTGAGATATTGAGTCAACATCTTGACCGCTGACAGAAGAGCGAAGGAGAACACATACGTTATTTCCTCTGTGTGCTGAAAAAGGAACGGTTTCTGGACTCAGATGAAGCCTAGTCTTCTTTTTAGTCCAGATTTTAATGGAAGCTCATTTCCACCACTGCAAAAAATATATATAAATTTCATAAGTCATAATACTGAGAACGTTTTACGTAATGATGACTTAATATCTCATAAATATGACTTGGCATCACATAAGCTTGACTTATTATCTCATGGCTTACTTTCTCATAATTCTGACTTAATATCTTATAATTATGACTTAATATCTCATAATTATGACTTAGTATCTCATGACTTACTTTTCATAGTTCTGACTTAATAGCTCTTAATTATGATTTTGTCTCTCATAATAATGACTTACTATGTCATAGTTATGATTACAATCTCGTAGTTATGACTTAACACCTCATAATTCTGACTTAGTATCTCATGACTCAAGTCAAAATGATGGGATACTAAGTCAGAATTATGAGACACCAAGTCACAATTATGACAGACATTATTCTGAGATACTAAGTTAAAATTATAAGAAAGCAAGTTATAATTATAAGATGTTTCGTCATAATTATGACATAGTAAGTCATTATTATGAGATCCTAAGCCATAATTATGGAAAACCTTCCGATAATTCTGACTTAGTATCTCATGACTTACTTTCTCATAATTTTGACTTAATATCTCACAATGATAACGTCTGGCGTCTCTTAATTATGATTTAGTATCTCATAATAATGACTTACTACGTCATAGTTATGACTACAATCTCATAAATATGACTTGGCGTCTCATAATTATGACTTAACAACATCACTCAATTATGAGATACTAAGTCAAATCTATAAGAAAGTAAGTTATAATTATGAGATGTTAAGTCATAATTATGAGATGTTAAGTCATAATGATGGAAAACGTTCTCACTATTTTTGACTTACTATATATATATATATATATATATATATAAGGTTTGTGTTTGTGGTCAGGCCTGACCCTGACCCGTTGTTGGTCCTGTCTGTGGTCGCAGGCGGCAGTAGCGGTATGGGGTTCATGTTCAGTCTCTGCCTGTGAAGCTGACCCTGACCCGTTGTGTTTAGTCCGGGCCTGTGAAACTGACCCTGACCCGTTGTTGGTGCTGTCTGTGGCCGCAGGCGGCAGTAGCGGCTCAGAGAGTCTGACTGAGCCGCAGCGCTGAGGAACTCCGCTCTGTTTGGGTTTCCCTGCAGAGACCTGCAGGAGCTACCGAGCTACCGGGCTAACGAGCTAACAAGCTAACAAGCTTACCCTCCTTCCGGCGGACTTTACCCTTCATAGTTAACCGAAGGCTCGACATTAATGTCGTCTTCAGTAACTACGGAGCCTCGTTATCCTAACATTAGCCCGATTTTCCCTTCCAGAAACCGGTTAATCGGCGGGATATCAGCGGTGGCGCTAGCTGCGGTGCTAACAGGCTAGCGCAGTGAGGACTCGGCGATTCCGCTCTTCTTTTCTCTTCACGACGATTTTTGCTCAGAAAAGTGTTTTCCTTCCGCTTTTCACTCCAAACAGGTTGCAAAAGTGAGAAAATCCCTCGTTTGCCTTCTTTCGGCGGAGGTTGTGAAGTCCTGCGAAGCGTATTTCCAAACAAAGGCGGTAAGTTTGTAGTTTGTTGTTGTTGTTGTGTATTGAAGTACGTTAAAGGGGAATTCCACCAATTTTTCAAAATTTCTACGTAATTTAGTGGATTAGATATACATAGTCGTTCGGGGTGGTTTGGGGTGGAGTGGTTTATGTTGTAGAGAAAGTTATTGACCACAGTGGTGGTGATGGGAACCGTGACCACAACACAAATACAGACATTTTATTTACTGTCCAGAACCACCAGTGAACCTACACGAGTCTCCTGAGTGTTTGTGTGTAATGATGGTGGTGAAATAGTGATAAAAGAGAAAGTAATAGGTTTTCTTTGGGGACTAGTTTGCCTTAGAACACCCTTTGTGTGTCCCTCCACCATGATTGGATTAAAGTAAATCGATTATAATTCGTTTTAGGCCAAAATTTAACCTCAAAACTATCCTAAAACAGTGTCTCAGTCATCAGGCAGTGAATTCATAACCATTTCATGTAGTAACTTTCTGTGAGGGAGCTTTTAGAGGTGGACGTCTGGTTCCTATCACCACCACTGTGAACAGTTCTGACTCTGTAAGTTTATCTAGAACAGACATAGTTAAAAAACTGACCCACATAATTTTTACCAATATTCTTTGTCTTTCTTTGAGAGTGTGAATGTCTTTTTTTTTCTCAAGATCTCGTGATATTTGTTATTATCAAGGAAAACAGATGTTTTGTCGAGATGTCAAGTCATTTATATCATTATCAAGACAAAATGGACGCTGTTTAGTTCAGAATATCTGTTGTGGATCATGGCATGAATATTTTGAGATCTTGAGAAAACAGCATTGATGATGTTGTGATTATGGCACAAATATCTCGAAATCTTGAGAAAACTCATGTTATATTGCGCTTGTTGCATGAATAACTCAAGATCTCAAGAAAATAAATGAAAAAAAAACTTATTATCTTGGGAAAAATTAGTTATGTTTTGAGAAGATGAAAAAAGCCAGAAAATGTCATTATTTTGACTGTTATTTGAGATCATAAATTAACATTTTGCAGAAAAAAAGTCATTATTTTGACATTGTAAAACAAAATCTAGAGAAAAGCAGTCATTATTTTGAGATACTAAGTCACAACTTTAAGGGAATAAGTCATTATTTTGGCATTGTAAGTCCTTGATTTGAGATTCTAAGTCAAAATTTTGAAATAAAGAAGTGATTGGACTTTGCAAGTCATTCTTTTGAGAAAAGAAGTCATTATTTTGACTTTGTAAGTCATTTCTTTAAAGAAAAAAGTCATAATTTTGACATGAAGTGAAAATTGAGAAAAGAAATGATTATTTTGAAATTGATAGTCATTGTTCATAAGAAAATAAGTCATTATATTGATGCTGTAAGTCAAAAAATATGAGAAAATATGCCATTAAATTGAGTTACGAAGTCAAAAACTTTGGGGAAAAAAGTGACTTTGACATTGCAAGTCAAAAAGTATGAGAAAATAAGTTATTTTGACACTGCCATAGTTTTTAGAAACCGTCAACATCTTGAGAAAATAAGTTATTATTTTGACTTTGTAAGTAAAAATTTTATGGCCCTCTTCCTTCAAAGAAGAGGGCCATTCGATCCGCGAGCGAAGCCGCAGTGAAAGCCACCAGGTGGCTTTGGATTAAGAGGGCTGACCCGTGGGCAGTTGCTGCTGGGAGGCAAGTCGGGGCCTGATCAACCCCGGCTGGGTCGCCTGGGCGAGGGAGTCTGATGTTGAGAGACCCGAAACACCCGAGGATCCCAGGATACATCACTGATGATGCGTCCCAGCGCATCTAGAACATGTATCTTGCACTCACTCACTTCTTTCCTTTTCTCGTTCTACAGGCACCAGGATGGTCTGTGAGCTCCTGCTCTCCTCCGTGTGGCTGCTCTTCGTCGTGTTCTGGGTGGAGACCATCAGCGTTTGGCTGTTTCTCTGTCTGTTCTATCAGGACAGAGCCTTCTACCACTGGGGCGACGGGTGAGCACCGGTCTCACTGACCCGCCTCTGGAGTCCATGTTTCTTTATACACTACATTACTTTCTGTAGAAGGGGAATTCCACCAATCTTTCTCAAAATCCCCTCATAATTAAATGGTTAAAACTTAATCAGTGGCTCAGAGTGGTTTGGTGTGAAACGCTCGGTTCTAGATAAACTTACTGAGTCAGAACTGTTCACAGTGGTGGTGATAGGAACCAGACGTCCACCTCTAAAAGCTCCCTCACAGAAAGTTACTACATGAAATGGTTATGAATTCACTGCCTGATGACTGAGACACTGTTTTATGATGGTTCTTTTTGAATATATTTATTTTTTTATGGCAGAGGGATACATGCAGGGTGTTATGAGGCAAAATAGTCCCCAAAGAAAACTTATCATTTCAGATTTTCCACTATTTTCCATCATCAACACTCCATATAAACTCAGAAGACTCGTGTAGGTTCATTGTTGGTTCTGGATAGTAAATAAAATGTCTATATTTGTGTTGTAGTCATGGTGACCCCTGGTTCCTATCACCACCACTGTAAAGACATCTGAACCATTTCACACCAAACCACTCTGAATCTCTCTGTTCACATCTCTGAATTGTGTGGAAATTTTGAAAAATCAGTGGGATTCCCCTTTAAGATGCAGTCTGGCCTTGACGTATCATTTATTACATTACAGGGAGATAAATCTACATTACATTGCATGTTAATGGAAGTGTTTTATAAATGTTTATTACAGTTCTAATATATTCTGTTCTGCACTTTTACAGCGTGTTTGCTGATGATCCTGGTCAGATGCTCTACATGTTGAGCAGGTAATAATCAGAGTGCATCAGATTAGAGCCTTCACTGCCGTCTCGTGCTGATTGGATGTCCCTCTTTCGTCGTAATGCTGAGATGTTGAAGTGCCTTTCAGTTAGAAATATGACTGACTGTCTAGCTGAGCCTGTTTGGCCAGTCTGATTTATTTGGTATTTTCCTGTTCCACTTCTCCTCACTGCGAAAATATACATAATACCCACTGATATTTACAGATGTTGCAGATGTACACGAACGTCTGTGGCCTAATTGCTGGCTACAACAGTAAGTTGCATTTAGAATGGGCCACAGGAAGTGTTCTTCCTCCCGTGTGGTGTAGAGGTGGATGATATGGCAAAAATATAACATCGCGGTACTAGAAGACATTTTCACGATACATGATACGTATCACGGTATTTAGTCTGATAAGCTGGAATGGAAACAAGCAGAACTAGTTTGCTATGTTTAAGAATACTACAGAAAACTATACAGTCATTTTTGATCAGTGTTTCACTTCATTACAGTAAATACAACTAAACAGGGCTTAATATGCTCTCCTTGTGATGAAACATGCGGTCAGTCAGTGTTCTTTAAGTACTGACTAGTTCTGTCACAGTTATTACATAATCACCCAATCCACTGGTTCCCACCCTTTTCTAACTGGCGGCCCACCCAACCGACCGCAAAAGCTTCCGTGGCCCAGATTTTACTGACCAGATCATTTAAAGTGCAAATAAACATCATACAATTATCAGTGTAGCTTATCAGTTTTGCTGGACTTTATAATACAGGGTGATTGAAAAAGATTGACCCGATTTTAAAATGATTTATTTCTCTTGTAAGTCATTACAGATCAATGCAGTAAACTGTAAATGGTTTAAATGAGCATGAAGTTTATTATGTAATTGTACAAGGTCTCAGTATGAACCTCCTCCAGCTGTACAGACAACATCAACGCCATAGTCAAACTCACCCCATACTGGATTGAGCATGTCGGGTGTCGCTGCACTCACGGCTCTTTCAGTGTGATTTCGGAGATCATCCAGTGTTGTGGAACCAACGACGAACGCTCTGAGCTGTTGGAGCTTCACTGCCCACGAAAATCACACTGCACAGTTATGACGGATTCACTCTTATTGAAGTGGAGAACGCAGAACGCTTTCTGCTCAGGGGTCTCATCTCCTCACAGACTGAAGGGAGCCATCTTCCGGTGATGGTCAGAAACTGTGACCCCCTCTTTCAGTTGGATTGTGATTGGTTCCTAGACACCTCACGGTTGTAAAAATTTGAAATCGGACGAATCTTTTTGTATCTCCCTGTATAACACAACACAGTGAACACTAATAAATAACCAAACTTTTTAAACTTGCCTGATAGGTTAGCTGATGTTGTTTGGCAGCTACCCAGTGCTGGATGACAGAAATGGAAGTTGCAAAAGGACTTCTGTCTCAGTTTAGCCTCCAGTTGACGGCTTAATTCGTTTGGATTCAAAGCCTCGTTTGAAATGGCGTTTGAGCTGCAGCACAGTGCGGTTTTACACACGGAATCGATTTATTTGTGCAGTAAATTGTTCGAGCATGTGTGTAGCTGGTAGTATCTTGCAAGCCAAACACCATTTTTCGATTGACGAACATGCAGCATTATTTCATTCATGCTCTGTTCAATTTTTGCGAACTTTTGCCAGCTACCTGAACTCGCTGACCAATCACAGATGTCTCTGCTGTTGGCACGACGACAGCCAAGCTGACAGAACGGCTTTTTTTTCCAGCAACTGGAACTTATTGACAAATGTCAGGTGGATTTGTTCACCTTCTGCTTCAGCATGGATGCCGTTAGCATCTCCAAAAGCAGCTCAGACGGAGCTCAAACTGCGTTACAGAGACCCAAGCTGTGTCTGAAAGCTCTCCCCCTCCTGAATGAGGTGGTGGAACTGTCTGTGCTACGTTTACTTTTCCAAAATGCAAAGAAAATTGCGTTGCATTTTTGCCGTCCGAAAAAGTCGTGTTTGGTGTGCGAGAGTCAGTTATTCATGTGATCTAATTAATTTATTGTTGGCCTTAAATCAAAAGTCAGAGCTGTCTGGTTGGAGGAGAGTTAAGGTGTAAATCCTCATCACTAAATTCTCCTGAGAAATCCTGTTTCGAAATACCCCACAGTGGCTTGTTCAGCTCAAACGTGTCTGTTTTCTGTCCTGTTCTTCTAGAGTGGAACGTTCTGAACACACCCAGACCTGAGGATGCGGGACAGCTGGGAACGTCAATCAACAGACCAAAACGTTCCAGACAGCGGAGGGATCACCGCGATGGGGGTGAAAATTGGCTTCCCTTCCACTACTGCTGTCTTTCAACAACCTGCACTGGGCTTGAATGACGTGTCTTAAAGATGCCCACGGCTGAGGATGGAGCGTTTACGCTGAGCTTGAAGAGCGTCGACGGGCACGGTGAATGTAGAATCTGTCGTGGTGTTTTATAAAATGGGAACTCTGCCTACATTTCTGTTTCCTGTCCCCTCCGAATTGGACCAAAAAGGTCTCTGGGGGGACGTTTTCTCTTTTCTGGCGTGTTCTCGAATCGTTGGGATTGTTTGCTCAGCCGTCTTTCGAAGGCTGCCAGCTTTTGATTTGTTATTCTTGCAGTTTAGGGGCTGTGCAGGTTGACCTAGTGAAGGTGGGCTCCTGTAATCTGTCCAGCCCCCGTGATAAAGCGTTGTTTTTATTCATTAAATCGTGTTAAGGTTCAGAACGGGGGGCTCTCGCCTGTAATCTTAGCAACAACTTTATAGCTTTATAGCTGATTGGATTCCACCTAAAGTGGTTAATCCGTAGTAATGCTACACGTTTTCACTCACTTTGAGACTTTGAGTCTCATTTTCACCTCCGATCAGTTCGAAATGGGGCCTTAAATGGAAAATTTGTTTTTTCTTTTTTCTTTAAAATCGAAAAGCTTGAAACTAGGGCTGGACGAGTAAGTAAGACATATATAAAATGTAAAAACATTAAATGCCGCTTATTGCGATCGCCTTAAATTAAAAACTCACTGGTGAATCAATAATGTAACATAGTTCAATTTAGCCTTATTTTGACCAAAATAGTTTTGTTGCATTACGTGAATACAAAGGTGCCGCATGGAACCAGAAAGAACCACTTGGGGTTCCCTGAAGAGCTTTTTTTTTAATGGGACCATATTTGTAAATAAAATGTTTAAAAAGCCTAAAGGTTCTATACCAAGTTTTTTTTTTTCCCTAGAACCACATGTCTAAGCCAGGAACCATTTAGGAGTCTTTATTTTTAGGGGGGTACAGAACCTCGTCTGGAGCTGTGATTGGTCAGGATGCTCACTGCACACAATAAAACGACCAACGATTATTTTCATTGTTGATTAATCTGTTGATTATTTTCTTGATTAATTGATCAGTTTGGTCTATAAAATGTCTGAAAATGGTGAAAACGGTTTTGTTTTGTTTTTTTGTCTACACTACAATGATATTCAGGTTGGTGTCACAGAGGAGTAAAGAAGCCAGAAAATATTCAAATTTAAGAAGCAGGAATCTGAATTTTCACCTAAATAGTTACTCATACCAATCAATACCAACCAATCAGTTCTCTTTGAATTCTCTTTCAGCCGTTTGGGAAAGGGGTCCGAAGCACAACCCACGCTACAAAATGTTCTTCTGTATGTTGGGAGTGCAGTTACACGTTTCCACCAGAGAGGTCACCAAATCCTCAAAACTTACATAGTGCAGCTTTAACTCAGACGCCAGATCAGATTATGGAGGGTAATTCGTGCCAAATTGAGCAGTCGCTACAGTGGAGAAATGTGACATGCAGTGCACAGGACATCACTTTTCCACAGGTGACCTGCAGAATATGTGCCGTTGTTTTCGTCGCTTAACCTCTCTACTGGAAAACAGTACATGAGGATTTGCATTTTAAAAACGAAACGCTGAATACATGTCAGAATTCAATACAGTTCGCCTTGAAACGTAATAAAGGCATGACTGTATTACTTTCCATTGTGCAGTACTTAAAACAATGTTAAATCAGTGCAGTGGATCTTTTACTTTTTATTTTGCCATGTTTTCCATGTGTCACTGCTTAAATGCAGTCCCATGTGTGCACTGCATTTCACTGTTTTGGTTGCATTTCAATCAGGTGGATACATTCGATGGATAAAATAGAAGTCAAGCTATATGAAAACAGTGTTGTGGGGGTTTTGCTTTTCATTTTGCCACATATTCTGCACGTCACCAGTGGAAAAGTGATGTGGATGGCATTTCACGTTTTTCTTCTGCGGCGATTGCTCTTCAGTTTGGCACGAATTCCTCTCTGTATGAGATAAAAACCTGGGTGGGCCAACAAATCAGAACATCACTGATCATAGAGATCTAGTCCAGAGCGAGACGTCCTGACCTTCACAGACGGTGAGTTCAGTCAGGTGAAGGTATCGGAGATCTGTGTTTAACCCCTGACCGTAAATGTCCATTCTCCTTCATTTCGAAAGAGAACTGATGCTTTAGTTCTGGCAGATCTGCTGTTATGTACCTTTTTGTATATGTTCTGTTTAAATATAAGAGAAGTGAATATACGTTTAAACCCGTCATGCGGTTCTCGATGGCGTTTTTGTAACAAAGCTGTACAGTTGATGATACATGATTGTTATTCATGGTGATAATGCAACAGTGTTTGCACTGTTTCTGACTTTTGTTCTTTCTGAATTTACTTCATAATTTTTTGTCTAAGCAATAAAACCAACATATTTGGCAAATGAAATTCTTGATTTTTTTTTTTTTCCTGTTAGCTTGTGGTCAGAGGTGAGTAGCAACTAGATATATTGATGCATATTGTGTTTCCTTCCAAAAATATCCATATTAAAGCTGAGAAACAGGATTTATATAGCGCTGTATAACAATTCTATAATATTCTATAGTTTTCGCTCTTAGATAGATAGATAGACCTTTATTGATCCCAAAGGGAAATTGCAGTGTACAGTAGCAACACATATAATTGCACATAAACTTACGTATACTATGCAGAAAATAAATAATATTAATAAAAATAGACATAAGTTAAAGTACAAGAGAAATAAAAGTATCTCTATTTACATATTTACACGGCATATGAAACAGATTTGTTGTGTTTACATGAGAGCAGGCACTGAGTGGTGTGAGGTTGTCTAATAACAATGAGTATAAACATTACTAACTCAGAGTTGCGTCAATATTACAGTGTACAGTGCGCAGTGAGAGTCATTACAGTAGTAGTTGTGATATATTACACAGTGTGTGTTAACAGGAGAGGAGATATAGTGATGAGGTTCAGCACAGTTCAGACAGCAGGAGATCAGTACCGTCTCTGCAGTGAGGAGACTCGCTGTAGAGCCGTATATCAGTGGGTAAGAAAGATCTCACACGCCTCTTTAACACAGCTCAGCTGGAACAGTCTGACCTGATTGAGCTTCTCTGTTTATCCAGTATAGCATGCAGGGGGTGTGAGGTGTTGTCCAGGATGGCTAACAGCCTGTTGAGCGTCCTCTGTTCTGCCTCAACCTCCAGAGAGTCCAGCTTGACTCCAACAGCAGAGCCAGCCTTCCTAATCAGTGTGTTTATTTTGTTCAGAGCACTGTTGTTGGTGCTGCTGCTCCAGAACACAACAGCACAGAGTAAAGCAGTCGATACAGCAGACTGGTAGAGTCCATAGGAGCTCAGTGCCACACCAAAAGACCTCAGCCTCCTCAGGAAGTAGAGACGGCTTTGGCCTCTCTTGTACACTGAGAGTGTTACAGCTCCAGTCCAGCTTGTTGTCTAAGTGCACACCTAGATACCTGTAGGTCTCAACAACCTCCACATCAACTCCATCAATGGTGACTGGTGACAAGGCAGGTTTGGACTTCCTAAAGTCCAGCACCATGTCCGTAGTCTGCATGATGTTCACAAGTCCTTCACCAGCGTCCTGTATTCCTCCTCCTGTCCGTTCCTCATGAACCCCGCCACGCCCGTGTCATCCGAGAATTTCTGCAGATGACACGGCTCAGTGTTGTACCTGAAGTCAGAGGTGTACAGGTTGAACTGGAATGGAGCTAACTCAGTCCCCTGGGGTGCTCGGACACTGCACACCGCCTTGTCTTGTAGCATTCTTCTTATATTAATCTGTAAAAATATAATAATTGTCTGAATTTACTATAATTTTTTTAGCAAAACTATAAAATGTCCAGTAGTATTTTCCATGACGGTTTAAATCTACTTATGATTGGTTTGTATATTTTCTAATGACTAAACTCAAGTACACTATATGGCCCAAAGTATGTGGACACCTGACCATCACCTATATGAGCTTGTTGGACGTCCCGTTCCAAAACCACAACCAAAACCATTAATATGGAGTTTCCCCTTTTCAGCTCTTATGGGAAGCTTTCTCCAAGATGTTGGAGAGTGTCTGTGGGAATTTGTGTCCATTTAGTCTAAAGAGCATTTGTGAGGTCAGGCACTGATGTTGGACGAGAGGGTCTGGTTCAGAGGGTCAGTTCATCCCAAAGGTGTTCAGTGGGGTTGAGGTCAGGGATCTATGAGGGCCATTGGAGTTCCTCCACACCAAACTGGTCACTCCATGTCTTTATGGAGCTGCTTTGTGCACAGAGGCTCAGTCATGCTGGAACAGGAAAGGCTCTTCCCCAAACTGCTGACACAAAGCTGGAAACGTATAACTGTGTAAAATGCCTTTGTGCTGCAGCATCAACATCACCCTTCACTGGAACTGGGGGATCCTGAAAAACAGGCTCAGCTCATCATCCCTCCTCCACCAAACTTTTAACACTCAAAAAATGAAAAAATATACAAATAAATGTATAGAAGAGAAATTCCCTATGCCAGGAACTCTATAATGGCAGATCTTTTCATTTTACCACGTTCGTCCATATTTCACTCCACTATACAGACAGTTTATGTGGCAGTTTATTTAAAACTAATTCAGATGTTTTTAAATATCAGTCATGATGTTCACATTTACTGTAGAAATCACAATAATCCAACACAGAATTCCCCGACTTTGAAAAGTATCGCTATCAGGATACCGATTTGGCATTGCTTGGTATCGGATTGAAATGAGTGATATCGCCCAGCCCTCCAAGAGGACTCTGAGTACATCAGGAGGTTTTTGGATCTAAAATATCTTTATTTGTTCCTACTGATGTGAAAACATTAAACAAAGTGAAAAAAATAGTGTATTATAAGATTTATTTTACTAACACACCTACAGAGCCCCTATGGGGTGTGATTATTTTTGAGGTTTTTCATAACTCGTGGCTTCAGTACATTAATTTGTGGTCTCAATGTATTAATTTGTGGCCTCAATATAATAATTTGTGGTCCCGGTATAGTAACTTGTGGCCTCAATATATTAATTTCTGACCTCAGGATAGTTCTTTGTGGCCTCAATATAGTTGTTTGGTGTCAATATATTAATTTGTGCCCTCAATATAATTATTTGTGGCCTCAATATAGCAACCTGTGGTCTCAGTATACTAATTTCTGGCCTCAATATAGTGATTTTTGGCCCCAGTATATTAATGTATGGCCTCAGTATAATAATTTGTGGCCCCAATATAGTAACTTGTGGCCTCAATATTTTAATTTCTGACCTCAGTATAGTAATTTGTTGCCTCTATATAGTTGTTTGGTCTCAAAATATTAATTTGTGGCCTCAATATAATAATTTGTGGCCTCAGTATAGTAACTCATGGCTGTAATATAATAATTTGTGGCCGCAATATACTAACCTGTGGCCTCAGTATATTAATTTCTGGCCTCAGTGTAATAATTTGTGGCCCCAATATGGTAACTCATGGCCTTAATATATGAATATCTGACGTCACTATATTTCTTTGTGGCCTCAATACAGTTGTTTGGTCTCAATATGTTAATTTGTGGCTTCAAAATAATAATTTGTGGCCCCAGTATAGTAACTCGTGGCCTCAATATCTTAATCTTTGATATTAATTGCTGACTTCAGTGTAGTTATTTGTGGCCTGAATGTAATAACTCGTGGCCTCAATATATTAACTCGTGGCCTCACATATATTAATCTGTGGCCACGCCTTATTAAGAATGATCACCACGTGACCTTAGCGGCTCCGTCAGAAACTCAGGCGCTTTCCTTTCCCTCCTTTGGGCCCGGCCGAGGTCAGTCGGGGGTTCTGCCTGAGCGTGCGCCGCGGAGCAGCCCTAACGGCCGTGAACGGCTCTTTATTCCGGACGGATTTGAGCCGAAGCTCGTTTGAGCTCCGAGGAGGAGTCTTTGTTCTTTATTCGAAGGAAGGATTTCTCCGGGAAATGGCGCCGACGATTCAGACTCAGGCGCAGCGGGAGGACGGTCACCGGTGAGCGGCTAGCAAAGCAGCGTCCCCGCGCTGATGCCCTGAAACGCGCTGTATGCAGGCCTGCCTGCGGTTAGCGGACGGGCTCCGACACACCGGGCTCACCGAGCCCTTCAGTCACGGACTGATCCTCTGTTCGGCGTTTAAACCGGGGGTTTTCGATAAACGGTGTCGAGGCTAACGCTGCGTGCTACGCTGGTAGCCTGGCTAACCTACCCTGCCGTCACCAGGCTTCACACTATAAACACGGTTTAAATCGGTTTCTCCGTCGTTAGAGGTCTCGAGCCGTCTGTACTCCGTGTTTTCACCTTAAATCGCTCGAGTAAAGTACAGTTTAAACTCGCGTTAGCATGCTGGCTAACGCTGCGGTAATCAAAATATGTTAGCATTACTAGCTAATGTTTACTGCGGCTGCGTCGATGTGATGACCCGAGAGTCGATGCCGATATTCGATACTCGATCTTAATGCGCGTATTTGACGATGTCGATACATAATCGCTTATAAAATGTAGATGAGGTCAGTATGGATTAGCATTATACAGACACCACTCATACATATGTGTGTGTGTGTGTGTGTACGTACGTATATGTATATATATTTATATACATATATATATATGTATATGTAATGGTTACTTTTGGAGAAATTCGAAAAATTGTGTATGATAAATGTGTTAAAATGTGAACAGAGTCGTTCAGAGTGGTTTGGTGTGAAACACTTTAACTTACCGAGTCTGGACTGTTCACAGTGGTGGTGATAGGAACCAGACGTCCACCTCTAAAAGCTCCCTCACAGAAAGTTACTACATGAAATGGTTATGAATTCACTGCCTGATGACTGAGACACTGTTTATGGTAGTTTTGAGGTAACAATTTGGTCTAAAACATATTTTTATAAGCCATTCATGGTGGAGGGATACGTAATATGCAGGGTGCTGTGAGGCAAAATAGTCCCCAAAGAAAACTTAATATTTCAGATTTGCCACTATTTTCCCATCATCAACATTCCATATAAACTCAGAAGACTCATGTAGGTTCACTGGTGGTTCTGGATAGTAAATAAAATGTCTATATTTGTGTTGTAGTCATGGCGCCCCCTGGTTCCTATCACCACCACTGTAAAGACATCTGAACCATTTCACGCCAAACCACTCTGAATCTCTCGGTTTACATCTCACACACTGAATTATAATTTTGTTTGGAATTTCCCTTTAATTCCATACAGTTCTGCGTTCTTTGAAAACGCAATAAAAAAATCTTTTTTTTCTCAAAATAAGTATGATTGGTTGAAAGAAGCCGTGTCAAATGTGTTTTCTACCACAAGGTAGATCAGCGAATATCAGCAGGATAAAATTTAAACATATTTTATGTACATGAAACCTACAGTCTGTGCACAGAACTAAAAGAAATCACTGTTTTGAATTCATATTCATATTAGGAGTGGGAATTTTCCTTCGTTATGCATGTTTATTAAGCGATATACATTACAGCCGTTTAGTTTAGAGTTACTTTAGCTGGTTTGCTGATGTAAATAATAAACCATAAAGATCTTAATACGTGAGTCTCGTCAGGTTTATCATCTTCTGTATGCTGTATTTCATATTCTGCCCTAATTGCTATCTTTGTTTTATCTTGTTTCCTGTGATACAGGAGCTCTTCGCACAGAGCCATACCCGAAAGGTACCGTATGATTGATATTAATATATCTCAGTATTCAGTATCAGTTATCAGACGCCGACCCCGGCCTAGACGGGTTTAAACATGGCTTTTTCAGCAGCTTTTAAAGGTTCAGGCTTTAATATGGACTGTTTTCTTCTCCTTTCCTCAGGTCAGGTGTCGTGTGCCGTGTCAAATACTGCAACAGCCTCCCTGACATCCCGTTTGACCCAAAGTTCATCACGTACCCCTTCGACCAGCACAGGTACGAGAGCTCCCTGTTCACCTCTGTACGCTGACCAAAAGGCCTTTTTCTAATACTGACTTAATATCTGAACGTTGGGGCAGCAAAGCCAGTGCTGTTATTGGCTGTGGCTGTTTTCAAACTTGTTAATTCTCCAAGCTATTTCTTGATTTTCTTCATCATCTGTATTCCACTACTGTACCAGTAGTTCCTCCAGTTCAGTGGTCTAATTTGGTTTAACCTCTTATGGGTTTTTGTACTGAAGGCCCCTCCCGTGCCTGCTAAATCATTCTTTTCAATGCATAAATATATTTTAGATTAATCATTTAGGAAAAGGTAGCTATTTAGACGTACTTGCTGATGTCTTCTTTCCAGCTGCTCAGTTGTAAAGTGCATTTTCTTAATTTTTTTAATGTATTTGTTTATACGAAGTCGATCATGAACATGTGCCAGCAGTGCTTAATGTAGAAACCGTGTGATTTGCTTCATAAGTAGCCTTTTCATCTGACCACCAACGCTAGTGTAGTGCTAATTTCCTGTCTGATTTCCTATGTAATATTAGCTCCAAGCTAGTGGTGGTGTATATTAACATAAAGCCAGTGTTTGAATATTATTGGAGGAGCCTGTTAACCTGTTAACTGTCTGCGATGCTTTTCATTCAACATGAGAGCCATTTTTGAATGGCAAACTTTCTCTGTAATTAAATGGGGTTAAAAGGTCAGGGGAGCTGACCAGAGTCTCGTGCCTAAAAGGGCAGAGTAACGAAATAAAACACTCAATAAAAGTCCACTTTTTCCACTGCCGGCCAATAAAATCCAGCCCAGAGCAGCTCTGTGGTCAGAGACTGATCGCTGATGAAGAATGGCTAACACAAACTGGCCTACAGTCTCACTGTACACCAGCAAGGTACAGGAGTTTCCGATAAAGTGGCCAGGGACTGTAATGTTCGCTTCTAAACTGGTAAGATGTAAACAGAGTGGTTCAGAGTGGTTTGGTGTGAAACGCTCTGTTCTAGAGAAACTTACAGTCAGAATTGTTCACAGTGGTGGTGATAGGAACCAGACGTCCACCTCTAAAAGCTCCCTCACAGAAAGTTACTACAGTAAATGGTTACAGATGTGCAGCCTGATGTGAGTGTTGTTTAAATTATGCCTGTGAACTCCAGGCTGGCTGCGTTCAGGACGTGTGTTGGTTAGTTTGGGCTGATAATATGTGGTAAGTGTAAGTAATTAGACTGTGTTATGTTATTGTATCTGTTATCGTATCTGTGACCTGCGCGTCCCTGGTTGTCTGTGTTGACTGTGTTTTGCCTCCTGCAGGTTTGTGCAGTATAAAGCCACTTCACTGGAGAAACAGCACAAACATGAACTGCTTACCGAGCCAGACCTGGGGGTCACTATTGATCTCATCAACCCAGACACGTACCGCATAGACCCCAATAGTAAGTGCTTATTACATACTGCATAGACAACAGTGTATATATATATATATTATATATGCTTATTACATACTGCATAGACAGCAGTGTGTATACGTGTTTATAACATACTGCATAGACAACAGTGTACATGCTTATTACATACTGCATAGACAACAGTGCGTACATGCTTATTACATACTGCATAGACAACAGTGTGTATACATGCTTATTACATACTGCATAGACAACAGTGTGTACATGCTTATTACATACTGCATAGACAACAGTGTGTGTACATGCTTATTACATACTGCATAGACAACAGTGTGTACATGCTTATTACATACTACACAGACAAGTGTTCATGCTTATTACATACTGCATAGACAACAGTGCGTACATGCTTATTACATACTGCATAGACAACAGTGTGTGTACATGCTTATTACATACTGCATAGACAAGAGTGTGTTCATGCTTATTACATACTGCATAGACAACAGTGCGTACATGCTTATTACATACTGCATAGACAACAGTGTGTACATGCTTATTACATACTGCATAGACAACAGTGTGTACATGCTTAATACATACTGCATAGACAACAGTGCGTACATGCTTAATACATACTGCATAGACAACAGTGCGTACATGCTTAATACATACTGCATAGACAACAGTGCGTACATGCTTAATACATACTGCATAGACAACAGTGTGCGTACATGCTTATTACATACTGCTTAGACAACAGTGTGTATACATGTTTATTACATACTGCATAGACAACAGTGTGTACATGCTTATTACATACTGTATAGACAACAGTGTGTACATGCTTATTACATACTACACAGACAAGTGTTTATGCTTATTACATACTGCATAGACAACAGTGTGTGTACATGCTTATTACATACTGCATAGACAAGAGTGTGTTCATGCTTATTACATACTGCATAGACAAGAGTGTGTTCATGCTTATTACATACTGCATAGACAACAGTGCGTACATGCTTATTACATACTGCATAGACAACAGTGCGTACATGCTTATTACATACTGCATAGACAACAATGTGTACATGCTTATTACATACTGCATAGACAACAGTGTGTACATGCTTATTACATACTGCACAGACAAGTGTTCATGCTTATTACATACTGCATAGACAACAATGTGTACATGCTTATTACATACTGCATAGACAACAGTGTGTACATGCTTATTACATAATGCATAGACAAGTGTCTATACATGCTTATTACATACTGCTTAGACAAGTGTGTACATGCTTATTACATACTGCTTAGACAAGTGTGTACATGCTTATTACATACTGCATAGACAACAATGTGTATACATGCTTATTACATACTGCACAGACAAGTGTTCATGCTTATTACATACTGCATAGACAAGAGTGTGTTCATGCTTATTACATACTGCATAGACAAGAGTGTGTTCATGCTTATTACATACTGCATAGACAACAGTGCGTACATGCTTATTACATACTGCATAGACAACAGTGCGTACATGCTTATTACATACTGCATAGACAACAATGTGTACATGCTTATTACATACTGCATAGACAACAGTGTGTACATGCTTATTACATACTGCATAGACAACAGTGTGTACATGCTTATTACATAATGCATAGACAAGTGTCTATACATGCTTATTACATACTGCTTAGACAAGTGTGTACATGCTTATTACATACTGCTTAGACAAGTGTGTACATGCTTATTACATACTGCATAGACAACAATGTGTATACATGCTTATTACATACTGCACAGACAAGTGTTCATGCTTATTACATACTGCATAGACAACAGTGCGTACATGCTTATTACATACTGCATAGACAACAGTGTGTGTACATGCTTATTACATACTGCATAGACAAGAGTGTGTTCATGCTTATTACATACTGCATAGACAACAGTGCGTACATGCTTATTACATACTGCATAGACAACAGTGCGTACATGCTTATTACATACTGCATAGACAACAGTGCGTACGTTCTTATTACATACTGCATAGACAACAGTGCGTACGTTCTTATTACATACTGCATAGACAACAGTGCGTACGTTCTTATTACATACTCCATAGACAACTGTGTGCGTACGTGCTTATTACATACTGCATAGACAACTGTGTGTACATGCTTATTACATACTGCATAGACAACAGTGCGTACATGCTTATTACATACTGCATAGACAACAGTGTGTGTACATGCTTATTACATACTGCATAGACAACAGTGTGTACATGCTTATTACATACTGCATAGACAACAGTGCGTACGTTCTTATTACATACTGCATAGACAACAGTGCGTACATGCTTATTACATACTGCATAGACAACAGCGCGTACATTCTTATTACATACTGCATAGACAACAGTGTGCGTACATGCTTATTACATACTGCATAGACAACTGTGTCGTACATGCTTATTACATACTGCATAGTCAAGTGCGTACATGCTTATTATATGTTGCATAGTCAACAGTGCTTACATGCTTATTACATGCTGCATAGACAAGTGTGCAGACAAGCTTATCACATACTGCAGACCACTGTGTGTACATGCTTATTACATGCTTATTACATTCTGCATATTGACGTTCGCAACTTTTTTTTTATTGAATTTGAAATGTTAGCTAGCCCACTTGGTAATCGTATTACATTAATATTATTGTAGCTTTCACGACGTACCTTATGACTGAATTTGAATCACAGTATTGTTTAAGATTATATAACACATTAATATGTAATATAAATGTTGTTCTACAGCATACGTTTTTCTTATACGGTTATACGAAAAACAGAGCTAAGCTTTAGAGTTAGATTTGGATGTTGTAGATCTGATCATGACTCTGTGGTGCTCCTCATTCAGTTGTGCTGGACCCTGCGGACGAGAAGCTTCTGGAAGAGGACATCCAGGCTCCCTCCAGCTCCAAGAGGTCAGAGATAAACAGCCGAACTTGCTTACATGTAGCAGGGCTGAGCAGTGAATCGGTTTTAGATCAAAATTGAAATGGGAAAGTTTTAAGAGGGAAAATAATCCAGCTGACCGTCTGACGCACTGTACGCAGTGTTCAGGCCTGAAGCCTAAAGGAACCAGTGGAAAGAACCCAGAGCTTAATGTATGTAAAGTAACTGCATTTGAAGTCATAATACTGGTTGGAGAAATCGCTGTTAGGTAACGTTCAGCCCTGTGTTTTGCCGCCACCCTCATAAAACGGCTGAGAGTTGGTTCAGGAGCTGTTAATGATCTGAAATCCCAAACTTAACCTGCCCTGCAGCAAGTTAGGTGTGCAGCATACGATGCTGTGGTCAGGTTAGGGTTAGACTTAAGTTTAAAGGGGAAATCTATTCGATTTTTCTAAATTTCTGCATCGTTAAACGGTTAAGATGTAAACAGAGTCGTTCAGAGTGGTTTGGTGTGAAACGCTCTGCTCTAGAGAAACTTACCGAGTCAGAACTGCTCACAGTGGTGGTGATAGAAACCAGACGTCCACCTCTAAAAGCTCCCTCACAGAAAGTTACTATATGAAATGGTTATGAATTCACTGCCTGATGACTGAGACACTGTTTATGATAGTTTAGAGAGGATTTTGGCCTTGAACTCCATTCATGGTGGAGGGATACGTAATATGCAGGGCGCTGTGAGGCAAAATAGTCCCCAAAGAAAACTTATTATTTCAGATTTTCCACTATTTTCCATCATCAACATTCCATATAAACTCAGAAGACTCGTGTAGGTTCACTGTCTATATTTGTGTTGTAGTCATGGCGACCCCTGGTTCCTATCACCACCACTGTAAAGACATCTGAACCATTTCACACCAAACCCCTCTGAATCTCTCTGTTTACGTCTCACACACTGAATTATTCCGAAATTTTAAATTCCTCTTTAAATTAACGGGCTAAGCAGGACACCCAGACAAAACTACAGTTATAACAAGCAACACATTAAGTGTGTGTGTGTGTGTGTGTGTGTGTGTGTGTGTGTGTGTCTATGCATGTACTCATGCGCAGGTCCCAGCAGCATGCTAAGGTGGTCCCGTGGATGAGGAAGACAGAGTACATCTCCACAGAGTTCAACAGATACGGAGTCTCCAACGACAAAGTGGAGGTCAAGTGAGTAGAACTCAAACATCTCTCTCTCTCTCTCTCTCTCTCTCGCTTGTTCTCACTGATATTCACACACAGCAGTCGCTCGCTCATCTACAGACGTATGCAGTTTGAACACGCTTTGACATGTTTTGTTGATTGTTTTAAAGTGAAATATGCGAATAAAACATCCTCTACAGTGATCAAACTTTAAAACGGCATTTTGTGCACATTTTAATGCACAGTTTCTATTTATTTGTTTCACATACTTGAAAACAAAAACCAAAACCCAGTGTATCGTGCCATATTTTTGTACAGACCAAATTAAATAAAATTCAGAGAATAAACAGTAACTATGTGTTAAAATATGCAGGTGGAGAGGATGTGTTTACTTCTTTTCTTTTTGAAAATCAACAAAACCAAATATGTATAAAACGTTTGACTGGGGCGCACAAACTTTTGCACATGACCATAGAGCTGCAGGTGTCACTTTTTCAGTGCTGTTTTATTAACTTTGCGTTGCCTCTTATTTGGACGTTTCCTGCAGTTCTGCAGTAACTCACCAATGCACCTTGTCATTCTGTGTGTGTGTGTGTGTGTGTGTGTGTGTGTGTGTGTGTGTGTGTGTGTAGGATTGGTGTGTCAGTCAAGCAGCAGTTCACAGAAGAGGAGATCTACAAGGACAGAGACAGTCAGATCGCTGCTATCGAAAAAACCTTCGAGGATGCCCAGAAAAATGTGAGTACCAGGAAAGTGTCACTGTAAGAGTTTCTTAACCAGCGTTCAGCAGAAAACAGACCCTCAGGAAACCTGTGGAGAAATCTTACTTCAAAGATAAATACTGAGCAGTATCCACTATGAATTGTTCGGTATCTACTGTGTATTATTACGCAGTATTTACTTTGTATTATTTCAATCAGTCAATCAATCAACCTTTATTTAATCTCGGAGAACATTGAGGGTGACCCTCATTTACAGTGTTGCCGAGTTGATGCAGAGCATTTTTGGATTGGTAATGTGTAAGAACATCAAATAATAAAAGTAAATTTAATAAATAATAATAAAAAAAATACTCAAATCAGGTAAGTATAAAAAAATGAAACATTAATAATAAAAATATGAAACAATAATTTAAACATAGCTAAAATGTAAAAGTTAATAAAATCAAATGAAAAAGTAAAAGGAGAATAAAATCAAAAAGTAAACTAAAAATGAATAAAAATGACTAAAATAATAGTAAAATAACCATAATTAAAATAAGAATAAGAATATGAATAATAATAAATAAACATACCAATAAATAAAAATAATAAATTATTTGGTATCTACTATTAATTACTTAGTATCTCCTGTGAATTTGTTGTATATAACCATTGGATTGATGTGTACAATGAACTGTTCGGTGTCTTTTATGAATTATTCATTATCATGAATTACTCAGTATGTACTGTGAATTACTTGCTATCTATTATGAATCACTCAGTATTCAAGTCTGTAATCAGTTAGTCGGTGATCGACTCTGCTGGTAACAAATGCATGAACAAGTTTCTCTGCGTCGCTCTGAGAGAGAAAAGACCAAACTTTAGTGATTTTCTCACATGATAAGAAGCTGCTTTAGTGACTGTGTTTACATGCAGATGAAACAGAGTCTAACACACTAAAGTTTCCTACTTCAGGTTTGGTAGATGAAGCTACAGAACCAAGTTTCTCATAAAGCATTTTTTTCTGAGTTTCTGTACCAATTATGAGTATTTTAGTTTTTTCGTGATTTAATTGTAGAAAATTTTGCAGCATCCACTGAGAAATATCTGACACACAGCTGGTCAGTCTGTCTACAGAGTCTTGATCTTCAGAAGGAATGGACACGTATAACTGCGTGTCGTCAGCATAGCTATGAAAATGTATATTATGTTTCCTAATGACATCACCTAGAGGTGCATGTACGAAGAGAAAAGCAAAGGCCCTAAAACTGAACCTTGAGGCACTCCGCAAGAAATGCCAAATCTACTATGAGTTACTTGGTGTCTGTTGAGTAGAGTAGACATCTGTTATGAATTACTTGGTACACATTATGAATTATTCAGTATCTTCTATGGGTTTTTGGTATCTACTGTGAATTATTCGGTGTCTACTATAAAGTACTTGGTTACTTTGTGTCTTCAGTGAATTATTCGGTATCTACTATGAATTGTTCAGTATCTACTATGAATTATTCAGTATCTACTTAAGTATCTGTATTTACTTGAAATGTCTACTCTGAATTATTTATCGTATACTGTGAATTACTGTGTATCTACTCTATTTTGTACTGTGAATTATTCAGATGGCACTTAAAGTGAATTTATGAGGTTTTTTATTATTATTCTCTGTACAGATTGCACAGCATTACAGCAAACCGAGAGTTACACCTGTGGAGGTGCTGCCCGTCTTCCCCGACTTTAAGGTAACTGCAAGCTCATGTTAATAACACGCACTACATATTGCACTCAGCTTATAGACAGTGGTTTTGTCGCCTTTAAGCGAATAAATGTAAAATATTTGCATTTATTTACCTTTTCATCTCACTTCATTTCTTTCCCCCATAGATGTGGATAAACCCCTGCGCTCAGGTCATCTTCGACTCCGACCCAGCTCCTAAAGAGGTGGCCGGCTCCGCTGCTGTGGAGATGATGTCTCAGGCCATGATCAGGTTTGCCAGAATTCCTGCTTTGAGAATAAAGCCAAAGGCCACACTGTTTTCCGCTCACAGCACACAAACCTCTCAGCTGTTTAAACCAGCTTTGGACCAAAATAGTTTCAGTATGAGTTGGAAAAGAAAACTGGCAAATCATTATTAAGGCAAAAGCTGCTTTTCATACCAAGGAAAATGAGTATTGAAGATAAATATACTAATATTACGATCACTAAACCTCCGTAACGATATTTTTTTATTTCAAAATAAGGCAGCGTGTCCTCAGACTGTCGAGCACTGTAGTCTGCTGTTATTGTTGAGCAGTAGCTGATGTGTTGCTGACCGCACTCTGTTGTTTGTCCCTGCAGGGGAATGATGGACGAAGAAGGAAACCAGTTTGTGGCGTACTTCCTGCCCAACGAGGACACAATCCGCAAGCGAAAGAGAGACGTGGAGGAGGACGTGGACTACATGCCTGATGATCTGTAAGATAACTGATATGATAATAATAATGATAATAATAATAATAATAATAAGGCCTACATTTAAAAATGCAGCTCAAAGTGCTTTGCAGGAGGGGTTTCACGGTATGGCAACATATCATTTCATGATATTTTCACAATACACGGTATGTGTCACTATATCCTGACAAGGACACAGTGCACACCAGCCATCAAAACCTGGGTACAATCATTTTTAATGAACTTTTCAGACACTGCACAGCATTAAACCCAGATAAACTGGACTAATTTAGCTCTGTAATCAAATATGCGGTTGGTCAGCGGCTCAGAGTGTGGACCATATCAACATACGCTCAGAAAAGCATGTTGGCTGTTAATAATCTTAGGCTACGTTTCACATTACCCAGGCTGAAGTGGCACAAATCAGATTTTTTGCCCTAATGTGACTCAGATCTGATGTTTTCAGAGCTGTGTGGACACAAATCTGATCTTTTCAAATCCGACCTGAGCCACTTTAATATGTGGTCCTAGATCGGATGCGTATCCGATTCGTGGCCGTGCGACCTTAATGTGACGCTCAGATCGGAATTCATGTGCTTTTTTTTCACTGCACGTGACCATCATTCAGCATTACCATGGCAACAGCGCTGAACAGAAGTTAAAGCCTGTAAACGGTGGAAAAGCAGCTCATCTCACCTTTTTCTCCTTTTCAGAGTTAATTATCTTCTCAGCGAAGCTCGTTCTGCTCGTTAGTTTGTTGCTGATGATGAACGTGATTCATTCACGTGACGTTACTGAGTAGGATGAGCTCATGTGGGTCATTTCAGGACGCCGGTTCGTCACATTAATGGCAGATTTGAGTCACTTACCTAAACGAGTGTGAACCATCGCGTCAGAGAGATCGGATTTGAGCAAAAAATCGGATTTGAGCAACGAGGCTTGTAATGTGAACGTAGCCTTAAGTTGTGTAAAAAAGAACAGATTTTACCGCTTTTCACGACGTACAAACTGCTCTGAGTCTGATTCATGAAACTTTCGTACGATGTGGAAACAAGCAGAGATTTGCACATAAAGGGTGAGTCGGCTTCAGTGCGTGAAATCAAGCGCCAGCCTAATAGGACCTCATTTAAATATCATTTACATGAAGCATGCCCTAATTCATGCAGATGTTTTGGTCAGGAGCCAGTCACATGACAGCCCCCAGCAGCTCATGAGCCAATGGCAGTGCTCATAGGCAGAGTTTGAGGTGGAGCAGTGAGTGAAATGAATGAAATTGATGAATAACATAACGGTCTGTGAAATATGGCTCATTTTACGGTCAGATCTGACCACGACTTTGCTGAATAAGGGCTGCTGTCCATACCTGCCAGTTCCTCATGCCAGCCTGTTGTGGTTGGCTCTCAGTTGTTTTATTTATTATCTGAATTTGTCTTTATGATGTTGCCTCCTATAGTTTTGCTCACTCTTTCGGACTCCCTGTTTGTCTACAGGTATGAATATAAGATAGCAAGGGAGTACAACTGGAACGTGAAGAATAAGGCCAGTAAAGGCTACGAGGAGAACTACTTCTTCATCTTCAGAGACGGAGACGGCGTCTACTACAACGAGCTGGAGACCAGGTGAGTGTTTGTCTCAGCAGATCTAAAGCACTGAGCTGTGCTGTTGACCTACCTAATGTCGCTAGCATGGCACAAATCTCATTTAATGTAATGAAAGTGACACCACAAAACCCAGTATTTGTAGAAATAAGTCATTTTTTAATATACAATAACAAAAACAACAGAAATCGTCACCATGCTTATATTAGCTGGATTTTGCAATAATGGAAATTTGTTCTAAAGGTTTTATCTGTCATACACATATAATATATAGATCATTTGACATTATTAACGCAATCTAAGCTCATTTATTTGGAAAAAACTAGTTAAAATGAAATGTTTTCTATCATTCTGTAACATTGTCCTGCCTGTAGCAACTGTAGCTACAGAAGAAGTCATTTTGAGGCAGGTTGCATTTCTTTATTGAACATTATTGTGGGTCATTTTTTTTCTAAAATTATTCTGGTAATAATCAGTGAACATAGTATTAATCCTGCAACTCTTTTGTGAAGCCCAGTTCGTTCTGGATGAGTTTTCTAACGCTGTGCATGTTCTACAGAGTGCGTTTGAGTAAGAGGAGGGCGAAGGCTGGAGCTCAGTCCACCACCAACGCTGTACTGGTCTGCAAGCACAGAGACATGAACGAGAAAGAGCTGGAAGCACAGGTTTGGAAACGAACACATCCTCACACAAACACATTTTGGCTGCGTTCAGACGGCGGCCATGTTCCAGCCAAAAGGCCTTTATATCCTATGGCAGGAGGCGGGCTCAGCTCGATCTGTTGTGGGAAGTGGATGGAGTTAAAAAAATGTTCAGTTTCCATTGAAAAGCTCCACTTGTCATATGTTACTTTTCACAAGATAACCAATCAAAAAAGAGGGGGGTAAAATTGAACGGAAAAGTGAAGGCGGGGCTATACAGTAGTTTTGCTCTTATTTGCTGTTTAAATAATATTTTGCTTAAAGATAAATATTGAAATCTCGTCTTATTTTTACACCCACCCCATGTTTTAGAGTGTCACGTTGCCCCTTCGAACTGTGCTACAAGGGGTAGTGGTTGAAATCTTCCTCTGAAATGGGACCCTCAGATAAAAAGAGCATCACTTCATTAACAGCTACCAGCGCTGCTCTGTAGGCGACCCTGCCAGTCTGCAGTGACAGCAGAGGAGGGTAAAGTTCAGCTCCTCACTGCTGGGCTTTAGTTACATTTAGGGCATCATATGATCTTCAAAGGGGGGGGCAATTATTTATTATCACCCACCCCTAATTCTTCAGTGATATGAAGCTGAAGTCAGATATTCACCAGCTTCTTGTTCGAATTTTCCCGTCCCACCTTAAATGGAGCAGCAGTTCTGATGTCTGAGGCGCCAGAATGTGACTGCTGCATCATTTAAGGTGGAACGGGAAATTTAACTAGCTACAGAGACGTCAGCATAGTACTAGCAATTTTAACGCTTGTTATGATGAAAAGGGCTATAATACATCAAAATGACATTAAACTGAGATAATACAGTCGTTATTGTATTTTTTAACAGAGAAAATTCTCACACTTGTGGGTTTCTTTGGTCTCTCGTTCAGCCGTCTTGCCAGTTCTTCTTTTCTCATAACACTCTAGCCCTAACACTTCACCCTCCCCCTCTATCTCAACACGAATCAGGAAACCCTACCCCTAGACATGAACGCGCTAAACGGAGGGGTAGGGCTGAGTGGTAGGCGAAAAGGGGTGAAATGGGATTGGTTACGTTGCTTTTGTTTACATGCTGGATTGTTTCTTCTCATCTTTCTTCTTCAAAAAGAAGCGCAATAGGTGCCACATCCTCTTTAGTGTGTCTATTTAGTGTGATGTGTTGCGTTGTTGAACATCCCTCCCATAAAGATCTGCTCCGCCTTCTGAAGACAGCTTTACCCTGGGATATGTAGTAATTCACTATTAAAATCAAACTGGATTAATGAAGTGAAAGAAAAAAAAAAACTGTGTCTGAAACTGTGTTTGTGACCTGCAGGAAGCTCGCAAAGCTCAGCTGGAGAATCACGAGCCGGAGGACGAGGAGGAGGACATTGACATTGACAAAGACTTGCAAGACTCAGGTAACATACATCAGGTTTCCAGCACACACATCACACTGGACGTAGTGGTCACATACTCACATCATACTGGACATAAAAGACTGCAGCCGGTGGGTTAGTCTTAATACAGGAACAGCACAGGCTTTCGAAGAACGGTGGCAGTGCTTACAGAGTCGTTCACTTAGATCGTTACTCTGTCCAGTGTGACCATAATGACGGTCAGGTGAGAATCCACATTTTTAAAATTGATTTGTTTTATTAAACAAAATCACTCTGTATACAGTGGATTGTAAGCTTTCACAATCATACGTTTCCATAGAAACACACAGAATGTGAATTGGGAGTGTTTTTGATTGATGAGATTATGTGTGAAAAAGGCAGAAAGACTAAATATGAGGGAAAGTAATTAAATAATAAGGCTTGTGATGTAAATGCGCCTTATGATATCCTAAACTCCTGCACCTCCCTGTCTCCGTGCAGGTGACGAGAAGGAGAAAGGCAGCGAGAGTGAGAATTCGGAGAGCGACTCGGACCGCGAGGATGAAGAGCGGCGAGGCGAGGACGATGAGGATGAGGAAGAGGAGGAAGGAGGGAAGCGGCGGGAGAGGAAGGCCAGCGGGAGCGGCAGCGAGAGCGGAGAGGACCGGCAGGCCCGGGACGAAGAAGAGATCTTCGGCAGCGACGACGACAGCGAGGAAGAGGACGGAGGACGACGCAGCGGCAGCGAGGACGAGGAGGAGGGTGAGGGAGGAGGAAGGAGAAGCGGCAGCGCCTCTCCAGCTCACAGCAGCAGCGGCCACTCTGAGGCCGGCCAGCACAGCGGCAGCGAGAGGGCGTCGGACTCCAGCGACGGCAGCGACAGTGAATGAGATGCTGCCGACAACAGAAACGCACTGGGGGGACTACAACTCCCATCATCCCTGGCTTTTTCTTAGTTATCTCTTTCATTCCCTCATGTGCTCTGTTCATGTGCTCTGTTCGTTTGTGGTGCCGTGCCTGATAGAAGGACTACAACACCCATCATCCCTGGCTATCCCAGTTCCCCAGCCACTGGAGGAAACTACAACTCCCATCATCCCTAGCTGTCCCAGTTGCCCAGTTTTCTAGCCACTGTGGAGGATTACAACTCCCATCATTCCTTGTTGGCCACCCTCTGTAGAGGAGTACAGCTCCCTATCATCCCTTGCTGTCTTAGTTCTTCACCCACTGGAGGGACTACATCTCCAGTCATCCCCAGTTGTCTGTTTTCCATCCACCATGGAGAGCTACATCTCCCAGAATACCTCACTTTTGCAGTGCTCCTCTGGGGTGACATCTCCCATCATCCTCAGCTGTTCTGTTTCCCCACCCACTGAAGAGAACTACAGCTACCATCATCCTCAGCTGTTCTGTTTCCCCACCCACTGAAGAGAACTACAACTACCATCATCCTCAGCTGTTCTGTTTCCCAACCCACTAAAGAGAACTACAGCTACCATCATCCTCAGCTGTTCTGTTTCCCCCACCCACTAAAGAGAACTACAACTACCATCATCCTCAGCTGTTCAGTTTCCCCACCCACTGAAGAGAACTACAACTACCATCATCCTCAGCTGTTCTGTTTCCCCACCCACTAAAGAGAACTACAACTACCATCATCCTTGGTTGCTCCACTGACCCACCTTCTGCTCTCGTGGTTCTTCCCCTCTGTTAAGGACTACAACTCCCATCATCCCCGTCTGTCCCAGATCCCACACTCGTTTCCTCCATTGCACTTGTTCCTCTGTTTACTTTTTGGAGAGGGAGACGAACAATAAATAACTTTTTTTGTTGTTTTTTGTTATTTTTTCCATTATTTTTCAGTTTTTTTTAATAGTCCTGCAAGTTAACCAGCATCATGAGAACTGATGAACTGAGCTGACGCCTTGACCGCTGTTCTCATGACCTGTACACTTATTTGATGCTTAAAAATGCTGTCTGTCCACTTCTGGATTAAAATTTTACTATAAGAACTACCCATGTTATTTCATAACGAGGAATTCCACCAAAATCTTCAAAATTTCTCATTAATTAATTAAAAAGTTACAGTATAAACAGAGTCATTCAGAGTGGTTTGGTGTGAAACGCTGAGTCAGAACTGTTCACAGTGGTGGTGATAGGAACCAGACGTCCACCTCTAAAAGCTCCCTCACAGAAAGTTCCTACATGAAATGGTTATGAATTCACTGCCTGATGACTGAGACACTGTTTCGGGCCAAAATGTACTTATAAAACCGATTCATGGCAACGAGGGACATGCAGGGTCCACGTCTCTCTAGTTAACCCTTTCATTTCAAACCACTCTGAATGAATCTTTTCCCCTTTAATGACAGCTTGGGCTCAGAATCTCTTGCAAACTGAAGGGTAAATGGCAGAAACCTCAAGGCTGCAGGACATTAAGCTGGACGCTGTTCTTGTGTAGTGGTACTAGACAGCGTTCAGGCTCTTCTGTGGTGTTGTGATGATTTCACAATGCCTTCTGCCTTAAATGAGCCCTAATGATTACCGTTCATTAGTCTGGTGGAGCCGATTCTCGGCCAGATTTGTCCAGTTCTGCTTCTTCTCCCTTTTCGTTTTTTCTGTTTGAGGAAATTGCTTCTCCTCACGAAGCAGAGAAAACCTTCATGTAAAGCGATTGTGCACAACTCCGGTCCTGGAGGCCCAGTGTCCAGCACACTTTTGAGGTCTCACAGACCGTACACACCTCATTCAACTCCTCTGTTAATTGCCAGGTTTAACGAGTGTGTTTAAGGAGGGCGACTACCAAACTGTGCAGGACACCGTCCCACCAGGACCGGACTTGTTCAGCCCTGATATAAAGCTTTGAGGGCTAATTATGCTGTTTTCTATGTTATGATCCAAAGATCATCTAATTTGTGGACTGTTTTGTTTGTTTAGTTGTTATTTTAGTAGCGGTAGGTTGTAACGTCTCATCACAGACAGTGATACATGGTCACTTTGCTGTATAAACTGCTGTAAATAAAGATTAACTAGTGGTTTTTGTTTAAAAAAATCATTATCTGTGTATTTAGTTTGTACAGAGTTTATCAATATATTGTTGCTGTTGGAACAAAACCTGGTATCTCCAGAATAGTAACTAAAAAATGGAAGTTAATGTAACGAGACTTTTTTCCGAATAATTTTGCATTATTTCCGTTGGCCTGTTCGACATTTTAACACAGCGCAAATAGTAACTGGAGTTTCCAAATTATGCAAAAAGAGTGAAAAACAAGAAATGGAGATGACAGGTTTTGTCTCTAGTTCTCTTTGAACACTCACTTATCAGTTTCATCTGCTTGGTGAAGGGGTCTAAAGCACAGCCCATTAACATTACAAAAGCGTGCAGTTACGCATTTCCACCAGAGGGGTCTCCAAAATCCCTAAAACCTACATAGTCCAGATTTTCACTAGAGTTAGAAAAGCTTACGGTTTAAGGCTGAGCTTCTATAAAAGAAGGGACGTGAGTGCATCGTACATGTGGTAAATGAAAGAGCGTCTACGTTATACGTTAGTGAACTTACATGAGTTTTTTTTTATGGGAATATTCAGGAGTGTTTTGTTGCATCTCGTTTGGGCGCTGCGTTAAACGTTGCTTACTTATTTCCGGTACCGCCGTCTGTTTTCACACACGCACAGACTGAGAAATCCGAAAGAAATCAGAGTAAGAGGTTAGATGCACTGAGAAATCTGATTACTGAGCTAAAACCCAGCCTCTTTATCGGATTTCTTAATCGGATTTCTAGACCTAATTCCAATCCAAGAAATCGGAGGGTGTTGATGATGTTTATAAGAGACTTGCTGTGGGTTGGCGTGGTCTACCGCTTCGTGGCTGAGCTGCTGTTGCTCGTAAACGCCTCCATTTCACAGAAAGAGCACTTACAGTTGTCTAGGGCAGCTCTAACAGGGAAGAAATTACAGTTATAGCGGAGGTTTCTATGACAGCGCCATGTTTAAAGTCACTGAGCTCTTCAGTACGACCCATTCTACAGCCAGTGTTCATCTGTGGAGACTGCAAGGCTATGTGCTTGATTATATACACCTGAACTCAACAATTAGGAGGGGTGTCCACACTGTGGCCACATCTATATTATAATAATTAGCTTTAAAATACTTAGTCTGACAACAGTGTACAGACTGTGAAAAGAAGAGTTGGGGGGGAAAAATGATTTTTTTTTTATCTTACCAGAATGTGGTCAGGAAAATGTTACTAAAAATCGATTTAACATCAGTTAATCATTCAGAAAACACGGTTTTAGTCTTTTCATTTCAAGCTTGGTCCCAGAGTTTGTCATGTTTGTGAGAATGACCCGAGCAGACAGACGGGAAACAGACAAAATATGAAATGGATAAATGGGTCAGTTCAGAGAGCACGCGATTTATTATTCATTTTACACTGCAAAATATAAAAAACATCTTTTTTTAAGATTCCAGAATAACAGAAAAAAGCAAAAGCTTGTTTGTTGCTGGAACTGCAGGTAGAAAGTTCCCTCCCTGCTGTGATGTGTTACATTAACTCGGCCTGTATATCAGCGTAATGAAGTGCTGGATCCACAGACTCGTTTTCAGTGTATTTAACCTTAATTAATCATTTTCAATCAACAGGAAAAACAGTCGTATGACGATTCATAACAATAAAACATCTGCATTGTTAAGGGACCCTAATCACTGTTATTTTTCATATTTCACACCAAAAACAGTCATTTTATAAACTTTACCATTTATTTTTTAACCTCTATCAATTTGGAATAAACAGGCTGTGCTTTTTAAGTGATATATGTAAATGAGCTCTGTTCTGATTGGCTGCTCTGTATTGCGCTTGATTCCAGAAGTAGTCTGAGCCGAAACACTTCTGATGATGTCTGTGTGAGTGGGCGGGGCTAAACTGCTGTAGGCTGAATAGGCGGATATAGATATGAAAATGCATTGGTTTTTGTGATGTCACAAAAAAAACAACAACAAAGAATTCCAAACAGGCTGTTTTGGCAGCTGTGGACGGAGGAGTGAACGGCACGTTTTTAAATTTAACAAAAGTCTTAGAAAAATGTGGTTTTCCACAAAACTGGTACCAAAAACGTAAAAGTCGACGTTAAAATGAGCATCAGCTCCTCTGATGATGAACAGAGCGAATCAGCGAAAGAAAGACAGTTTTTCTTTCAGCCACTCCTCAGACAGGTCGTCTGCGTTCCGGATCTCGAACACCTGCGGAGAAGGAGAAGAAGGAGCATCAGTGGGCTGAACCTGAATGGATGATCTAGCAAGATTTGTGTAATTAGGGGTCCAAGCACCGACGACTGAGTTTGGGAGGTGTCGCTCTGAGCAGGTGGTGGAAATGGAAAGATTTTCAATGTATTGACTGATTGATTAATTAATTAGGGCTGGGATAGTAAGCAGTTTTTAAAATCAGGACACAATGAGTGCGTTTACATGCACTTAATAATCCGATAACTGCCATGTAAACACCGTACTCCTATCTAGAAATCAGATAAAGAGGCTGGATTTCAGCTCAGTAATCAGATTCAGTGCATGTAAACTCTTACTCTGATTTCTTTCGGATTTCTCAGCCTGCGCATGTGCGAAAACAGATGGCGGTACCAGAAATAAGCGAGCAGCGCCGCCGCAAGAAACACTTTCTGGAGCGACGCTAAAACCAAATACATTCTCGATTAAAAGAAAGATTTAAATATTCTTCATCTTCTAGATGATGTATGTTCATATTTTCAGGTAAAGTGGCGCAAAGTTTAAATAAAAAGCCGCGGCATGAAGTTTGATTTTTCGTTACATTTGATTTTATTGGATGGTTGTAAAGCAGAAATCTGATTACTGTCTGACTCATGTAGACCTGGAGTTTCCCGCATTATCTGATTACTCAAGTGCATGTAAACTTGTTGATCGGATTACTGACAAAATCCGATTTTCTGCAGTTTTCGGATTATTAGATGCATATAAACACATTCATTGTGTGAAATGTATTTAAAAATTACCCCCCAAAACACTGAAGCTGCATGCAGTTCCTTTTGCAGTGTTTGGTAGCCTTTAGACGGCTGCAGTAGTCTTTCTGTGCACCTGTGAACGGCCATGAACTGCCCACTAGCGGAGGAGTTCAGACGCCTCATGGTTTTTGAAAATATGAGAATGTATAACGTGAGTGAGAAGCTACACTGCTTATCAAAAATTCTGATTTACTGTTCCTTTTTTTAAAAACGTTCATGACTTTGATCGTTCAAACTCCTCCCTACCAGGCTGGGAATTAGAGATGTTTACCTTGGTCAGCTCTGCTGATTGGACCAGTCTGTTTTTGCTGCCGGCGTACATCATCTGCTGTTCAGGTTTGCAGCCTGTTCAGAAAACCACGTTTATTACAAAGAGACACCCTGTTTCACAACAAGGTTTAGTTAATAAAAGTTTCTTGTTCTTCTGGGAAACCAACGACGTTCCTGAGTTATGATCTGATCTCACAGCACGTCTGTATATGACATAAAGCATTAAAGATGTATTTCTGCATCATTTCTATTCATTTCACTTCTTAAACCAGGGCTAAAGTGAAACATAGTGGATTAATGATGGAGTGATAGTGAAGTGCGGAGGTCAGACTCACCTACAGGGCTGGAGAAGATGAAGCACAGCGGATACGACACTCGCCCATCTGAGTGTGTCAGCTTGTAACTGTACACTATGTATGTGCACTTCAGTTAAGGTCACTCACTGGCCGCTTTATTAGAAACACCTACTGTGTACTTCCACAAACTGACCACTTTATTAGAAACACCAACCTTGTGCTTCCACTCACTGGCCACTTTATTAGAAACACCTACCTACTATGTCCACACTGTCCACTTTATAAGAAACACCAGTCCACTAAATGACTGTCAGTTTAGTTTGAAAACAATAAAATTGTACAGAAGTATGAATTATATTAATTCATATTTAAATAACAAATTTTATTTCTTTATATATCAAAATGGTAAGGATATCTGGGCTGTCGCTCTGGAAGCTCCTCCCTCAGGTCATCCAGTGAGATGTCCTGCAACATGTAAATAAATGTTTCACAGTTAGAGAACCAATATTAGACAACGGTCACTGTAAAAAGCTGCAAAAAGGACTGAGTAAAAAGACTGATTAGAAAAGGGATATCGTATTGTAACGGACTGTGACAGTCTGTTATTACAGAAGGGATATTGTAACTGATATCACAGAAGTGAGATTTTAACAGGCTGGTATTACAGAAGAGATATCATAAGAGACTGATATTAGAGAAGGAATATTGTAAGAAACATATTACAGATCAGTTTCTTACGATATTCCTTACAATTCCTTACAATATTACAAAGGGATATCGTAAGAGACGGACATTAGAGAAGGGATATTCTATGATAATGATACTACAGAAGGGATCTCATAACTGAGATATTACAGAAGTGACATTTTGGCTGGCTGATATAGAAGTGATATCGTAAGAGACTGATATTAGAGAAGGGATATTGTAACAGACATATTACAGAAGGGATATCATTACAGACTGATATTAGAGAAAGGATATTGTAACAGACTGATATTACAGAAAAAATATGGTAACTGTGATATTACAGTAGTGAGATTTTAACAGGCTGATATTACAGAAGAGATATTGTAAGAGACTGATTAGAAAAGGGATACTGTAACAGACTAATATTACAGGAGGGATATTGTAACAGACTGATATTAGAGAAGGGATATTGTAACAGACTGATATCACAGAAGGGATATTCTATCAAACTGATATTAGAGGAGGGATATCCTATCAGACTGATCTGATATTAGAGAAGGGATATAACAGGCTGGTATTACAGAAGAGATATTAGACTAATATTAGAGAAGGGATATCCTATCAGACTATTAGAGAAGGGATATCATAACAGACTGATATCACGGAGGGGATATTGTAACAGACTAATATTAGAGGAGGGATATCCTATCAGACTGATATTAGAGAAGGGATATTATAACAGGCTGATATTACAGAAGAGATATTGTAACAGACTAATATTAGAGGAGGGATATCCTATCAGACTGATATTAGAGAAGGGATATCCTAACAGACTGATATCACAGAAGGGGTATTGTAATAGACTAATATTAGAGGAGGGATATCCTATTAGACTGATATTAGAGAAGGAATGTTATAACAGGCTGATATTACAGAAGGGATATCCTATCAGACTGATATTAGAGAAGAGATATCATAAATGTATATTGGAACAAAGTGATATAACAAATTCCTCAGACTGAAGGAGGGTCAAGAACATACCTCATACTCCTCTTCTAAGATGACCAGTTGTTTTTCCATATCAATTTTGACTGAGAAAACAAAAAAATAATTTAGTTTTAATATCATGTTTTAATATTGTGAAATAGAAATAGTTAAATTAATATTTCTTTCGCACATTTTAACCACTTAAATGTAGTTAATCAGTCAAGACATGCTTGATGTCTGGAGTTTACTTCTGTAGTTTTAGCATTGAAGCTACAAGGCTAAGGTAGCTAAAATGGAAACTAATACCCCACCTATTAGCATTGTGCTAAATTGTGCCAAGCAGGTTGTGGCTCGACTACTTTTGGGATTAAACTGTGATTTTCTCCCAAAGCTTTTCTCAAAAGGGCTTCTTTATGGTTGTGTAGGTGAACCCAGTATGAACTGCATGTTCAGATCTATAATATCTCAGATCTGTGGAGCAGGATTGGAGCTCCTGATGGCTCCACTTCTGTTTCCCTTCAGGATATCAGGCTTTGAGCAGGTATCCCAGTGATGGGGGCTGTAGAGAGCTGAAAAATACAGATTTCCTCATAATTTAGGACGTTTGGTGTTGACACCTACTCAGTATGGCGGCGTTCGTGGTCTCCTTCCGAAAGCGAAACTTCTTCAGTTTTTCCTTCAGGCTTGGGTCCACTTCACACACAACCAGTGAGCTCGACTGAAATGGCATAAAAATGAATCAGTGTTACATTTTTTATCTGCAAGTCGCTCAAAGCTGAACTTATTAAGAGGCCCACATTCTTGTGTTTTATTTTTTTTCCTTAGATTTCCTGAATTTGTGTGGTTTTATGTACCAAAAATGTCATTTTAATACATTTTTACACATCCTTCTCCAAACCCCTCTTTATTCGTAAGAATTTAGCAATCAGTTTTGGTCAAATTTACAAAATTCTCCACTAATACTGCGTTCATTAATTTTCTGACTTATAACAACCACCCAACTTCTAATTCCTGCTCAGAAAGAGCTCCTAGTTGCAATTCCATGACAACACGCCAGCATGGTGGCATCATAGAACAGTTAGTAACAGCATGTTTTAGGCTTTTACACAGATCTTTACGTTTTTTTTTGTGCATGACGTTATTTCTGATATCATAACATTAATATTACAGGAAGGTTATTGTAACAAACTGATATTACAGAAGAGATATTCTAATAGACTGATATTACAGAAGGGATATTGTACTAAGGTGAAATTACAGAAGGGATATTGTAATAGACTGATATGACAGAAGGGATATTGTAATAGACTGATATTACAGAAGGGATATTGTAATAAGGTGAAATTACAGAAGGGATATTGTAACATTGATATTACAGAAAGGATATTGTAACAGACTGATATTACTGAAGGGATATTGTAAGAGACTGATATTGCAGAAGGGATATTGTAATAGACTGACATTAGAGGAGCAATATTGTAATAGAGTGATATTACAAATGGAATATTGTAACAAACTGATGGTACAGATGGGATACTGTAATAATACGATATTGCAGACGAGATATTGTAATAGATTGATATTACAGATGAGATATTGTAATACAGTGATATTACAGAAGGGATATTGTACAAGACTGATATTACAAATGGAATATCGTAACAGAGTGATAGTACAGCTGAGATATTGTAATAAGCTGATATTGCAGACAGGATATTGTAATAGACTGATATTACTGAAGAGATATTGTAATAAGGTGAAATTACACGTAAGACATTGTAATAGACTGATATCACAGAAGGAATATTGTAACAGACTGATATTACAGAATAGATATTGCAAGAGACTGATATTGTAGAGGGGATGTTTTAACACTGATATTACAAATGGAATAACATAGAAGACCAATGGTACAGATGGGATATTATAATAGAGTGATATTACAGAAAGGATATTGTAAAAGGCTGATATTATGATAATAGAATGGTATTGCAGAGGGGATATGTAATAGACTGGTATCGCAGAAGGGATATTGTAATAGACTGATATTACTGAAGGGTTATTGTAATAAGGTGCAATTACAGAAGGGATATTATAATAAGCTGATATCACAGAATGAATATTGTAAAAAGCTGATATTACAGAAGAGATATTGTAATAGACTGATATTACACAAGGGATAGTGTCTTATACTGATATTACAGAAGAGATATTGTGTTGGAAGAATATTACAGTTTCTTTTTGTTATGAAATGCTATCATTAAATGCAGGATAATTGCATAATTGTGTCCTCTCACTTTCCGCTCTATATTAACAGTAATATCCTACGTCCACTCTTAAAATCAATAAAGCACTAACCCAACAACTTCGTAAGCCTCTTGTAAAAGCTTTTAAAAAGCGTTTTATATGCTCACAGCAGCCAAACAAGCACCAGCTTTCTGTGAACTTCCATATTTTCTAGCATACAACTGGTGAAGTTGTGTGAATAAAGTAGGAAGCCGAGAGTTCAAATGTGTCATGAAAGCAGCATCATGCCAGATGTAGCCGATCAGCCAAGTCAAGTTAAAATTTTCATTCTTTATTTTAGCCCTGGAGCTACAAGGCTAACTGTGCTAACACTAGAAGTCAATAGTCACCCAAATCAGTTCTGTAAATACATCCCCAAAACTTCTCTCGACTCAACTCAAACCTCTTGCCGGTCTTCATTAAGGTCACTCGGACTTGTTGATGTGGTTCAGTACACAGTAGATTACATTTGAAAATTCTGTCATTTTTCTATTTATAAAAATGTGTCTTCCATCCAAAAATTGAAATTAACAGCTGTTTATGAATCGAAAATATATGCCAGGCGGTCGGCGCAACACCACTGCTGTCTAAATTGGCTGCCCACAGCTACACTGCGTGAAGGCCATTCATTTTTATAGCTCACAGTAAGTCACACTGTGTCTTACTGAAAAGCTGGATGCAGTTTCGGCGCATTGAGAGAAGGTTTTAGGCTGCATTTACAGAAAAGATTTGGGTGACTATTGATGGAGTTGATGTGGAGGTTGTTGAGACCTACAGGTATCTAGGTGTGCACTTAGACAACAAGCTGGACTGGAGCTGTAACACTCTCAGTGTACAAGAGAGGTCAAAGCCGTCTCTACTTCCTGAGGAGGCTGAGGTCTTTTGGTGTGGCACTGAGCTCCTATGGACTCTACCAGTCTGCTGTATCGAGTGCTTTACTCTGTGCTGTTGTGTTCTGGAGCAGCAGCATCAACAACAGTGCTCTGAACAAAATAAACACACTGATTAGGAAGGCTGGCTCTGCTGTAGGAGTCAAGCTGGACTCTCTGGAGGTTGTGGCAGAACAGCGGACGCTCAACAGGCTGTTAGCCATATTGGACAACACCTCACACCCCCTGCATGCTACACTGGATAAACAGAGAAGCTCATTCAGGTCAGACTGTTGCAGCTGAGCTGTGTTAAAGAGGCCGTGTGAGATCTTTCTTACCCACTGATATACGGCTCTACAGCGAGTCTCCTCACTGCAGAGACGGTACTGATCTCCTGCTGTCTGAACTGTGCTGAACCTCATCACTATATCTCCTCTCCTGTTAATACACACTGTGTAATATATCACAACTACTACTGTAATGACTCTCACTGCGCACTGTACACTGTAATACTGCTGCAACTCTAACTAATTGTTATTAGACAACCTCACACCACTCAGGGCCTGCTCTCATGTAAATACAACAAATCTGTCTCATATGCCGTGTAAATATGTAAACAGATATACTTTTTATTTCTCTTGTACTTTAACTCATGTCTATTTTTATTTCTATTTTCTATTTTTCTGCATAGTTTATGTTAGTTTATGTGCAATTATATGTGTTGCTACTGAAACACTGCAATTTCCCTTCGGGACGAATAAAGTTCTATCTATCTATTGACGTCTAGTATGAGCAACATTAGCTTTGCAACTCCAGCACTGAAGTACAGAAGCAACATTTGAGGAAAAATTGGAAAATCTGTAGAAACTGTGTTTTTTCGCCAAACCATTCTTTTAATAGATGTAGATATCACTGTTGTTGGAAGAAAACCTTGTATCTCCAAAATGGTGACTTTACAGAAGAAGGAAAAAACATGCTTTACTTTTAATGTAAGTCAATGGAACCAGACTTTTTCCCCAAGTCATTTTGAGCCGTTTCTTTTGGTCCATTCTTCATGAAATTTCCGCACAATGTAAAGGACAACAGGTATTTTCAAATTATGTCAAAAACTGAAAAACGCCAAAAATGGAGATAAAAGGTTTTCTTCCGACAGCAGCAATATGCGAATGAGCTCTATTCTGATTGGCTGTCCTGTCCTGTACAAAACAAACACTACAGTTTAGGCCGAAAATGAACATCAGGCTGGAGCAACATTCACTCCAGCGGGAATGGGTGGGGCTAGACTATCGCAGGCGACGAACTGGTTGTCACAGGTAAATGCATTCATGGTTGTGATGTCACAGCCACAATGCACGATTGTTTTCGCAAGTTTAGCTGCCATACATGGACTGTGAGGACTGGGAAGTGAAATTTAGAGTTGTGAAACTCTAAATCCTAATCTTTTGTTCGAAAAAAAAACGTTTGAGTTTTCCGTGATATGTGCCCTTTAATATCTGCTACGGGTTGCCAGTTATAAGTAATGAAAGGCAATAGATGACAGTCATGTGACTGAATGCACACCTTTAATTTTATCTGTAAAAAGAAAGCAGAACAAAGGCCGAGAGCTAAACTGCATCACTTAAATGATAGTTTAGAGACGTCTTGTTAATCTGTAGATAAAACAGCATTTAATTTAACAAAAGATTCTCTTAGTTTAGCTGTAAAATCCCCCCAAAAATGAAATAAAAACCCTTCCAGAGAGCAAAAAATACCATCCATCACAGCTTTTCTTGGCCACCGACGGCAGCCCAGGCCTGCTGAATAATATATGTGCTGCAGATGCATTATTGAAGTGAATATGTGCGCTGTGTCGGTTAAACAGTGCGGCAGGAAATGTTATTGCTGTCGAAACTTCCTCTACAGTTGAAAACAAGGCGGGGAACGGAGGTGACTGCACCAAAATCAGTACCAAAAAATCTCTCTAGAGGGTTAAAACTGCAGAATACACACTTCATTAGCTTTAATACTTGTTCCACTTGGTCCACAGTGTACTAGACCGAGTCTGAAAGTTAAAGCACGTCTCTTACCATTCTGCACGCTGTTCTGGGTCGCAGGCTAACCTAGTTCCTCCTTCGGCGGCGAGCTTGTGACAGGATGCTGCTGACATCCCAGACTGCACACAGAACGGGGAGGGCACTAACTCGAGAAGAATGACAGCAGCAGCAGTATTTAAATGACTTTCACTCACTGGCCACTTTATTAGAAACACCAACTTTTCACTTCCACTAAATGTCCACTTTATTAGAAACACCCACCTTGAACTCATACTCAGTGGTCAATTTATTAGAAACACCTACTCTGTGCTTTCACTCACTGGCCACTTTATTAGAAACACCTACCTTGTGCTTCCACTCACTGGCCACTTTATTAGAAACACCTACCTTGTGCTTCCACTAACTGGCCACTTTATTAGAAACACCTACTCTGTGCTTCCATTAACTGGCCACTTTACTAGAAACAGCTACCTTACGCTTGCACTAACTGGCCACTTTATTAGAAACACCTAACCTGGGCTTCTACTAAGTGACCACTTTATTAGAAACACCGACTTTACGTATGTAAGTGAACAGTTACAGACTGTAGCCTGTTTATCACCCTCCTCAACTCCATTCATCACCGGTTCGTTTCTGACCACAGAACAGCTGTTGTCCAGATATTTGGGTGGGGCATCGTTCTCAGCGCAGTACTGTGTCACTGCTACCAGATTTGGATGTGAGGTCTAGGTTTGAAAACCTCTGCTGTTCAACACAGGCTGTAGTGACATGGGATGGACACCAGGGGGCAATCCTGACCCACACTCTTCACTCTGGGCTTCTTTCTGTCCTTTTTCTCTCGGTTTAATTAGAAGCGAACATGTTTATTTACCTTCTCAGACTTTTTCACCGACCTCAAAAGAATTTACATCATAGCTGAACTGCATCTCACTGAATTATACAGCGTAAGAGATTCAGTTCCTCTCATTAAGTCTTAAACTCTTAAACAAAGATGGTTCTTCAAGGGTTCTTTAGTAAAGAGTGTGGTTCTCTATGGAACCATAAGTTCAACATTCATAAAAAAATGGTTCTTCAAAAGTTCTTTAGTAAAAAGTGTGGTTCTCTATGGAACCATAAGTTCAACATTCAGAAAAAATGGTTCTTCAAGGGTTCTTTAGTAAAGAATATGGTTCTGTATGGAACCATAAGTTCAACATTCTTATAAAAATGGTTCTTCAAAGGTTTTATAGTAAAGAGTATGGTTCTCTATGGAACCATAAGTTCAACATTTTTATAAAAAATGGTTCTTCAAAGGTTTTATAGTAAAGAGGATGGTTCTCTATGGAACCATAAGTTCAACATTCATAAAAAATGGTTCTTCAAAGGTTCTTTAGTAAAGAGTGTGGTTCTGTATGGAACCATAAGTTCAACATTCATAAAAAATGGTTCTTCAAGGGTTCTTTAGTAAAGAATATGGTTCTCTATGGAACCATAAGTTCAACATTCATAAAAAAATGGTTCTTCAAAGGTTCTTTAGTAAAGAGTGTGGTTCTGTATGGAACCATAGGTTCAACATTCATAAAAATGGTTCTTCAAAGGTTCTTTAGTAAAGAGTGTGGTTCTGTATGGAACCATAGGTTCAACATTCATAAAAATGGTTCTTCAAAGGTTCTTTAGTAAAAAGTATGGTTCTGTATGGAACCATAAGTTCAACATTCTTAAAAAAAGATGGTTCTTCAAGGGTTCTATTGTAAAGAATATGGTTCTGTATAGAACCATGAACACTGAAAGAACAATTTGCATGCTTGAATGGTTCTTTGCATGGTGAGATGGTTCTTTAGACTGATGGAGAAAGTGTTGACAATGGTTCTATATAGCATCAAAACGCGTTCTTGTAACAATAGAAAAACCTATATAGAACAATTTTCAAAAAGGTTCTATATATAAAATTATTCTTCTGTTCTTACAAGAACCCTCGCTGTTGCTATATTTGTTTCCCCTTTTGGTGCATGGTGAAATGGCACACAGAACCATTGTCTTTACTAAAGAACCCTTAAAGAACCATCTTTTCTGAGAGTGTAGGGGGCAATTTGACAATAAAACCCCTTTCAGCTTTAAATCAGTTTCACAAACCGAATCATAGTGTTTAGTGTGAACAGGATCGTAGGGCATTTTTAATGATTAAAGAATAGAAGCATGAATGCAACATAATTTTGCATTTAGCTGGCATCCATTCACAAAACACCACACAATTTCTGTTTATAACATCTGGAAATACTGCAATATTAACTGTTTTGCTGATAATGAATGAAATAAATAAATAATTCATAATTAAGTGCTTTTTTCGCTGCATGTGATCCTTTATTTCCTATTCCTAATTCCTTAAAGTGCCCATATCCTACATTTTTCACATCTTATTCCTCCCCATGAGGTCCAGTCATATTTGTTATGGTGTTATAAACCACATTTGTGTGGTTTAATATAACAAACACTGCCATAATTCATTTTTATTTGACCGTTTTCCAGCCTCTCTTTATCCCTTATAAATAAACATGACTTCTTTTTTTTCTTATGGTGCCTTTAAGAATGACATATGTAAATGAGCTATGTTCTGATTGGCTCCCATCATCTCCAAAGCACTCCTTACAACTTCGGCGTGAGTGGGCGGGGCTAAACTGCAGCAAGTGCGCCAGTTTTTCTTGACAAAACAAAAAAGACAATTAAAAAACAAGCCGTTTACTTTCCATATATGCTCCGAAACGTTGACAGTTCTTATACATTCATCATATACTGCAACATTTAAAAGAAAAAAGTGAGGAAAACTTTAAAAATATCACGTTTTCCACGCTTTGGGGCCTTCCAATCCACGTCCGGGCTTTACAACGAACCGCAAACACAAGTCCACTCCAGCGCCGGCGAGTCCGAACCAGGTTTTACCGTTACACAGCCCAGTCCCTATTTTCTACAGACGACTAAAACGCTTTTTAAAGCCTATATGTGTGCGCTTTTTGTTTTCTATCGGCACTGCACTCATCTCGATAATAATTTCTTCCATCGACGACTCGGCTCGGACCTCACTTCGGGAAGAAAAGCCGTTTTTCCGAGGCTCGGACGGAGCAGGTTATTGTGAGGTAAATAAACTCGGGCTAGGCTAAGCTAACGCGAACCGTGCGGGTTTCTATCCGTCTGCCTGGTAAGTTGACTCGAATATCCCTCACGTTTTCCCCTCTGCTATCTTTCAGCTACACTGAGACCTTTTTTAGTTCATATTTATCTCAGATATGGTCTGTTTTCTGTACATTCTGTGCGGCTAACGTAACTGGGTTTAACGGTAGCTAAGCTAACGCTAGCTAGGATAAAGGCACGAATCGCTTCTTTCCCCCAAAATCTCAACGGTTTGTTCCCGCGTTTATTTTTATTTCTTATTCATCTGTTCGCCTCTCATTAAAACGGCGTTTATATTTGCTGTGGCTTTTCAGTTTAGTCAGCAGCAGGCCGTTAGCGCTGAAGCTAAGCAGACAGACTGACAGCTCACGACTTCTTCGAATTTTCCCGTTCCACCTTAAATGGTGCAGCAGTTACGTTCTGGCGCCTCGGGCGCCAGAACGTAACTGCTGCACCATTTAAGGTGGAACGGGTAAATTCGAAGATGAAGCTGGCGAATTGGAAGCTCAAGCAGCCACATTTAACACTCCAGCCTACCTGCTTCGTTTAAACAGCTCTGATGTGTGAATTTACGTCGTTTGTAACAAATCCACGCTGATATAAGAGTTAAAACGTCTTTATTTAGTCGTTTATAAAGCCAAAAGTCTGTGTAGCGGCGTTAGCAGTGCTGGCTAGCCGAGCCTGTCCATGCTTATTTTGGCTTTAGTGCAGTTACACGTTTCGTTTTGTTCACCCTGAGTACAGCATTTCGTGTTGTTTTTAATCTGGCAGTGCTGGTTTATTAAATTTGTTTATTATAGCCGTATTTTTCCTTGCAGCCAGTCTGCGAGCTGGGGAAAAAGGGAGGGGTGGCCTGCAGAGAGAGGGAGAGAGAAAGAGAGAGAGAGGGAGGAAAAATGTGCAGGAAAAAAAAATGTTTCGATGAATGGTGCCCAGCCCTCTCCAGTTAAAATGCAGGATTGCAACATTGCATGTAAAAATGCACTGCATTTCTTTATTTCTTGTTTTGTTTTTTGGCCTGATTTTCACTCTTACTAACTTTACGGTTTGTTTTTTCCACTCCCCCTGGAATGAGGTGGTGTCCAGAGCCGCCTGACCCAGATATTTGTTGCTGTTGAGCTGGAATAACTAAAACTATTTCACTTTTTTCAGTTTCTGAGTTTGTGCACGGGAAAATCAGCCTGTCAGTGAGGCTGTTTCCTTCTCCGACAGCATCGTGGACATTACTGTCAAGTCATCAAGGCTGAAAGTCACAGTTTATCTGGTCCAGATGGGTTTGATTTTCAGTCGTGCTCACATTTAGGGAAGCTAAACAATGTAATATTTGTGTAAAAGCTGAAAAAAGTCTCATTACTGAGTGAGGAGACTATAAACAGGGTCTATGAGTCGCGCTGTAGAGCCTGAAATCATCATTTAAAAGTCAGAGGCGTCGAGTTTTTCACACCACGTCGTACGTCTTTATGTATTAACGTCACACACAGACTCAAAAAGAAGGTCCGACTCAATGTTTAGACCTCAAATGGTCTCAAAATCGACATCATACTGATGATGGTAGTAGATAATTCGCTCACGTCCTCGGAAGATGCAACCAAGTTTTGACCGAGTTTTCTTCGAATTCTCTTTAAACGCACTCGCAAAAGTCAGATTCATCCGACTGTGGGGGTCCGAAGCACAACCGAAAGCACAAAATCCAAATCCGCAAATCCTACATAGTGTTGCTTTAATCTAACATATCGCTGTTGTCGGAACGAAACCTCGTATCTCCAAAATGGTGCCTTTACAGGAGAAGGAAAAAACATACTTTACTTTTAATGTAAGTCAATGGAACCAGACTTTTTCCCAAGTAGTTTTGGGTCGTTTCTTTTGGTTTGTTCATCATGAAATTTACACACAATGCAAAGAACAACAGGTGCTTTGAAATGATGTCAAAAACTGAAAAACGCCAAGAATGGAGATACGAGGTTTTGTTCCGACAGCAGCTGTATACGTGTTTGTGTTTTGAGATTTTTGCACAGTCACTGTCGGTTAGATGTTTAAGTGGACGTTAGAATCAGCCGGAATCGGAAACACCAGATTTTTCTAAAAACATGAAATTGGCTGGTTTGTTTTTGTGCTGCATTTTTGCGATATATGTGAGAGGTGGGCGATATCGGACAGTGTCATCACAATACTTCAAAGAGTGTTTTTACAATACACAGTATATGATTTTTGTTTTTTTTTGCTGTCTGATAAGTTTGAACAGACAAAGTTAGCCCATGTTTTAAAACATCTCTGAAAAAATATGAATTCAGGTAGTTGTTTTCAACATTCAGATCCATTTAAACTGATTAATTCTGCCCTTTCTTAATCAAACATGCGGTTGGTAAGTGTTTTCGGTTCTTCCGTCTGAATTTACAGGCCCGAATCCTAAGGCAAGTTATTCAGTAACTGCATGAATCAGTTGTAAAAAGTCAAATTAACAGAAAACGTGTCTTATGATCATAAACATAATGTCATATGCTTTTAATTTACTGCTGAAAGCCAAAAATCTTAGACGCTCTTTGTATTTTTTATAAAAGTGATTTTTACAGAGCAGATCACTGAAGAGACGCCATCTGAGATCCAGTTTGTAGCTCAGATTTGTGGAAAAATTGGTCGATTTTCAGTCAGAAAAAAAGTTGTGAGTTCAGCTTCTTTTGTTATAAGGGTTTAAAATTACATCACCCATGTATTTGACTGGAAAGAAGACAGTTACAGCTCTCATACGACCCCCACCTTTTGAATGCAGCTTATGAAATATGAAAGTTATACAGTAAAGAATATGACGAAGTGCGTTTTGGGACCACCGGTGGTTCCACGGTGTTAAAGAGTTAAAGTGCTGACGATTTCCACGATATTCTCAGAAAGGCGTATTGTGACGTACTGTAATGTAATTTATCACGATAATGATAAAGATCCTATTGACCAGCTCTAATGTCAGTAACATGAGGCAGGTGAACGTGTTTGTGCTGTATTTGGCCGCTGCTGCTGCGCCGTGACCAACGTTTTGTAGCGTAATTATACACGACTCGTACTGAACAGTCAGTAACACCCTGTATTCACCCTTTTAGGGACTTTTTGCCTCTGGGCACCCAAAGCGCTGCTCGCTCACCATCTGTGGGCGTTTCTGAGTTCTTGCTGCCCGCTGGTTGACATGGTTTCAGTGATGCCAAGCGAATGCCACGGCAGTAGGCCGTACTTTAGATACCTTCCCGCCCAGTTCTCTCCACAAATCACTCCCACTATACATAATAATCCTGGAGAGAGGTCGGGTTTCTGTAAACGCAGTCCTGCATAATTGGGCAAGATGAACCACGTACCGCCCGGCTCAGTTCCCATTGGTTATCGGCACCTCGCTTCAGACCTAATTTGCATAAAGTTCAAACTTTGCTAGCTTTGCTGTGTCGCTGATTTTGTCCACTTTGTTTCATCAACATTTGTGTCGCCTGAATCGCTGCTCTCGTTGAAAACGAACGACTTCCGGACGCTTTGCTGCATCATGTCGCCGCCGGTGTAAACGAAGGGTTACTGTTTGATGTTGCTTTTTGTTTGATTCATCTTATTTAACTAAGCAAATTATTCACAATTTTTCAGCACTTTTTTAAGATTTAAAATGTCAGTTTGGCTGAATAAAAATGTTTATATTGCGGCTAATAAAACGTTACTCACAGTGAGTTTCGGATTTGGAAAAAAATAATAAAAATCGAAGGGTCACTTTTTGGATTACCATTATGGGAAAATTGAACATTTATTTGAAAAAGGTTACAAGTACAGAAAATAATAGATTCAATTTATCTAAATATGTTGAAAATAAAAATAATAAGCGCAGCAACAACTGTCTGCACAGATTACAATAAATGCGGCAAATTCTCTGCCAAATCTGAGCACTTTTGAATAGTTCACAATAGTAATCTGCTGATACTGATATGCTTCCCATATCATATGTACCTGTTGTTTTATATATGCAGTGCAAGCTGCTTGTTGTACTTTTCTAAGGGAAACGAGTCAGAATTATTGTAAAAATTGAAAGTAGGTCGAAAAATTCCTCACTTTCTTTGGAAGAGTCTGTTTGTTAGTTTTAAAACGTTTCGCACTTTAAAAATGTGCTGTCTGTACAAAACGTCAGGTCCAGGTATGGAAACTGGAGCCCTGTTCAGACGGGATTAGCTTTACATGAGGAGGTAGTTAATGTAATTATCACCTGTATTTCTCAGAGATTGTAGTCCCGTCCGAAAGCGCCATGTCATGTCATGCCTCAGTAAAGATTCCAGCGCCTTCACCTTCTATGAAATGAGCCATAAAAATAATCTCAGGTTGTGTTAGTCCTGTGTGAATCCACATGTCTGTAAAAACACTATTATATCTTGTGGAAACAGAGTTTCTTAAGCATGGAGACTTGTTTACTGAAGTCAGCGAAGCTCAAGTCAGCTTCCTTTTCGATTTTTCCCGTTCCGCCTTAAATATGCACCAGTTGTTATTATTGTAACTCTGAGGGCCCAGAGTGAAACTGCTGCACCATTTAAGGTGGAACGGGAAAATTCGAACAGGAAGCTGGCGAATAGGAAGCCGCCTTCAGCCTCGTCGTTCTCTGTGACTAAAATCAGGCCGATATATAACAATGCTGTCCTGTCTTACGTGTAAAAATTCAGAATAAAAAGTTTCATTTAATGCCCTGAAGTTGACTCTCTGCTGTGAGTTCCCACGCTAACAGTGCTAATGAAGCACTGCGTTCACTTAAAACGCCGAGGTGAGCGGTTAGGGTAAACGAAATAACGGCTGAATTAAACGTTTTAACGTCTTTTCTACTCTTTGCTGAAGTGAAGGCGGGTAAATCGAGTAGCCGCTCCCGTCTCGGTCATTTAGGCTTTGTAAACACAGCAGGTAAAAGTTGTGTGTCTGTGTGAACAGATAAACACACTGAATCTGACTTTTTCAATTCCGATTTGAGACGCTTTTGTATTTGGTACTGAAATCCGATACGTATCCGATATGCGACAAAAAGCCAGATCGGAGTTCATGCGACTTTTACGTCAATCCAACTTGACATTCGTCATAATTTCTCACTGCTGAGACCTAAAAAACATCTGGGCTGATGTTTCTGTTCTAAAATTAGAGACTCACCCAAATCCTCAGTGTTTGAAGAGATTTCTAAAGAAATGTCCGATCGTGGCCGCAGGAGAACGAGGCTGCAGCGTCAAAGAACGGCTAAAAGTCTGAAAGCAGAGTTTAAAGAATCCGAGGACACGAACCAAAGAAGTGGCCGCGCCCTTTTTATGGCTCCCACACATTCTGGGTGATGAGCCCAGCTGTCAGTCAGTGTCTGTGTTTACATGCACAGATTTTCTCCAGTCTGATTGAACACATTCATTATAGATTCAGACTGAGGTGTTTATTCTCACTCTACTCAACAATCTGATGAAGATCTCTGTTTACATGCTCACTACAAGGGATCAGATCCAAACATACACTCATACCTAGAGAACCACTTAGTGTAGACGTTACCATGACAACCAGCATCACGTGAGTCCAGTCAGAGTGAGATGAGCAGCAGTGAGCAGTGCTTGTGTTTTTAATCACTTTAAAATGGTGTCAGACTCAGGAAAACGCCCCTCACATGTCCTTATTAAAGAAGGCCGAGAGGAAGACGTCGTGTTCTGAGACACATAAGCTGGACGTCCGTCCCACCGCCGTCTTTTAAAGATCAGAGCAGAAACTTCGTCTCCTCTGCAGACCAGTTTCTGCTCCGCCATGTTGAACGGTATAAACTCTCACTATGACGCGACGAACATGATCAGAACGGACTTAAACTTTCCGATAGGGAATGTAATCAGATACAGACGTTTACACGGATATTATTCTTCTATTTAACAGATTATTTACAGGATTACCCACCTCGATCAATCGGATAGAGGCTGTATTCCGAAAGGCCTCAATCGGACTAGACTATTCTGATCTATTGGATTATCAGGCTGCATGTGAACGTGGCTGCTGAAGCTTCACGATTGTATCTGTGATGCTGGCGAAGATGAAGCTGGACCCTCTGGGACAGATCCGCCTACAGCAGTTTAGCCCCGCCCACTCACACTAAAGTTAGTGTTTTAGCACTGACTGTTTTGTCAATGCAGCAGAACCAATCAGAACAAAGCTCATTTACATATTGGTCTTAAAGGCACAGTAACAGGAATAGCCTGTTCGGTTCTAAGGTGTAAACAGGTTGGAAAACGGTCACGTAAACAGTTGTGACTGTGTTTTTATGGATGAATCTACACAGATTTCATAATTGGACCTTTGGAAAGTCAAATAGAAGAATAGATTCAGGATGTGTGTCTGTGTGAACTGGGTGATGGTCTGAATCATCATGCTGACTAAGTTAATGAGGAAGCTCAGGTTACAGTGTGATCTGTCATTAGTCTGTGGGGCTGAATGGTTTGCTGGACGAGGCTAATCTGTAATTAGGAGTTGCTGTAGTCGGCAGTGAGGTGCTCTGTTTCATTTGCACCATGAAGCTGATTATCGTTAAGTGTTACCGTAATCTGACCTGGTTAAGAAGATGATGATGCTGATGATGGCGATGATGGTATTTTTCTGGTTTTTCGTTTGGTCACTGACCCTCAAACTGCTGAATCATCTTCAGTCTATAGTCCAGCGTTATGAGTTCTGGACCTCGACTTCATTAATATTCTTCACTCTGGTTCTTCGAGCGTTCTTTGCTAAAGAAAATGGTTCTGTATAGAACCATAAACACTCAAAGAACGCTTTGCATGATTAAAGGGTTGTTTGCATGGTGAAGTGGTTCTTCGAATTGATGGAGAATGTGCATGTGGTTCTGTATAGTACCAAAATGGTTCTGATATCGTTACAACCTGGACATGGTCTCAATAGGCTCTATGTAGAATTATGTAAAACACATTTTTCATCAATCTGAAGAAATCTTTCACCATGCAAAGAACCTTTCACTCATGCAAAGGGCTCTTTAGGTGTTTATGGTTCTATATAGAACCATTTTCTTTACTAAAGAACCCATGAAGAACCAACTTTTTTAAGTGAGTACTTATTTTTGTCTTTGAGTGACCAGCTCTCTGCTAGCGTACGTTGTTTCGGGTCCCGTCTGTGCACTCGAGGCAGTATAACGGCTTGTTTTCTATTTGAAATATCTGCTCCCACAAAAGGCTGCGGTTTCATCTGGATCTCATGACTCTTGGCACCACCAAGTCATATCTACAGCACATCTTTGGTGCAGCACTGTAGTCCCAGGGCCACTTCGATACTCTATTTGTTCCATATAATGTACAGTATTATTGTATATTTAATAACATCACAGCTGTGATTTGGTCGCCGTAGATCATCACTGCCGTGATGTTATTGGCAGTGATCTGTTGCTTTTATACAACAGTTAAATAAATAAAATAATGTGGCATTTATATGTTTTAATGTTCGCAGTTCCTTCCGCCAAATTATAGTTCCTTAACAAGCAGCTTGTTGCTCCGTCAGAGTAACGAGCTCCGCCCACTCGCTGCACAGCCGGCAGTTCGTTCTCCAGCTCCTTATACTAAATTCCCAAACTGTCATCACCACTGAGCAGCTTTTCAGTCAGCAGCTGTGACAGAAGAACAGCTAAACAACCTGGAATCAGCCAGAAATGAACCCAATACCATTCGCCAAACGTGTAGTCTGATCTTCAGAGTCTGACCAAATCAGACTGAGCCATAAAACTGCCGCAATATCAAGTTTAGCTCAGTTTTGTCAGTTTTTGCCAGATCAGTATTAATGTTGTTCTGTTCCAGCCAGTCTGTAAAGCATCTTACAGCCCGTTTAGTTTGGCGAATGGTGTTGGGTTCATTTCTGGCTGATTCCAGGTTGTTCAGCTGTTCTTCTGTCACAGCTGCCGACTGAAAAGCTGCTCAGTGGTGATGACGGTTTGGGAATTTAGTGTCGTCTCATCTTCAGAGTCTGACCAAATCGGCTGTCGGTCAAATGTGATCTTAAAAGTGTCCATTTTCTGTTTGCGGCAAAGTAAGAAGTAAAAACGTTCAAATGTCTTGAGCGTCTCCTACAGCCGTCAAAGACGTTTAGCAACGGCGTCTCAGCGGAGTGAAAAAACCATGATGTTATTTCGCCGTTAGAACGCTCCTCAACCAATCAGCTTGCGTGGCCGGAACTAACTGCTGTATAACGTACAACACAGAAAGGTTATGAGCGCAGCCTTAACTGCAACCATGAAGTCGATCTTGAAAGGTTGGGTTGAACCTAACCTGTCTTTATCTCAGTTACGGTGCGGATATTTCCTGGACGTTCTTATTCTGGACCCGGCGACGGCCAGATTCTGTAACGCCAAGGCAGCAACGATTCGTTGTTGGGCTGATGCCATTGACTATGATAAGACTCTAATCATTGTTGTGCTTGTATTGAATATTTTTTATATTGTCTGTTTATTATCTATTTATGTATATAAGTACATGCAGTATATATAAACATATACTATATAGATATATAGTATATATTCTTTTTTGGGCCCCCCTCCAGTCCTTTTCCTTGTTGGTATTGCTATGCAGAGAATGTTAACTATAAAGATCAATAGAAAGTTATTAATGAAAAATGCTTAAAGGGCAAAATGTTCTTGCCAGTCTGCAGTGACAGCAGAGGGGGGTAAAGTTCAGCTCCTCACTGCTGGGCTTTAGTTACATTTAGGGCATCATATGCCTTCAAAGAGGGGGCAATTATTTATTATCACCCACCCCTAATCTTCAGTGATATAAAGCTGAAGTCAGATATTCACCAGATTCTTGTATGAATTTTCCCGTTCCACCTTAAATGGTGCATCAGTTTTGATGCCTGAGGTGCCAGAATGTAACTTGTTTTAAGCTTGTTGTGAAGAAAATGACCATAATGCACTAAAACAGCATTAAACTAAGGTCATACTATGGTTTATCGTAAATTTTAAGAGAAAATTCTCACATTTGTGGGTTTCTTCGGTCTCTTGTTCAGCCGTCTCGCCGGTTTTTCTTTTTTTCTCATATCTCTCTGTTTGGAGTCTCTGAAAAACCTCCGTTTGGAGGGTCATGTAGCCCCAACACTTCACCCTCCCCCTCTATCTCAACAAGAATCGGGACACCCTACCCCTAGACATGAGGGCGCATAACAGAGGGGTAGAGGCTGAGTGGTAGGGTGAGGTGTGAAATGGGATTGGGCCTTAGTCTCACCTCTCTCCGCCCACTTTACTCTGATAGGCTGCACCAGATGCCTAGTTTTAAACATTGATAGTGGTTTCCATAGAAGGCCGTAAATAAGAGATGCTCCGAAAAGAGCGAGATGTGTATCAGCCGTGCAGTTTTACCTGTCCATACTTTCATTTCCATCTGATCTTGGATACTGTATTGGACAGTATATAACATATATAATAGAATGTAATATTTTTCTTTTCTTCTCTTCAGCCCTTGGCCAGCCTTTCTCGTTGTGGATGTGTATTCCTCTCTGAGATGCAGTAGGGGAGAGCCATCGACTCCCCACTTGCTGGATAACACCTTAACTCTTCACCTTTGGCGCTGTGACGTTGACCTCGCTGCTCCTCCCTGCGCTGGTGGCCCTTCGCATCGGGCCAGAACCATGTGAAGCCCTTCTTATGCAGCTCTGAGTGGACTGTAGGACTGTTGCAGTAACGCCCCCCTCCAGACCTGTAGGGGGCTCCCTGTTTAACTCCTGCCTGAGCAGAGACTCCGCCCCAACCCCGATCTACACTAAAGGCCCTTTAACCCCGCCCCCTGAGAGCTTTCCGTTAGCGTCGAGGGCTAGCCATGATGTTCCGGGACCAGGTGGGGATTCTGACGGACTGGTTTAAGGGCTGGAACGAGTGCGAACAGACGGTGGCGCTGTTGTCGCTGCTGAAGAGGGTGTCGCGGACGCAGGCGCGCTTCCTGCACATCTGTCTGGAGCACTGGCTGGCGGACTGCACCGAGATACACTTACTGGAGGCCGAAGCCAACAATGCAGGTACGTCAGTGTGCAGAGAGGAACTGTCTAATTAATTGGTTGAACTCGATTTAGAAAAATAATAATAAATCTGGATGAATTAGCAGTGATTAGTCTGTGGTTTATGTCATTAATACGTTTGGGGAGGGGCGATGTGGCAAAAATAGGCATTATTTACCACCCACATGGCTTTTTATATGAATTTTTGATGGTTTTCATACATTGTATTTCAGTCATTTTAAAGGCTTCCTAGTTTCCCCTTTTCCAGTCAACTATTTTAGGTTCTTTGAAAGATTATATGTAGTTTTGTATTGTTATGTTGCTTGGCCTTTTTTCAAACTCTGATTATTCGATTAATTGTTCAGAAAATGTAGATAATTTGATTACTAATATAACATGCATTTTTTCTGGCATATTATTGCCAGAAGATCTTGGTAGCTGGATTGTAATTTCATAACTAATTTGTAGTCATTAAACCTTATTCAGTTTTATTTCTGTAGCACTTCTGTTGTCACTGAGTTGAAAAACATTTAAACTTTTATGTCAACACTGATGTCAATACAGTACCTTGATCTTTTTTTTTGATGTTCTACGAACAGCATATATTCCAGCAGTTCCAGTCACAGCGCAGTACCCAGCAGTCTGAAGTGTTAAGACTGTGAAGTGGGGGTATTTGTTGCACATATCGCTGTTGTCGGAACAAAACCTTGTATCTCCATTTTTGTCGTTTTTTCGGTTTCTGACATAATTTGAAAATGCCTGTTGCTCTTTATGTTGTTTGTGAATTTCATGATGAATGGACCAAGAGAAACGGCCCAAAATTACTTGGAAAACGTTCTGGTTCCATTGACTTACATTAAAAGCGAAGTAGGTTTTTTCCTTCTCCTCTGAAGTCGCCATGTTGTTCCGACAACAGCGAAATAAATGATCATGTACTTCGGCGCTGAAATTTGGTTTAAATAATGAAGATTGTTTGATATTTTATGGTATTGAAGTTATCAGATCAATACCATAGAATTAGGCCTGAAGAATGAATCGGTTTTGTCGCAGTTTGAAAGAGCTGCGAATTTATTATAGCTCATGTTATCGACAGCCTTGTTGAAGTTTTGTAGAAATGTAACCTAATAACAGAGCTTGTTAACTGCCTAATCTGAAGCAAGCAGACACCCTTGTGTTGTGCGAATGACGGCACTACTAACTGGCAGTCTGGCACACTGCGCGTTCAGCCTCAGCTCAGAAAAGGTGGACATGCTGGTCTTTTTAGCCCAAAAACCAGGTCTGGTTCTAAGTATTATGATAACGTATCACAGTGATAAGTTATGTCACAGTAAGCTTTTCCGAGTATATCGTGGGAATCGTCAGTACTTAAAGAACACAGACTAACTACATATTTCATTACAGAGTGAGCATAATTTGGTCTGCTTAATTGGATTTAGGGCAGTGCAGTAAATGAAACACTGAATGAAACATTAAATGAAAGTTATTGTAGATTTATTATAAATAATTTATTATTATTATTATTGTTGTTATTATTATTATCTTTATTATTATTAATATTATCATCATTATAGCTTCTTTTTATATGTGGCAGTAGGTTCTATTTCGACTGTTCCAGCTTATAAAATTCTCGGAAAAAAAATATTGTGATTTATTGTGGAATTTTTTTTTCTTTCTTTTTGGTCAGTACAAAATGATTTTCTGAACATGTTGTCTGGAAAAAAAAATGATATAGTTACATATCATGTATTATGAAAATCCTTGTCCATCTCTTTGGCCTTTAATACAGAATCTATTAATGAATCTCTCTCTCTCTCTCTCTCTCTCTCTCTCTCTCTCTCTCTCTCTCTCTCTCTCTCCCCTTCAACCCCGCCTCCTCCAGCCATCGTCAGTCAGTGGCAGCAGGAGCCAAAGGAGAAGGCCGTCTCTCTGCTGCTGTCTCACCTGCCGCTGCTGCAGCCGCGGAACAGCGAGGCGAAGTGCGAGTACATGAACCTGCTGCAGAAGGTGCTGAGCCACACCATCGAGAGCAGCCTGTTCGTGGAGGAAAGCCGCCAGCTGCTCTCGTACGCCCTCATCCACCCGGCCACCACGCTGGACGACCGCACCAACCTCGCCCTCTGGCTCAACCACCTGGAGGAGCACCTGTCGGCCCGCCCGCCGCCGCCTCCCGGACCGTACCACCACGCCCGGCAGGGCTCGGACGAGTGGCCCGGTCCCTACGGAGTCTCTGGAGGCGCACGGCTGGCACGATAAGCCCCCATCGACCTGCAGCTCGCCCTGCCGGTCAGAACGGGCACATGGCCTTCCCGGGCACGGGCGGGGTGCCCTCGCCAATCAATATCAGCAACAGCACGGGTCAGTAATACGGGGGACCGTGTGGGCATAGTTTGAGTGCGTTTACATGCACTTAACAATCCGATAACTGCAGAAAATCAGATTTTGTCAGTAATCCGATCAACACGTTTACATGTTCTTGAGTAATCAGATAATGGGGGAAACTCCAGGTCTACATGAGTCAGACAGTAATCGGATTTCTGCTTTGCAACCAGCCAATAAACTCACAGAAGAAGACGCGACGTAAACAGAATGTAAAACTCAAACATCGCACCACTTTACCTGAAAATATGAACATACATCATCTAGAAGATGAAGAATATTTACATACTTCATTTCGTCGAGAACGTCTTTGGTTTCTGCGTCACTCCAAAAGTGTTTTGCTGCGTCTTGCAGCGACGCTGCTCGCTTATTTCCGGTACCGCAGTCTGTTTTCTGCTCAGACTGAGAAATCCGAAAGAAATCAGAGTAAGAGTTTACAGCACTGAGAAATCTGATTACTGAGCTAAAATCCAGCCTCTTTATCTGATTTCTTTATCTGATTTCTAGATCGGAGTAAGGTGTTTACATTTGAATAATCGGATAACTGCAGAAATCTGATTTTGATCAGAATGAATGCGTTTAAACGCACTCAGTTTTGAGATGTGTAATTTTTTTCAAATTAAATTTTAGTTCTTTATTTAAAAAGACCGTCTGAAAGAGTCCATACGAACAAATAGAAGCAACGTTAGTAATATTAGTAACAGTGAGAATGGTGCTGGTCCCATCCCGTTGTCTCTTGTCTTCCTACTAATTTTGGTGTTTTGAGTATCCACACGAGGTAATAAATGGGTGTCCGGTTAACAAGTCTAGGTGATGGCTCTGAGGCCAAGGCTATTAAAATCAGTAGCACAAATTAATTTCACGGTTTTATTACCTTAGGAAGAATTATTTTATTCAAGTAAAGCAGAGAGACACTGGTAGTTTTTAGTTGCCTCTTCAGATGAGCTAAAACTACAGCTAACTGTATCCTGATCATCTTGTATGAGGCGTTGTCTCCTCAGTGGTCAGTGTCCCAACATCAGAGAAATATTTCCCTTGTTTCTGGACGCATCTAACATCGGCTAGAGTAGCATTTGCCTTCTCTGTCTCATCCTTAACAATGTGAGAATTTAACAGTTACTATTTCTGAACACTGGGTGGCGCTGCGTAGCTTTTACACACTAGACACTGAGGGAGAAGTCTAGCCATTCACTCACGACAACACTCACCAGCTAGATAGCCAGGTATTTTTGAATATAAGGGGAGATAAGGGGCGTTTGTACTGCATAAAAACATTATTTTGTGTTTAATTTTAATTTTATTTATTCGTTTTACCTAATTTTTAAAACATTTTTCAGCTTTACTGAGAAATCCTGGTTCCTCTATGTGAAGAAGCTGAGTTTTCTCTGACTGCTTCCTCAGGCCTCCCCAGTCAGGTGCAGCCGAGCCCTCTGAAGCGCTCCATGTCCCTCATTCCCGCCACTCAGCCGGGCTGCGGCTCCGATTGGCTGAGCCAGGATGAGGTGGGCGGACGGCAAGGCGTGGGCGGAGCCGAACACGCCCCTCTGTCGCCGCAGGGCAGCGTGGCGTCATCAGGCAGCGAACAGACGGAGGAGCAGACCAACACACGAAACACCTTCCAGGAGGACGGCAGCGGCATGAAAGGTCAGAGAGCATCTTGGGGCACTTTGACCTTTAAATATGATATTCATTTGCATTTACATTGTCGAGCACTGAAGCTCAGTGTGTGCATATAAAGATAATCAGAAACCAGAAGATGTTTTAAAGGGTAAACGTCAATGTTTTAATGGAAGATTGTGTGTTTTATGTGATGTGGGGTGATGAATGGTGCTTAATGTGATCAGGACCAGCATTAACAAGGTAAAAAGAGGGGCCAGTTTTCAGATTTCAGGCTGAGCTAGTTGGTCTTAAAGTGATGGTTCTGTGTCTGTATGTGTTCTGATAGACGTGCCGACGTGGCTGAAGAGCCTCCGCCTACACAAGTACGCCTCACTTTTCTCCCAGATGAGCTACGAGGAGATGATGGTCCTGACTGAGCAGCATCTCGAGTCACAGGTGAGCTCCGCCCACTGACTCACACATCAGCAAACGGAAACGCTCGGACGATCTTCTGCTGCGTTCGGCAGGGCTGTGCAAACGTGAAAACGATCACACTCGTGTTTTGGACCTTCTTGTGTGCACATGTGCTCAACCCGGGCGATATCTAAAAATAATTACCATGATATTTTCTAGTGAAAAATATACGTGGTCCATGGCATCTTTGACCTGCTTTCAATTCTTTTTTTTGAGTTTATATGCTTTTTTTAATATTAACTGTCTTCATCAAAATCTTCAGTAAACCTTAAACGTGTTAAATAATGATGCTGATTCATCCAACGTGCTTTGAGAACTGCTTCATTTGTTATTATAATAAACGTTTCTGCAAACATCATAACAACTTAAGAAGTAGTAGTAAACTAGTTGGTTACTCGTTTAAAAATGCATCACTCCAGCCATACGTCTGTTATTGTTAGTGTGGACTTCCTCGCACTCAAAGATGCAGAAAAAATGCTCATTGAGCGCTAAGAGCGCCCCCTTGTGGAGACTCTGAATTATTCAGGAGAAAATGAGTTTGTTCGTTTCCCAAAATGAGCGTTAAAATACAAACCCTGCTTCTGGTTGTTCCACTTGCTGAGATGTGCACTTTTTTGGAGAGTTTTATGTATTTTTTTTATTTAATTTGTATTACAACACTTGCAGCTTTGATAGCACCAGCGCTACATGCACAAAAATGTTGTGTACAGCCTGTTCAGACTGCTATAATAAATAATTTAGCACCTTTTTTTCTCAAAGAAGTTGTTAGTCTGAGCCCGAGTATTTATATATAGTGATGAGCTACATCAGTAGACTTTATATGTACAAAGCTTAGCAGCAGAATCTCATCTCATCTCATATAATATCGTTTTCCATTAAAACCTTTTTGCTGCGTTCTGTTCATCCTCAGTGTAGCTTTCCTGTCATTTGCAGACCATCTACACTAAAGATGGTTCTTTAGTTAAAACAGTGGTTCTGTATAGAACCATGAACACTCAGAGAACCCTTTGCTTGATTAAATGGTTCTTCTTTTCATGGTGAAGTGGTTCTTGCGATTAATGGAGAATGTACCGTATATAGAACCTTTTTGAAAAATGGTTCTGTACAGCACCAAAAAGCGTGTTGTAACGATGTCAGGTTTGGAAAAAATAGAAGAAACCCTTTCCTTAAAATAGAACCTTATACAGCACATTCTCTTTCAATCTGAAGAACCATTTCACCAGCAGAGAACCTTTTAAGCATGCAGATGGTTTTATGAGTGTTAAATAGAACCATTGTCTTTACTAAAGAACCCTTGAAGAACCATCTTTTTTTAAGAGTGAATAAAACAAGCTAAATAAAATAAATCTACAAATAAATAGTAATAATGATTCCCTCCTTTTTCCAATATAGAACCTTTTTGAAAAGCACCCAAAGGGGTTCTTCTGTTGTTACGGTGTCAAGCTTGTCATGATATAGGAACACTCTTTGGTGCTGTATGGAACCCTTTTCAAAAAGGTTCTGTATAGAACCATATAAAACACGCTCTCCATCAATCTGAAGAACCCTGTCATGATGCAAAGAACCCTTTAATTGTGCAGTGGGTTCTTTGTTCATGGTTCTGTATAGAACAGTTTTCTATACTGAAGAACCCTTAAAGAACCATCTTTTTTTTAAAGTGTGTGGTCTTGGCTTTCTGTCTTCACACTCTGCCTCAGTGTTAAATGAAATTGTGTTGTGTTCTTTCGTAGAACGTGACCAAAGGCGCCCGACACAAGATCGCGCTGAGCATTCAGAAGCTGCGGGAGCGGCAGAGCGTCCTGAAGTCCCTCGAGAAGGTGAAACAACCTCAACCACACCTACAAACCAATTAGGGCTGGATGATGTTTGATATTCATCATCGCGATACTGAGTTTTACAGTATTGATGTAGCAGAAGGCTCCGTTTTTACAGTCACTGTCCCAGAAATATTGTTGTTTTTGAGTGTTTTAATGGATTAAAGTGTTCATTTAAACCAAAAGTAAGTTATTTTATTAAGTCAAGGGGAAAAATCTTTAACCATGTCACATAATTGAGTCTAGTGCTGGGCGATATGACCTACGATAAATGAACAATTCTTTTTTTTATTTATTTTTTGTTTTTTTTGCCCTCATAGTTCACTGACGAGGTTTGTACTGTAAATATGTTCTGCATATCTTGACGTAAATCGTCTGAACAGCCGGATCGGAATTCATGTGACTTTTACGTCAGTCCAACTCGACATTCGTCATAAGTTCGCGCTGCTGAGACTCATAAACATTTAGGCTGATGTTTCTGTACTAAAATCATCAGAGACTCATCCAAAACCCTCCGTGTTTGAAGAGATTTCTAAAGAAATGTCCGAACGGCTGCAGCGTCAAAGGACAGTTAAAGGTCTAAAGCAAAGTTTAAAGAATCTGAGGACGCGAACCAAAGAAGTGACCGCGCCCTTTTTACAGCTCGAACACATTCTAGGTGATGAGCCCAGCTGTCAGTCAGTGAAGCTTCATGATGGCTCCTGTGATGCTGGTGAAGATGAAGCTGATCCTCCGGGAGCGACTGGCGTTCGTTGGCGGTCGTGATTGTTTACCTCTGGATGAGCCGTGAAGCAGCGTGACGCTCTGTTCTTTTGCTCATGTGGGTCAGTTTAGGAGCTGATCTGTTCAGACTGATGTCGCATACAGATCACATTTAAAAGATAATCTGAACAGCCAAACAAAAAAATCAGATTTGGTGAGAAAATCAGATTTGGGCCACTTTTACCTGCTGTGTGAACGTAGCCTTAGCTTCCATGTCGCAGAGTGGACGTGGCGGAGTCACATGATACACACGCAGTAGTAAGTTTTTAAGGGGACAGTACATGAACACACAGAGTGGAGAAAGGATTAACAGAATCAAAAAAATCTGCCGGTTAGAGGTTCTGAATGTCTGTTTCGATAACTTTTTGATTAATCGCCCAGCCCTAATTGATTTATTAGTGAGTTCGAACATATTACAAGACATATTGTATGTAGCAGTACGAGTGCTTTGTCTAAGTCCTGCAGTCTTTTTTGAAGAAATTTCTCCAAATGGTCACAGTTAACATGATTTAATTTCTCACAGGATATTTTAGAAGGCGGGAACGTTCGGAATGCTTTGCAGGAGCTGCAGCAGATCATCATTACGCCAATCAAAGCTTACACACCACCCACTGCTGCCCAGAGGGAGGCGGAGCCTGGAGCTACGCCCACCGATAAAGCAGCCAATCCCGTGGAAGAGAAGGACTCATCTGTGGAGGGATTCCAAACGCATAATCCTCCTCCGTGTGACGGGGAGTCGTCGACTACACCGATTTCAGAAGGAGATATTCCGGGACAGTTCACTCGAGTGATGGGGAAAGGTAGGGGGCAGTGACTGAGGGTGGGAGACAAACATCAACACGGCATAATATCGCTCTATTTTAGCTTTAAAATTAGTATCCACTCATGGAGACTCCGGTATTGATGTTTATTAACATTTAACGGTTATTCTGACAATATTTAGACTGATACATTAAGCCGGGTTACACTACACGACTTTTAGCCCCGAGTCTCAGTCTGGCCGAGTCTGTGCTGGTCTGCTTTAAGCCTTCTGTACACTACACTACTTTTAAAGTCTGAACAGATCTCGCACTATCTGACTGTGTTTTGCAGACTTTTTTGGGCGACTGAAATATTGGGGATCTCGCACTACTCAACTTTTCCGCTGTTGCTGAACCGAAAGGAACTCGCACAAACTCGTGCATTCTTCCATTACTAGGAGACGCAAATAAACAAACATGAGCTGCTGCTGCTGTTTTCTCTGCTGCTTGTGCTACACAGTAAAGAAGCAGCAGGTAAACATGTTTAAGTGAAGCTCACTGATTTAAAAATGTGTTTAGGTTGGTATTATTTAGAGTTTTAAATTTTTTATTTTCTCTCTCTCAGTTTTCATTGGCTGCTGCAGGAGTCTGTTCAGATTGAGTTGCTGACCAGGTTACACTAGATCACGCTCAGATAAACTCTGACTGGTCTGAAATGCGATCGGGAGGCAGTAAATCTGAGCCGATCAAACACGACTCGACTCTGCCTCCAACTGTCGACTCCGACTGACCCAAAGATCTGCAGACTAGTGCCGACCAGACTTAAATCGAGGCTAAAATCGGGGTAAAAGTCGTGTAGTGTAACCCCGGCTTTATCAAACGTTTGATTTTTCCGACCCGACTCTGAGAGTAATCTAGTGTAAACTGGTCAACGACTCAATCTGAACGGACTCTCGCAGCAGCCAATGAAAACTGAGAGCGTGAAAGAAGAAAATACAGCAAGAAAACAAAGAAAAATGGTGAAAAGTCTCTCATGTGTGGAGCGAAGCTTTTTAATGAGCTGAGTTTAAGACACAATCAAGTTTATGTACATTTAAAACTCTAAAAATACCAAACTGATCACACTTTTAAATCCATGATCCACTCAAACATGTTTACCTGCTGCTTCTTTACTGTTTCAACACAAACGGCAGAGAAAACAGCAGCAGCAGCTCATGTTGTAGTGAATCCAAGGCTCTACCAAACTGCATTTCAGCCTTAGTCCACAAGATGGGGCAGTTTCTCTTTGATGAGAAGGTTTCTATCACTGGCCTTGTTGTAAGGAGAGGATGGAAAGCATGTTCGACCTGCACATAGGAGAAGCCTTAGGCTTTGCCCACATGTATGGGGATATATTTATATTTTTAAAATGTTTTTCCTCTGTGTTTTGGCCTTCCGTCCACACGGAAACACTGTTTTTCATCCACTGAAAACTGAGGCTTTTGAAAACGCTCTCCAGGTTGGAGAGGTTTGAAAACTAAGATTTTGGGTTTTTGTGTATGGGAGGCAAATCCGACCAAAAAAGAGGCTAAAATTAAAATAATAAAATTTAAATGCAAACCTCTTTTTGCCATTTTTTTTCCCCATCCCATCATTTTTCCCAACATCTGTGCAAATATCCTGCCTAAATTGAAAATGAAATAAAATACCTACATTTGTAATGTCATTTTTCACATAAGCACAAGTAATTTGTGACAAAAATAAAAATAAATTTAAAACTGTGGTTTGTCGTTTCATTTTAGTCGCTATTCATGGCCAAATCTGAGGATGTTTGGAAAAAGAAATGGCAAAAAGAGGTTTGCCTTTATATTTTAATTTTAATTTCTTTTTTGGCTGATTTGCCTCCCATATTTGTGTGCAGCTCTTGAAAACTCAGTCTGAAGCGTGACTGACGACTGGGTTGTTTCTTTGTGCTCGGCAGTTTGATTTGAGTGTTTCTAACTGAACTGAGCTTTACTGTTTCATTCACTCGCAGTGCGGATCTGTTATGTGCTCAGTTCTTGTAAACACGCCGTCACCTCGACTGCAAATGTTGAAAATACCTCAGTGATTCTAAAGATAAGTGACTGAATGATCATTAACCGAACTCTGATTCGAAATAAACCCCAACTTAATAGCCTGAAGAACTCAGGCTTCTCTGTTTAATTGGGACTGTATGGACGTTTTAGAGTAGATGGAGTAGCTGTGGCACCGTAAACAACTTCACTGCACTCCCACGGTTTTCTCTCGCTTTTTAGGCTTTTATTTTCCAGCAAAAACTGTGAAATATCAAATTTAGGAGGTCTGACTGACGTCTTGCAGCTCAAAGTCTCCTGTGTTTGTAACACACTGTTGTCACTTTGTTTCTGCTTTAGCTTTGCAGCTCTGTGGTTTGTGTAAGTGCTCACCATCAGTGTGTCCCAATTCAGGGGCTGGATAGACCCACGAAGGCTGAACCGAAATGAGACGGTCGGCTCTACGGCGGATTTCCTGTTTGCGTCACAGCACCGCTGTTCCCGCCCTCACCGCTGCATCACGAAACGCCACACCTGTCAAGTTCTTTGTAAAGTTCTTTACAGACGGAGCCACAAACTTTGATTTTGGTTGTTTATTTTTTCATTTTTTTAGAGCTGGAGATGCTTCACCGCCGGCTGCTGATGAGATTTATTTGTATCGTTCACCTTAAACCCAATACTTATATATATTTAACTTACATTTAAAGTGTCTCCTCAGCCGCCGTTCGCTCCTCTGCTGACGCCGCCATGTTCTCGAATCTTCGCCGGCACGCAGTGAACCTCGGGATGTGTTGGCTGGTGAAGGATCCACCCGTCGAACCCTTCGTTGCCATAGAAGTCTAGACAGTCTAGTCGCGCCGCTGTGACGCAGTCGGCCTTCAAATGCAGCCCCTGAAGGACGCAGCCCCTGAATTCAGTGGGACACACTGAATGTTCTTGAGGTGTATGACATCACATTTTATGGGGTGTTATCGCCTCCTGCTGGGCTGGAATGGTGTTGCGAGCTTTTTCGAGTCGTTTTTGCTTTTTCCTGTGGATGGAGAGATTTTCAAAAACGCTGCTGATGTGGATGAAGGAAAAAGCAGTTTTATTATTTTTATTTATTTATTTTTTTATCTGGGTCTCCCTATTTAACTTGCAGTAATATTTTACCTCATAGAGTTTGTGATTAGTTAGTAATGAATTATACATTTAATTCTAATCTAATCACAAAGTTTTGATAAGATTAGGATATTAAATTTCAAATATGTTGTTTTTGTTCTAAATTGCAATGAAATAGTTGTCTATGCCTTGCCTGCTATAAAGAAGAGGCAGCCTGGATGCATAATGATGTGTTTTTGTCAAAGCATTTTAGATAAAATGCTTATGCTGTTCAGTTCCTCTGCAATTAGCAACAAACTGAACAGTTGCTGCTTGTGTGACATGCAAAATTAGCAGCACATGATCATCAGTAATGAACGTTGAACATCAACATGTCCATTTAGAAAGTATGTTGTGATGGTTTTGGACCGTATTGCTCACTACATGACGTCGGCTGTGTGTTTCAGTGTGTACTCAGCTGCTGGTGTCCAGGCCGGACGAGGAGAACATCAGCTGCTACCTGCAGCTCATAGAGAAGTGTCTAACACATGAGGTGAGTCTTCTGTGGGTGAATCAAATGAATGTTGAATTTAGAGGGGAACTCCACCGATTTTTAAAAATTCCTCCATAACTCAGTGTGTGAGATGTAAACAGAGTGATTCAGAGTGGTTTGGAGTGAAATGGTTCAGATGTCTTTACAGTGGTGGTGATGTGAACCAGGGGTCGCCATGACTACAACACAAATATAGACATTTTATTTACTATCCAGAACCACCAGTGAATCTACACGAGTCTTCTGAGTTTATATGGAGTGTTGATGATGGAAAATAGTGGAAAATCTGAAATAATACGTTTTCTTTGGGGACTATTTTGCCTCACAGCGCCCTGCATGTTATGTATCCCTCCACCATGAATGGAGTTTAAGGCCAAAATCTTCTCTGAACTATCATAAACAGTGTCTCAGTCATCAGGCAGTGAATTCATCACCATTTTCCTGTAGTAACTTTCTGTGAGGGAGCTTTTAGAGGTGGACGTCTGGTTCCTATCACCACCACCGTGAACAATCCTGAGCGTTTCACACCAAACCAAACAATTAGAAACACTTGTAGATTCACTCTATATGGAACAGTGAATTCATTATACATAATAATATATAGTTTTTTGTTTGTTTGTTTTTTAAATTAATTTTCTAGTGATGACATTTGAGAACCCCTTTCTTTCAGTGAATTGATTGTACTGATATTCAGTTTACTGTAGTTTTTTATAATGTCATGTTTAATTACTTCATTCGCTGTAAAAATCATATAAACCTGTAAGGTGGTTTATGATCGGTCACTGTGATTTGGGACGCGTCCTCTGTGTCATTGCAGGCGTTCACAGAGACGCAGAAGAAGCGGCTGGCGTCATGGAAACAGCAGATGCTGAAGTTGCTCCGCCTCTTCCCACGGAAAGCCATGCTGGACATGCCCATGTACCGCCAGAAAGGGTCCGTCTCAGTCGATCTTGTCTTTCTTTTTACGTTCGTTTTACATTTAGAGTCTCAAGTTGTCTTAGTTCCTTTTGTGTTTTTCTCCTTTTTTAATTCTTGTTCATTATTCTTTGTCTCTTCCGTTTTTCTTTCTTTTCTAAATTCTTTATCTGCTCCATTCTTTTGTATTTTTCTCGTTTTAATTCTCATTTTTGTCTTTCGCCTGTTTTTCATTCTTCCTTTCTTTTTTTTCCCTTTTTGTCCATTTTTCTCTTTCTCTTGCTTTTCTTTTTCATTCTTAATTTTGTTCCTTTTTTGTTTTTCTTATTCTCTCTAATCTTTCTCATATAAACAAGTAATTTTATAATATTAACTGCTTTTAAACTGATCATTTTCTCCTCCTCGCTGCAGATGGGCGTACGGCTCGAACTCTCTGCCCACAGCGGGCTCTGTGAGCGGAGGTCTGGGCCGACGGGGACAGAGGCAATTCACCATCCCCCCGCGCGGCGCGCTGCCCCCCACCCGCATCGGCCTCATGACCCCCGGGGGCATCACCGGAGCTTCGCCGCGGCACACGCTCACCAACCCCGCCGCGCTCACAGGGCAGGGCCGACAGGTCAGATACACAACGCACTCCTTTACACAAGTGTAGGATGGAGTTTGTGAGGTTTTTGCAGAGTAACGCCAGACTTGACTGTATAATTGTGTAAATTCTGAGCAGTTTGTTAAAGTCTGTGTTTATCTTGTGTTTCAGAACCTGTGGTTCGGTAACCCTGGAGGCAGTAACAGCATGCCCAGCCAGAGCCGCAGCTCCGTACAGAGAACACATTCTCTACCTGTACACACGTCCCCGCAGACCATGCTTCTGTTCCAGCAGCCAGGTACAGTCACACCGCCGCTCGGTCAGAGCGCTCGTCCCTCCATCCACAGCTCAGATCAGTGTTTACAGTAAAATATAAGGCCATTGTCATTAGGAGACACATCAATTTTCATAGCTACGCCGACGACACACAGTTACACATTTCCATTCCTTCTGAAAATCAACCTGCTGACCAGCTGTGTGTCAGATATTTCTCAAGGACGTCACAAAACGTTCTACAATTGAAATGCTCATTACTGGTGCTTTAACTCAGATAAAGCTGCTTTATAAGCAGCTTCGCTCTTTAGCTTCATATACCAAACCTGCAGTAGAAACCTGGGTGTCATCTTCGACTCTGAGCTCTGTTTTATATACATGTAAACACAGGCACTAAAGTAGCTGTTTATCATTTGAGAAACGTCTCTGATGTTCAGCCTTTTCTCTCTCAGAGCGACGCAGAGAAACTTGTTCACGCGTTTGTTAGAAGTTGATCACTGTAATGGTCTTCTTACTGGACTTTCTGAGAAAACGTCCATCCCTTACAACTCGTACAAAACGAATGCAGCAGCACAGATTCTAACAAAAACCAAACACAGAGCTCATATCACCCATGTTTAGAGACTGCACTGGCTGCCTGTATCGTTCAGGAAAGTTCTGCTACTAGTTTTTCAGGCTCTAAATGGCCTTAAACCTCCACTTCAAGCTCAGTCAAGCTCAGTTCACTCTTAAACATTTTAAAATGGATCTCATAGATTTAGCGTGTATTTTAAATTAATTGTTGCTATATATGTGTGTGTGTTTGTGTTTTTAATGTAGTGATTTTTAAGTCAGAATGAAGTTTCTAAAATAAATGTTGTAATAAAATTGATTTTCAGAAAGATCTTAAGTTTAATATCCAGAGTGGAGTTCTAAAAAAATAAATATCCAGAATTAGGTTTTAATAAAATTAATATCCAGAACATCTTGTATTTATGTGGTGATGAAATCTTGTTCTAAATGCATAATTACAACATTTATTATTTAGTAACTTTTATTTCCACCTGTAACATCTGATATACCTGTGTTGATCTGAGGAACCATAAGTCTAAAAGCACCTTTAGAGATGTAGTGTTATATTTAAATATGCATTAAATAAGTTATTGTATAAAATATAACAATACAGTGACTCCCAGAACACACACAGTCTCTCCACAGTCCTCTTTCTTTCCCTGACCGCTTTGCTTTGGCCTTTCTTTTCCAGAATGCCAGGTTCCAGGGACGGATCTGGAGATCAACCCCACGCTGGAGTCACTGTGCCTCAGTATGACGGAGCACGCCTTAGAGGGTACAGCCAGCTGCCGTCTCAGACCTTCTGACTGTATTACAGATGCATCGTAACTCGGATGTCTGATCTGTTTAGTCGCCATGACGACTTCAGTTAGGACTGAGTTTATGTAGCTGTTACAGAGCAACGACTGTAACTTCATAACTTCATAATCTTATTGATTAACTCCACGTAAAACAGTGTTTAATACAGAAGCCCTGAAGGGTTTTTGAGGACGCGGTTAGGGATTAAAATACTTAGCATTCGCATGCTAATTGTTAGCCAGTTAGGTTCCCAGTAATTTTTTTCCTCACCTGGTTCATTAAACAGCATTAAATAGCTGCCCCCACTGGTCAAAGCTGGTATAACATGCTGAGTGTTTGCCATTTATTTAATATATGATATTTAATAATGGCTGTAATTATACAAAGTGGTGCTAAAAAAATTTTTTTAGCTGTTTTTGGTTATACAGGCAGAAAAAGAGGAATACAGTGGAGCTTAGACTCAGCAACACGCTTAATTATTATTATTTTATTTTTTTTATAATTGTCTCATTCAGGACCTCCATAATTACAGCATTTAACTAGGCATAATTTTCTAAATGCTGCCCTAAATTTATAGAAACCCCAACAGTGTCCAAACTTCTGTCCTTCTGTTTCTACTGTTAGCCATTCTGTTGAAAACAGAACACTGTTTTAAGGCAGCTGTGACAGACAGAATAAGTTCAGTGGAGATAATCAGCCCTGCTAGTGTTTATGTAGTTAAACTGCGTTGATATGATTTTGTTTTTAGTGTAAAATAGTGCCTTACAATAAATACTGACTTCTGTATTATACATTTTTGAAATGTTTTATCTTTAACTCATCAGATTTTAACTTGGGACAAAAGACAGAGTTTCTGTAGTACAAATGCAGAGATTTAAAGGGGAATTCCACCAGTTTTTAAAAAATTCGGCATCATTAAGTGGTCAAGATGTAAACGGAGTCATTCAGAGTGGTTTGGTGTGTTACGCCCCGTTCTAGAGTCAGAACTGTTCACAGTGGTGGTGATAGGAACCAGACGTCCACCTCTAAAAGCTCCCTCACAGAACGTTACTACATGGTTATGAATTCACTGCCTGACAATTCTGAGATGATTCTGTTCATAGCGACGAGATACTAAAGGGGGTTTTGAGGCAGATTTTTCCACTATTTTCCATCTTCAATATCCCATATAGACTCAGAAGACTCGTGTAGGTTCACTGGTGGTTCTGGATAGTAAATAAAATGTCTATATTTGTGTTGTAGTCATGGCGACCCCTGGTTCCTACCACCACCACTGTAAAGACATCTGAGCCATTTTACACCAAACCACTCTGAATCTCTCTGATTACAGCTCACACACTGAGTTATGGAGAAATTTTGAAAAATATTGGTGGAGTTCCCCTTTAAGTCACAGATTACAGTTTTTAAGTTTGTTTTTACAGATGGACTTTTTAATGTGTGATTGTTTGTGCTGATTACAACATACTAATTCTCTCTCTCTCTCTCGCTCTCTCTCTACAGATGGAATGGACAGAACATCAACAATATGAAAATAAAAAGCAATGGAAAAAAAGGAATTTTGCAATCTCACACTTCACTTTGCAACTGAGTCATGCGTTCGGTGCCCACGGCCCCCAGAACATACATGTATGCTAAACAAACAAACTAAGGAAAAAAAAACAAACTAAGCAAAGCAACACGAGTCACTACAAAAGAAAAAGAAATGACAAAAAACTAACTGTGTATATGTTCTCTTGATATTTTTCTACTTTATTATACTTAACTAAGTTTATTATAAATGGAATACAGATGACTATTATATGAGGGGAGAAGGAGGCTTAGTGTGCTGATACTGCTTAGTGTCCTCCTGTAGAACTGCCTCCAACAGCCTGAGGGAGGCGCTCTCGCTCACACCCACACAGAGGCGGAGAGCCTCGTCCGGGTTCCCTTCCCTTCGCTCACTTCCCCTCGCTCCCTTCCTTTCGCTCACCAGGCTGGGGCCCCTGTTGTGTGTAATCGTACGATGCTGGTCGATCGTTAGCAGCTTTCGTTGATTGTTAGCCGCGTTAGCTTTGGATTAGCTCAACCAATTAGTCGTCTTTGCTAATAATTAAAGAAAAAAGCCCTTCAGTTAATCTTCAGTTACAGACGTAGCTCAGCCAAACATGCTAATCCGATAATAATGAATACGATTAGCGAACTTTTAGCATAAAGCCGTGCTAAGCAGTAGCTGCTAGCTGCTAACCATTGTTTCTAGCGTTAGCATGTGTGGATGAGCTGAAGACGTTGATGAATGGCTTTGCTCGTGCGACAGAACCGATGATGCCTAAAGGCTGGTTTATACTCGCAGGCGTGTGCAAAAGTTTTGGCGCCCCGGATGAATTCCATGCTTTTGTTGATTTTTGTAAGTAAAAATGATTCAAAATTACTGTTTGTTTGCTAAATTTAACACATTTGGCGGAAAACGAGACGTAAAACAAAGCCTGTGCAAAAGTTATGACACATTTCTATGCTTCATTCTTTCGTTTTTTCCCCCAATACGACAAACTTAGCGAATAAATAGAACTTGTGCACTAAAATTTAAAGTCATATTTAAGTGTGTTTTCTGTTGAGGATGTTTTTACTCATTTTTTCTCAGAAAATCAACAAAACATGTAACTTGCCAGGGGTGTGCAGATCTGCAGAGCTCTCTGTCACGCGATCACTGTCCTGTAGTGTCGGCAGGGGAAGAAGCCCAAACAGGACTCGGGCCGATCCAGAACTTGCGCGGAATCAAAATGGAGCAGTTTGAACGTTGGCTGGCAGAAGAGATGCGGTGTTAGAGATATTCACCAAAATATTACAGAACCAGTGACGTGAGCGTTCGTTTGTGGAGAGAGAGGAAAAACGTCAGGCGTTCCTCTTCGTTTTCACGCACAATCTGGCTCGAACGCTTAACGCAGTGCACTCTATCAACTGTGTCGACACTGGGGCTGGGCGATACAAGTACAGTATCACGATACTACTATACTGCTATTCACGATACACGATATTCGTTGTGCCATTCGTTTTTTGGAGGTTTGATAAGTTGGAGCACTTAAAGAACCAGTGGTGCCAAATACTATCAAAAACTATGAATACAGTGACTTTTTAGAACATTTTCTTTCACTGCACTGCGATAAATCCAGTTAAACAGGACTAGTTGTTCTCTCTTTGTAACCAAACATGCAGTTGTTCCGTGTTCTTTAAGCACCGACAGCGTCCACGATATGCTCTGAAAAGCCTGACGCATTGTGGCGCGATTTCACGGTAGTGATAAAATGTCATATTGCCCACCCCTACACTCTTAATGATGGTTCTTCAGGGGTTCTTTAGTAAAGAAAATGGTTCTATATAGAACCATGAACACTCAAAGAAAGCTTTGCATCATGAAAGGGTTCTTTGCATTGTGAAAGAGTTCTTCAGAGTAATGGAGAATGGGCTGTATATGGTTCTATACAGCCCCAAAAAGGGTTCTTCTGTTATGATGTCAAGCTTGTAATAATAGAACCCTTTTTGATGCTGCATAGAACCATTCTCAAAAAGGCTTTGTATAGAACCATCTGCAGCACATTCTCCATCAGTCTTAAGAACGCTTTGCGTGATTAAAGGGTTCTTTGCACCGTGAAATGGTTCTTTAAAATGATGGTGAATGTGTATGAGGTTCTATCTAGCACCAAAAAGCGTTCTTCAATTTTGACAATGTCAAGCTTGTAATAATAGAGGAACCCTTTTTGGTGCTACGTAGAACCATTTAAAAAAGATTCGGTACAGAACCAAGTTTGCAACGCAAAGAACCCTTTAATCATGCAAAGGGTTCTTCAGGGTGATGGAGAATGTGCTGCAGCTGGTTCTATATAGAAACTTTTTTGAAAAGGGTTCTGTATAGCCCCAAAAAGCTTTTCAAAAAAGGTTATATATAAAGCTGCAGCACGTTCTCCATCAATCTGAAGAACTTTTAACAATGAAAAGAACCCTTTAGTGATGCAAAGTGTTCTTTGAGTGTTCATGGTTCTACAGAGAGCTTTTTTCTTTACTAAAGAACCCTTGAAGAACCGTCATTTGTGTGTAATCGACACCTAAGAAACGCCTGAGGACGACGACCACACACGTTCGCAGATGCGGAGTATAAATCAGCCTTAAATCTGTCCAACCTTGTTTAAGGGGAAGTGAGCAAGGGGTGAAGGGAGCGGAGGAGCCGGTGGGCTCTCTGCCCTGTGTGGGTTTCAGAGGGGAGCGAATGATCGGTGCTGTTTCTAAGGGCTTGTAGCCTGACATTCACACACAAACACGACAGTTCCCGAAACGCCGGTTCACCTTCAGACACACTTCCTGCCCCTCCGTACTGACACGCTGCATGAGAAGCTTTTGGGCACTTTGTGAATTCCGTTGACCGATATTATTTTTTTTTTTGTTTTGTTTTTTGTTTTTTTTTGTTTTTTTATAATCTTTTCATTTTCGTTTCCATTTTTAAGGGCGACACAGACACTTCTAAAGCCGCGATTGCGTCGTCGCCGGCCGTTTGTTGATGAAGACTTTTGTTACAGGCATCTTAATTTAGAGTTGTTGTTCTGTGATGAAGAATCTCTGGGGAGGCGGGATTTGTTGGATCTGTTCAGGCCGCTGTTTTTGTAGACCTGCGGTTCAGTCTGACGACCTCCGACACGACGAGGCACAAACTCTGACATTCCTTTTTACGGGCATCCACAGAAAAGAACGAACGAACCGGGTGGACGTTTGGTCGCGACCCCTTTGACTACTCCCGCTGCCCTTCCATTATTTGGGTTTGTTTCGTCAGAGTGCAAATGTCTTAAGGCTGGACTGCAAGTATGTATGAAATGGTGCCCCTTATACCTTTATATTTATATATGAACATTATCGTTATTATTATTATTATTATTATTATTGCACATACTGTGTTATGTGTAGGTACACATTTCTTAGCACTTGCATTCCCAAATGTTCATCGAACGATCACTACAGCAGTTGTGCGTGCTGGGATTCACGTGAAACCCATGCTGATGTTTGGCTGACATGAATCTCTGTGTAAATATTCAGGTATAAGAGGAACTTTGGAAGATCTAAGAGTCTTTATTCAGCGTTTTATTCATTTACAGGGTCGTCTATGAAGCAGAGGCGCATTTCTAAAACACTTTAAGGAGCGCTCTAGCGTTTTTGATTTGTTTTTTGATTATTTTTTTTTTTATTTTATCTCTATCTGCCGAGTCTGCAGCGTTCAGTCGATTAACATGGACTCTAACTGGGGCTCCGTTTCTTTGTGCTTGTGTAAGACATGAAAACGTGTTTGCTTGAAACTCACTAATTATAGAAGTCCGTGGGCAGTTGCAGAATTCCGCCAATGAGGCTGGCTTTGCACGCTGAAACCTAAGTTTCATGTAGGTTTCAAGCAACTTTAGTTGCATGTAACCTACATGAAACTTAGTTGCACTCGAGTTGCGTAACGTAAAGCGACATGCAACTCATTTCAAACTCAGTCGCAACATCTGGAAGTGTGCCAACTTGTTGAAACAGTCAATCGAAACAGGTCATGAAACCGTTCATTTCACTGGATTAGTGAACAAGAAAACAGAAGAAAAGATGGTTTATTTTCTCCCCCTGACTGAGAGAATATGACATGCTAATTTGGCTGACTAGTGGGGTAATCAAATGTGTTGCATGCTCCTTTTTGTTTTTGTATTGCTTTTGTGTAACTGTCAGGTTGCACCTAAATGATGTTGCAGGCAACCCGCAACTAGTTGCATGAAACTTTTGTTTTTGTATTGCTTTTGTTTAACTGTCAGGTTGCACCTAAATGATGTTGCAGGCAACCCACAACTAGTTGTGTGCAACTTTTGATTGTTTTTGTATTGCTTTTGTGTAACTGTCAGGGTGCACCTGAATGATGTTGCAGGCAACCTGCTACTAATTGCATGCAACTTTTGATTGTTTTTTTTTTTGTATTGCTTTTGTTTAACTGTCAAGTTGCACCTAAGTGATATTGCAGGCAACCCCTCAACTAGTTGCATGCAACTTTTGATTGTTCTTGTATTGCTTTTGTGTAACTGTCAGGTTGCACCTGAATGATGTTGCAGGCAACCTGCAACTAGTTGGATAAGACTTCCAACAAGTTTTAAACCTACAGTTGTTGCACTCTAAACGATACTGGTGTTAGGATGAGAATGTCCTGCCAAAGCTGTACAAAGTTTTGTCCAACTTTGCAACATGGGAGCAACATAATTCTGCTTGCTTTCGCTTTTTTCACGGTTTCCAGGAAAATTCCACCCACCCTGCTATGCTGGTGACAAATTACCTCAAATTTTTCCCTCTGGAGAACCAGTTCCATCTCTGAAAGAGAACAGATTTGAGGCGTAATTTACAAAAACCTGTTACATTAATGTTTATTTACAGATTTCAGCACCTGCCCGTTGACTTCTGTTACCAATGTGCTGCCAGTCAGTCTGTTTTCTGTCTTCTCCTAAATGTGATGAAATTATGGTCTGTGGTAATCGACTCTGCGCTATAGAAACGTCAGCCTTTCGAGATTATGTGGAAAATCGCTGGAGTGTTCCTTTAAACCTGATTTTTATGCCGAGGGGAATTCTGGGGGCTGTAGTTTTCGGAAAGGTAGAGCTGGACTCATCCGTTCCCTATA